TTAAGATGAAAGAAATATGCGCTCCAGCTGAACTCTCTCCGACCAAGAACAAACTTTAGTTTCACTTTCTCCGTGCTGTGAGGCAATAACTGCCAGCAGATGACTCATTTGTATTCAAACACATTGAAGGGCTCCAGGTTTTTCTGCACGCATTCAGTTTGACTGTTTATCTGAAGACACAAAATTAAAACTGTGATGACTGTAGCTTTTTAAATATTGGAACAAATGTGGGCCAGTGTGGCAGGAAGCTGACAATAAATTAGAAAATAACCACATGATACAAATATACATCATCTTTATTTCATTGTTATAAATAGTAACCATAAAAATAATGAAACAGGAGGTTTATACATAAAGTGCACTAACCTCAGCACAATTGCAAAAAGCTTTTACATCAGGGCCTGCTGCAGCTCAGGATGAACAATAACATACAAAGCGTTAACATTAATAGAAAATGTACAGTTTTGCTGCCTCTGAACCTGGGGGTTGGGACCCCCAGAGGTTCATTAGTTAATTTCAGGGGGTCGCCGTATAGTTGTAGAGAATAAAATAAGATATTGTGACATCCAGCAACACTGAACACAGGGGACCAGAACTTAAAAACACTGTATAGGCTATAGACTCTGTTTTATACCTGTTAACAGGCCCAGTTTCCTCATGAGCATTTATTTCTATCTTTTATTGAGCTCTTAGGCCTAAAGCAGACATATTGACTGTTGTTATTTCAATAAATAAAAAGCATGTATTAAAGCCAAAATGTAACCAGTCCTCCTCTTCCTCCTCTGATGTCTCTGCCCAACCTGGTGTGTACCATCCTGCTGTTCATCCTCTACAATGCCATACTCATCTTCTGTGTATACACGTACAGAAGGTGGGCTCGAAGTAAGAACACTTCTCAAAACCCTAATAATAACAGAAAGTATTGATCTGCCGGCCACCTCCACAAGGGGTCAGAGGTCAGGGCCAAGCTTACTGGATTTGTCCAGATACTCTGCAACCACTCTGACCAGAAGGGACCAGGGCCCTGTGTCTCAAAGTCCACCTTAGTCTGTCTCTGTCTGGGTTTCCTGGCTGCACTTATCCTAACCTCGGTGATCTTGTACAACCAGTATCATAAAGCTGGTTATCAGCCGGCACTGGCTAAAATGTTCAGTTAAAGTTAAATTGATATTCTGAGCTGCAGTCGTCACTTTATTGTGAAGTCGGCACTTTAGTCTCTGTCAGGAAACTGTTGGAAGGATGATTCAGTTGTTCCAGTGATTTGATTGGTCAACAGTCTGCCTATTGTTGAAGTTTGCCCCCAGGCAGGTTAGCTGTGCAGCATAGGTTTCCATAGTGACATACCTCAGTAAAAACTGGGCCAGTTTGAGATACTGGAAAATGCACATAGTTGAAAGAAAAAAAACAGGCTGCACCCAACCTGGGTGCAGCCTGTTTGTGGCTGACAGGTGAGGTTGTCACAGTAACAATAATAGAAAGCAGTAAGTGACAGCAAGGCTAACGTTCTGTTCACACAGACTCACTGTGCCTGAGTCTCAGGGCCGGTGACTGACAGGTGTGGCAAAGCAGGGATTTTAACTCATAGTTAAAATACTTTCTTTGCTCTGTTCTCCTGCAGCTCGAGCTAATGCTAAAGGGAGCTGCAGGAATCTGATCATGTCCTACTGGAATAACAAGGAGAAGAAGAAGAGGAGGAGGAGCTACAATTTGTGACATTGAACAACATGTTTGTACAGTATGTTGGCCAATATGACGGGGAAAAGGCAGTATTCATTTTCATATATATTATTTAATACATGTTGTATTTGCTTATTTGTATTATGTCTTAGCTACATGTTGCTTCCATGGTTTATGTAAGATCCCCTCAGATGTGCATTAATATACAAATAGTCTGCTTGGAACAATAAAGTGTCTCTGATGTGTTTTTATCCATAAAAAAGAAAATAATTTCCACAATAAAATAAACACTAGAATTCTTAAAAGAAAATCTATGAATCTGCAGTTTTGTTCATTTCATCAAGTTTTCCTGTTGGACATAAGATGTCTCCTACTTCACTGTAGATCCATTCTCAGTGTCTGTGCACTGGTGGCTTCACTTGTATAAATTGCAGACTGGACCAGCCAGTGCTCACAGGTACTGAGGACTTGTGATTTCTGTCCACATGAGCACCCTTACTTCTGACTGTGTGGTGCCACCTCCTGGTGAGTCTAGGTATATACCCCTCAGCACCCTCATAAGAACACTCCTCTGATTGGCTCGTGTTCATTGCCTTCATTGGTTTGGTTGGTTAGGTTCAGAGCCATATAGAAATGGTTACAGTTAGAAAAAATAAATGTGAGGGGCAGAATAGGGGAGAATACAGGGGGTAATTATTGCCTGTGTAACTGTGTCTCTTTGTAAACACATAGCTAGTTTAATGCAGAGAAAACAGCAAAAGTATTGGTTACAGGTAAAAAGGCCATAAACAACAATCACAGTTTCAGGAGGACATTTCAGTCTCTCAGTGTCCAGATGTTTCAGTTTATGAAACTGAAACATCTGGACACTTGGTGTTCTGGTATAAAACTAGAACCATTTTATATATACAGTATAGTTCTTTTCAAAATAGATGTTTAAGTAGAAATAAAGCTAGATAATATGAGGCACACTACAGTCTGATCATTCACAGCAAATATCAAAAAGAACTTCTGTCATTTTTATATCACTTTGTTGGAAATTCTGGGGTTTTTTTAACGTTCCTGCACACGTACCTCAGGTCGACATTGTTCTTAAACCTTTTTTCAATATATGTTCAACCAACAAACACTTGAACAATATTTATGTCATTTACAAGTTTTTACAATATTTACAGATCAGAGTGAAGTGTAGATTTTGATGATGACAGCGCCACCATGATGTCAAACAGGACAAGTTACCTGCTATCATCATCCAGTTTACAGTGAATACACATGTAAAGCTCTCACATATCTTCAGTCTGTACTGACTGTATGAACCTTTAGAAAAACACATTTTGACATTTTGACATCAGAACATCGTCAAAGACAAACAAGAACACCAGAGAGTTCAGTGTTTAACTGGATGAAATGGATGAATGAGACAGGGTGGAATATAGTCCCAGTTACTAAAGACTCAAAGTATGCAATTAATACTGAAGGTACCTGATACAAAAAGTAATTCTCTATTGTTGGTAGCTGGGTTAAAGAATGAAGGGTTATCATAAAGTACTAGTTTCTAACATTCTGTTGATCAAACGTAGTCTCACAGTTTTGTCTCAACATCATTGTCCTCAGCGTTGTCCTTACTGGCCCCATCACTGGACCCAACATTGGTCTCAGGGTTGTCCTCTTGTCCTGCATACAAAACAAGTTATCAGTCAGTGATTCCCACACTGAGTACAGACTGACAGACTGGTACAGCAGAAAGGTTGGATAGATGGATGCATGTGAATGTTTGTGTGTTTAACCATTGAAACAGCAGGGGCAAATAGAATGTAGACTGATATTGGAATTAGAAAAGACAATTAATTACTTACTGGTATTTATCTTGAGCATAGGCATTCTCTCAACATTGTCACCAACATTGGACCCAACATTGGCCTAACATTGGACCCAACATTGGCCCACACATTGGACAGAACATTGGCCTAACATTGGACCCAACATTGGCCCAAACATTGTCCTCTTGTCCTGAACACATAACAACAACACAAAACTAGTCAGTGTTTTCTGTTGGTACAGCAGAAAGGTCAGATAGATGAATGCATGTCAATGTTTGTGTGCTTACTCACTGAAACAGCAGGGACAGATAGAATACAGACTGATACAGGAATCAAAGACATGAAACATTTATTTGAAAACATTTATAAACATGAAGACAGAAGAAGATTTGTGACTTACTGGTATTTCTACACAACCCCCATAATACAACAACAAAGGAAATGACAGTTCCAGCAATGATGACTACAGCAATGCCAATTATAGCAGCAGTGTCATTACCTGAGAGAGCAGAGGAAAAATGTCCAGGTTACTTCTACACTGTTGGTTCCATCCATTTTATCCTCCACTTAGTCAGTTTGTTAGAGTCTCTCATTTATCATTTAGAATATTCTCCTGAAAAATACTGAACCAACTCATGTAACGTCTTTTGGGCTGTAAATTGCTTCACAGTTATAAAAAAAGTTGATCTGGTGAACTTCTGGTTTATTTACACAGGCAGCAGTTCTGAACAACATGATGATTTGTGTTTGTGTCACCTGATGAATGGAAGTCCAATATTCACTGTCTTATAGCTCTGTCTTTGGTCTCCTGAGGGAAATATCTGGCTCTTTAGCTGCTAAAGGCTTCACTGTGTCCACTAATTGTCTGCCTGATGTTTGCAGTGTACGGAGGGTTTATTGGAGCTTTCTTTACTGTATAACAAATAATGGATTCAATATTCAACAGTTTCTTGTTGTAATGAAGGATGAGTGACACAGGAGTTTGTACATTGTACTCACCAACATTCTCTGGCTGTCTGTCTGTGGAAAACAAATTAAATAAAACATGTGAGGAAACCACCAGGACCAACAAGAAGAGCAGATGACAGTTAATGGGGATACAAATAAATAAAAACTCTGATATTTACTCACTGTTTTTATGGGTCGGACTTCCTTTGTCCTTTTTCTGCTCGACTGGCTCTGTAGGACATTGTTAAATTGTGTTTAAGAGCTAAAATACTTCTAGCAACTAACTTTTTTTAACATTCATGTGAAATATATTAGCTGTACTCACCAACAGTGAGGTTAACGAAGCCTCTCCTGACCTGACTTTGCAGTTTGGGAACAAAGCAGGTGTAACTTCCAGCATCCAGTTCAGTTATGCTGGTCAGTTTTAGTGAAATGTTTCCTCTGATCATTTCTTCATGGAAGACAGATGTTCTACCTCGGAAGTTCTTGTCCTGACGACCTGGATCATCCTTCCTGTTTGTATAGATGTGCACGATGGTTTCACCGCGTTTCCACTCCACTGTTAGATTCCTCACATTGAATGGAGGCTCCAGGTGACATGGCAGGATGACGTTATCACTGACTGTTACTGTAACTGGTTTGTCTGAGCCAATCACATCAGAGTCTGCAGAGAAACAAGGAACTCTTACACAAAGCACGCCAGGCTGTTCTGGTAAAGGTACTAACAGGATCTCAATCATTCTGTGTTCAGTTACAGAACACTCAGTCACTTTTTGATGACAATAACAGAGACAGCAAAGAAACCTCAGTGAACCGAGCATAACATGAGCTCTGCACCAAACAGAAGAGGAAAATTAAATAGCAGCAAACACGAATGAATCAGTCCCCAAGTTTGCATCTAGTTGTAGCGCACATTCTGACCACATTTACAGACAATCAGGCTTACTATTCAACAACACAGAACTTATATAGACCTTGTCTGCAGTTGAAGGTGTCCTGTCAACAGTTTAATGGTTTAATTCCATGCCACAAAATTAACCTTAATGTTGTGTTAAAGGCCCCGGGCCCTCTCTTAAACAGCTCAGAGAACATGTTTAACATTTATTTAATCAACTTCATTCTTTATTTTTTTGTTATTTTTTGGCCTTTTTCATGCCTTTATTTAGTTACAGCTGAAGATCGTCAGGAAGGGGGTAGAGAGAGGGGATTACAGGCAGCAAAGGGCCGCAGGTCGGATTCAAACCTGGGCCGCTTCAGCAATTCCGTATATGGGTCGCCAGCTCTATCAACTGAGCTAACGGGACACACCTTCATTCTTTATTTTTTAATACTTTGACTGATTTCTTCCTATATTCCACACAATTGCTCCCAACATCACTGTAACCTCTTTACTAACTGCCAATCAGCTTCCTGTGAGATTCATCATCATCTCCAGTTTCTTCTCCTCGCAAACTCTGGACTTCCTTCCTTTCACTGAGATATATCACACCAGAGATCACCTCCAGCCCCCGCAGCCCTCTCCTCAGCCTGCTGACAGAGGGTGAGGGTGCTGGTTTGGTAATCTCTCCCAAACAGAGAGAGTTTCCTACTTCCACACTTCTTCCTTTGAATGTCACACTGTTGCCAGGGAATTGCTGGTGTCGTCAGACGTATTCCTATTGACAATCCCTGAACACTGCCCCCACTGGTACAGACTCATTACCCCACTGTGTTCATGCGTGTCAGCTGTTACAGCTCGGGAACTACAGATGCACATAGAGGAGGAAGCAGGATAATTTCAGTGATTTATTGCGGAAATGGTTCACAGGCTCATGCACATGACTCCACATAGCAGCAGGATGAGAGATAACAGGCTCGAAAGCAAGATATGAGCAACAGAGCAACTTTATGAACTGACAGAGGGACAAAGGAAGTGGATTGATGTAAGCAGGGAATGGCTGATGAGGGAATGAGGTGATTGCAGGGCAGATTGGAGCAGCATATGTGGATGTGACTTTACACAATACAAATAAAGAAACACCATTTGTGGACAGTCTTCTGTGGGTTACAACTATTAAAGCTGCAGTCAGTAACCTTTATAGAAATGATGGCAGTCGTTTGCAGCGTGTTTCCTAAATGCTGCATGTTGTCAGATTATTACGATGTTGTCGGCCACCGTCGCTGTAACTGTTTAAACAGACAGATTCAGTGTTTTTCTTCCATATTTATTAAGATATCTGTCAATAAACAAACAAATTCACGTACAATTTTACTGCTAACTGTCACTAATTTAACAGAATTTTAGAAATGTATTTACAGAATTAAACTTTAACAGTTTAATATGTTCAAGTAAATATCTGCAATAAAAAGATAGATTTACAAATGTTATTTTATTCCTGCGACATTAAGTTAAACAAACAAATGATTATATAATTGCTCGTCCTTAAAAACACACACATCTGATGAAAACTGGGTCCTCTTACTCTGAGAACTTTACTTTATGTGATTTAAAGGTTTATCTGAATCTAATAATGGCCGGAATATTACCGGTTAATTAAAGAGTTAAATGAAGAGTCTTCAGGAGCGATTTTATGAAGAAAATAAAAAATAAAAACCGACCTGCGTCCACCAGAGAGAGAGAGGACATCAGAACCAGCAGCAACTTCATCTCGGCCGCTGGATAAAGACTGTTATCATTAGTAGCGGTCTTCCGTCCTCCGACTCTGTCTTTACTTTCACTTTCACCTGAAGGAAGAAGGCTATTAATGCCAGCGCACATTTTATTCTGAAGGGCTACATTTTGTTTAAGGGCACTGCTGTTGTTAGGCTGTCTAACGCTGTTTCATACACACACTGTCTACCTGCTGTGGTATCAGCATTATCGATCCGATCGGTGGTTACTCCCTATTTATACCCACAGGCTGAGTAACCGGACACACTGTGGAGACTCACAGCGCTCCTCCCCATGCTCAGTGGATGTTCCCCACATTATAGCCCCCCCGCTTCCTACAGTGTGATGTCTGAGCTCCCCTGTATTCACTGAATGATGGACGGAGAGTGGAAAGTTTCCAGCTGGAGTGGCAACCTCGGACTTTCTTTAAGAGGCGGGGGCCTACTCGATGGTTAATAAAAGAGGGAAGAAAGAAACTGGGGGACTGCACTTCAATCCCCTCCCTTCCCCTCCCTGTCCGGTCAGTCCTAGAAAGAATGAAGAGAAGGACAAGAAAAAGACAAAGAAAGGGGAAAAGGAGAGGGAGGAGAAGGGCGAAAAGGAGGAAATGAACAAGGGGGAAAAAAAAAGTAACAAAGAAGGATAAGAAGAAGAAGGAAAAGAAGGAAAATAAGGAGAAAACTAAAAAAAGAAGAAGAACCAGCCGAGATTTGTATGATTGACTTGGTGAACTCCATGCTCGGTGTCCAGGTCCTGTTCTGGACTTTGGTTCTGTGTTTGGGTCCGACAGTCTGCGCATCAGATGGAGGTAAACTCTGCTTCAGTCTCTGTCCGGATAACCTGGGCCTAACAATCTTGTGCTGTGTGTGAATATATTGTGTGAATATATTGTCAGCTGTGACTCTCACATAAAGCACACATCGCTGCAGAAGTCTATGGTGAATGGTAGAAAAGCTCTGCGCCTGTCTGCGTGCGGAAGGGCGCACTGGCGTGTGGAGCGTGTGGAAGAAAAAAAAAGGTTGCCTGATTTTTTGCGATTTTCTGCCGAGTAGCTGCGACTGTAGGGTGGATTGTGGTCTGTCACAGTGCGGGTGTTTCATTTCGCTCCACTTTTTTTGAACCAACCTGGCAACCCTGCTTATAGTAGGCTCATTTACCGTAAGGTGACCACAGGGGCGCGCCTGCTTTTTCATGGGTGCAGTGTGCTGGCAGTCTAAGTTCGACCAGTTACAGATATTTACCAAGGCTTCATTGTTACTGTTCATTATAAGCCTTTATATCCTGACCTGCAGTGAGTCCCCCACAGTCTATGTCTAATACATATTTAATTATCAATGACCTTGATTTTCGGTTTCTTACCAAAACCCAGTTACACATTTTTGAATTCACCATGACCAACAGGCCGGGGTGGGGGTATTGCAGTTGCCATTTGGAAATCTCAACTTTTAAAATTAATTGTGCGTGAAGACTCCATCTTACTGGTGACTTTAACATTCATACTGACAAAACTTCAAATCCATTTGCCACAGACTTTTTAAACATTTGTAAACCTTTATGCAGCACATCTCAGGCCCCCCTACTTGGTTTTTACTCAGTCTCTTAATCCCCTGGATATGCATGATTTTGTCTCTGACCACATATTAATGCTAAAGTTAGCTGGTTTAATAATCAATGTACACCAGCCCTTGGTTTTTCCACTACAATTTTCTTGATAGATTACAGAACTGGGTTGGCATTTCCTGTACAGCCTTAAACTGGTTTTATTCCTATTTGACTGATATAGTCTTGTGTCCCACAGGGGTTGGTTCTTGGTCCAGTTCTGTTCTCCCTGTACATGCTCCCTTTGGGTCACTTTGTCACTGCAGTTCAGTTTATTGGACCATTACGCACTAATATCAAGCCCACTGCAGAAAGAATCTGGGAATTATCTTTGACCAGCATATGACATTTGACCTTTCGTCCAGTCCTGTTTCCTGCAGCTACGAAATATTGCAAAAATCAGACACTTATTGTCCTCCAGTGATCTCAAACAATTAATGCCTACATTTTTTTCTGTTTGATTACTGTAACTCCCTCTACACCCGCCTCAGTCAGGCTTCCTTAAATTGTTTACAGTTAGTGCAAGTATTAGTGTTTACTTATCTCTGTCATGTCTCTTTTAAATCATTTGGTTAAAGCCCCACTTAGTGGAAAAGTCACGCCACTGCAATAAGAAAATAACTTAATTTTTCCTTATCCTTTTCTATCACTGAGTAAACTGACAAAGTGACCTGTTATATGGATATTTCATATTATGTTCAATGCAAAACAATAACAGTAGAAAACAACAGATAAACTTTATACATATAACACAGTTCTAAATACTTAATAGGCTTCTTTTTTGACAAATCCAGTTTTTTCTTCTCCCTGACATTTGCACATTGTTCTATCAGCTCTTTTCTGAATCAGGACGAGGCTGTTTATCAGAGTGAAAGCTCTGTAAATAAAGCTTGTGTTCAACTCTTCAAAGTTTATCAATAATGGGTTAATGCTGAATGAAATGAAATGATAGTGAAATGCTGAGATAGATTTTTTTAACATGAACATAAAGCAAATCAGATTAAAGACTTCACTCCATTTCCAGAAGGTTAAAATTGTTCCTCCATTTCTCAGGTCGTCCTCAGGTGGTCGGTCCTCGTCAGCCAATCGTGGCTGCTCTGGGTGATGATGTCATCCTGCCGTGTCATGTGGAGCCTCCACTCAGTGTCAAGGAAATGACGGTGACTTGGTGGAAGCATGACCCTGAAGACCCTCAGTGCAAAAACAAGTATGTCCACCATTACCAGGATAACCAGGACGTAGAGGACATGAAGCTGTCAGCATACGTTGGGAGGACGACTCTGTTCACAGACGGACTGAAACACGGCAATGTTTCACTCAAGATCACCAACCTGAAGCTGTCTGACCAGGGAATATACACATGTTTCATCATAGAGTTAAAGACCCAACAGAGGGGAGCAACCATTGTGCTTGATGTTGGTAAGATTAAAAATTACACCAAAATACACATTTTATCATTTACACATCAGCCACAGATTTACAGTCATTCTTAATGTTAATAGTCAATATCAGTTTTCCACGGAAGCCCTAAAGGGCCATGTATTCACACATTTTATTTCCTCTGTTTTCCCGTGATAACGAGTTAATCATCTCGAGATCTCGAGATAACGACTGTGATATGATAACTTCGGTCAAGCCAGCAGTAAAAAATAAAAAACTTAATATCAAGCATTTCTACTGCACCTATGTGGAGAAATGCCCAAACATGTTTTTACCTCCAAGTGGCATATTGTCATATATTTAAGGTACAGTAAAAGCAGGTACAAATATGGAATTTTATTATTGAATTTCTCCACCTTGTTGCAGTATAAATGCTTGATATTAAGTATACTGGTATTCTTATAGAATGTAGAAGTCAAATATACCATCCATAGCCAGGAATTATTGAGCAATATGTTTTAACAGTACCTCAAATATATGAAAAGGTGCCACTTGGAGATACAAATATGGAAATTTTGTTTTGGCATTTCTCCACATTGGTGCAGTAGCAATGTTTGATATTAAGTGTTTTTTATTCATCAGGGGCGCATGAAACACTTTAATGTAACATATTTTATTTTAAATGTAGGTTTGAATTATAGATTACTGTTCTTAAGACATTTATTTTGAAAACCGGAAGTGAATACGCTGTACATTTAAGTGCGGCTGATTTGACCACGGAGATCGGAGTAACAGTTGGCTTGACCGCAGTTATCATATCACAGTCGTTATCTCGAGATCTCGAATTAATTAACTCGTTATCTCGGGAAAACGGAGGAAATAAAATGTATGATTACATGGCCCTTTATGGCTTCCGTAGTTATCCTTTCTTACACTAGAACTCAGCTCTCATAAACCACAGACATGTCTGAACATGACATGTAGCAGACTCACTTTGCTTAGTTTGGTTTTGAGAAGGACTAGTTCCATGAAGTATATTAGCTGCTGCATTGCTTGACTTTTACACAGCTGGACTTCGGTTTCCTTTCCTCTGGGTGTCCTTTACGATTTTCACGTGTTTGCGTGGCAACAGCTTGACATTCTCCTTTACCTTCCAACCAGTTAGAGAAGTCTATGGTTATATGGAATGCCTGGTTTTGTAGCGTGAGTAAATCTGGCCTATTTAGCAACAAGCTCAGAAGGCAGTTTTCCCTAACTCTGCATCTTCTTCACTATTTTCCAAAGACTGCAGCATACCTGCAAAAATGTAGACTCAGATGGCAAAGTCGCTGAACCTTCTCGATTTGACAAATCAAAAGGCCGGCGTCCTATAGTTCTTGTATCTTTTAATATTGTGTTGAAAATCATTGCAAATATTTGTTGTTTTTCAGAACCAAACTCCGTTAAAATGATGACACCAAATCCCACAGATCCCCAATCTCCAGATCCTATGAATGGGATGGATATTAAAGGTGAGAAAGAGGTCCTTTAGATTTAACAATATACTAAAACATGCTTATATTTGTGTTTCGAGTAAATTTTAGTTGCTTTTGCCTGTTTGCTTTCTTCATCAGCTGGTCGTTGCCATCTTGGCGCTCTGATCCCGTTTTTGTCTGGGTCTTACTGATCCTGTGTGGTGGAGTGTCAACAACAAAATGTGAGTCAGAAGGAAACCTTGTTGTGTAAATCATATCAGGCGGTGGATGACTAATTATTAAACTTCTGTTCATTGTCCCTCCAGCTTGCCCCAAGTCAGCCACTTCTAGGTTCGGGGTGTCAAACCAGCAGCATGTTCAGGTACAGGTGAACCAGCTGGATCAGCAGCAGTGACACCTGAGCAGGTGAGCCGAGTGGAGTCCACCCAGGTAATGCTGCAGTAATGTGGCCCCCAGCTGTATGGAGGACTCCATCATCTTTAACCTGATCCTGATCCCGGAGGACTTGGACTCCTTCCACTTGCAGAAGTTCTTGGATGATTCTTTAAAATGTATGATTTGTTAATAATTGTGGGTGGCTGTGGCTCAGAAGCAGCGTGGGTCGTCCACTAATTTGAAAGTTGTTGGTTCGATCCCCGGCTCCTCCCGTTGCATGTCGGAGTATCCTTGAGCAAGATACTGAACCCCAAATTGCTCCCGATGCTGCGCCATCGGTGAATGAATGAGTTACTTTTTGCTCGCTGGGCTTTGCCATCGCTGTGTGAATGTGTGTGAAAGGGTGAATGTGGCATGTAGTGTAAAGCGCTTTAAGTGGTCGGAAGACGAGAAAGGCGCTATACAAGTACAATCCATTTACCATAATAATGGGTTCACTATTTCCCATAGGATGGCTGTTGGGGGTTTGGGTCGCCAATATTAAGCTATTGGAAGTATTTAAGATAAGATGTAGACACAGATGTAGACACAGCAGCATAGGGGAATATAGTGTAATAGTAGAGAAGTGGAAGTACAATAAAATAAGAATATTACAAATATTATTATAATTACAAATATTTGAGCAGCTTTGACTAAAAAACCAAACTGTACATGTGCAATATTTGAAAGACCAGCTTATTTTATTTGTATTTCGTATTCCACTATTTAACTCTCTAACTACTTTACTCACCTTGCTTTGCATCGGCATGTGAATGGATGAATGGGTGAGTGTGGCATGTAGTGTAAAGCGCTTTCAGTGGTCGGACGACTAGAAAGGTGCTATACAAGTACAGTCCATTTACCATTTAATAGGATCATGGTTGCATATGTGTGAAGGTGCGTTTTATTCGGTTATGGTGCTCCGACATAATTTTGGTGAAGTACTCTTTTATCACTATTTCAGCCTTGCTATTATGACTCATCTTCTACAGCATGGCTGTCTGTCTTTGTTTGATTTAGGGTCAAATGTGCTGTGCATTTCACTTTTACTGGTCTTTTTAAAGCTGCATTCTTTCACTTTTTTGCCACTGATGTTACATCATGTTACATCTGATTGTGATGGGAGGGCCTGCTTTGATAATCTTGCATTGGGGCCCTACGCTGACTCACACACACACTGGCTTGACCCGCCTCTCTCTGTTTATCTCTGTATGTGTCTCTGTTGAGTTTTAGCTTTGTCTATGCAATGTAAATATAGGTTTACAGGCTCTGACTGCAGTTTGGAATGACCTCTGCACCAGATGATGTGTTCACTGCCGTTCAACTGGCTTATCCTCGATGTTACCCCATAAACCTCCAATACTCCAGTCCTCCGCACACAGTCGGTGGAGATAAACGCCAGCACATTGGGAACACGGCGGTGACAGATTGTGTGAGGCTCATTGCGGAGGGCGAGGGTGTTCAGAGACCGTAAGATTCCTATAGTTTACCCCTGTGATTAAATATATAAATAATGCCAGCCGCTACGGCCAGAATGCATTTATGTTCACATTTAATCATTCTAAAGAGGATTGCTGCAATTCCTTATTATCAGGGCTACTTGTGGTTCCTATAGTCTCTAAAAGTAGAACAGGAGCCAGAGCCTTCAGTTACCAAGCTCCTCTCCTGTGGAACCAGCTTCCAGTTGTGGTTCGGGAGGCAGACACCCTTAACACAGAGTAGGCTTAAGACGTTCCTCTTTGATAAAGCTTATAGTTAGGGCTGGATCAGGTGAGTCCTGAACCATCCCTTAGTTATGCTGCTATATGCCTAGACTGCCAGGGAATTTCCCATGATGCACTCTCATCCTCTCTCTCTTTCTGCACACATTTATGTCCCATTAATGCATGTTACTAACTTCACTTCTTCCCCCGGAGTTCTTGTGCTTTCTCGACTCGCAGGTTCTTATCGATCCTGCTAATATTAATAGCATAGTTGTTTCTGTTGTTCTTGCTGTCCGTCTTTGTCTCTGTCCGTCTCTCTTTACTCGTTTTTGGTATATGTTTTAATGTTCCAATGTTTCAGTGCAATAATGATAATACATTAAATATCAACAGTTAAAAAGTAACAGTAATTTTTTGAGAAGGATACTTTGTACTTAAGTATTTTAAGAACGGTACGTTTATTTGTCAGTAATATTTCAGTAATATCCTTCTACTTGAGTACATATGTTCAGTACTCCTTCCACCACAGGAGATTTGTGTTTACAGATGCAGTACCTGCCTCTCCACAGGCTCTTAATTGAATTCAGTTCCTTGAGACAAACATCCATTTGTTTGGCTACTTCAACATTAAATGAGGTTTTTAATGTAGGGTAAGTCATTCCACAAAGTATTAACCTGAAGGATTGAATGTTTGTCCTGACAATTGTCCCCAGGGTGCCCCATAAAATATCTAATTTTAAGGACTGGTTGCAAACAGTTCTTTTTACTAATTTGATTATTGTTCCTTGGTTACAAGCCTCTATGATGATATACAATTAAGCAATAAACATTTTGGACAGTAAGACTGTCCAAAAAAGTTTTTAGGAAGTTAAAAATATTGGAGTTAGTAATTTTAGATTAGTCTATAAATGCCTAATTAGGCTCCCCAGTGGCCTCCACTGGGAGCGTCAGGCTCAGTTACACATGGAGCACCCGGTGGGAGTTGTTAGGTGCCCTTACGTAAATCCCCTTTGGATAAACTGTTTTTTCTATTTGGGATATTAAAATGTGGAATTATTAACCCGGGAAACTCAAACTGGATCTTGACTGGAAGTTAAAACAAACCAGTTTCTGAAGAGGGATCAGTGATGTTGCATGAATGATCTGGTGTCCTGTTTTATGGTGCCATAATGTATTATTTTGTGTTTTTTTTTTTAATGCACATACTTTATTTTGTACTGTTTCTTGTGTATTTGTTGAGTTGTATGTATTTAAAATGCAAGGCTAGGGAGGAACAAAGCAACTTAGATTAGGCTGTAAATGCTGTGGTGTAATTTAATAAATAAAATATATATTGTTTACCTGCTTACTGAATTACTTTGTTCATTCTAGGACTACATGTGAAAAATAAACTTTTTTCCCAATGTGCACAGTCCCTGCTAAACCATGAGGGTGACATCTGCTGGTCAAGCATCAGAATTAAATTTGTATGGAGAGAAAACCTCATCATGAAACAGTCAAAATACAACTGAACCTGCAGGTACCATCACTGATATTGTTCAATTCTGTTCAAAGGAGGTAAAAAGAAATGATTAACAAAAATGTGAGCAAACACCAGAGAACACACAAAGGTTTGTGTGTGATATTAAATCCAGCATACACAATACATAACATCTTGTGTGTATAAAATAACTTGTAGATCTAAATGCTCACTAGATGGCGCTAAACAACAATATAAGATGGCTATAAGTTGGTCAAGCTGATCACAGAGCTGTTCATATACTTACAGTCATTAACAATCATTCACAAAGAACAAACACCACCACCTCCGCTCAGAAATGCTTGAGAAAATAATAATTTAATACGGAAATACGCAGCTGTGATAACAGAGTGAAGTTATGATGAGAGCTCTTATTGAAAGACGGTAAAGAAAAACAACACAGAATGTCATATTTACATTTTCATCATATATATGTATTTAATGAGATAAATAGTAAAACAATATTGCTATTGTTCCCAGTAGCTTTGGCCAGTATATACACAGGCTGTTTAATGCGAGTGACAAACTGCTTGGTCTTCCTTGTTTTCTTCATCATATTGGTACGAGATGATCAGAAGCACCAGCTCGAGCTGCAGGGGAAACCATTGTTGTTGGAGTTAATCATACTAATAATCATTTTCTACAAGAATTGAATTACACATAAGGAACATGTGACAGAACTTTTACTCTCAGCTTGTTACAGCCACAACCAGAGGCTCACGTCATCCACTCAACAACATGGTGCGCAACATGCAGAGGCGTTCACACATTCTTTACACTTTGTCATTTCTACTGGATGTTTCTGTGCAAAGCTATCTGAACTCAACTAAAGGAGACGGTGCATCATCTCCATAGCAAAGACTCGCTGTACATCCATTCTTACTGTCAGATTTTCGGACCCATTGTATCTCTGCCATTTCTTCCAGATGACAGTTTGTAACTGACTGCGCTGTATTTTAATTGGCAGGTTACGTGCCTCTTCTAAAACCAGCTTTTAATGTTCTTCTGGCTGTGTCAGACATTCATACTCTATGTTATTTTCCAAAAGTTCACAACTTCCTTGTGGCTGAAAAGGTCAATAGAGTTGTCCCCGCCCTCTGACCCATTGTGGAGGAGGCCAACAGAAAAGATGATCAATGTATTCTGTTATTATTCAATTTTCAGAGGTGTTCTTACCTCGAGCCCACCTTCTGTATATGGATATACAGAAGATGAGTATGGCAGTGTAGAGGATGAACAGCAGAATGGTACACACCAGATTGGGTAGAGACAGGAGAGGAGGATGAGGAGGAGGAGGAGGAGTGGTTGGTACATTTATAGGCAGAGCTCTGGCTGTGAGGTTGAAAACATGTGTTATTACAAAAAGTGCCATGCTACTCAACAAGAGGACATACATAAAGGAGAGAAACTGTCTCATCTAAATGAATGTTTATGTTAAGGAGTACTGTTTATGGGAGGCAGAACGTCGTGTCACCTCTCACAGCCAGCCAGCTTTGCTCTGACTTTCCTTTTCCGGGGTATTCGCACTCGTAGAAACCTTCGTCAGACTTGGACACCGATTGAAGGATCAACTCTCCTTTCTCAGTACCCTGGAAAACATTATCTTTGTAGAACGTAGCAGAGAAATCTGAAGTAGGGTCATCTCGGTCTCCTTTCCTATAGGAACAGCGAAGTGTCACTTTATCTCCCACTGTCACAGGAAGTGCAGGGCTCTCCAGGATCACAGCACCAGCTGGAATATACAACAACACCTGGTTACTAGAGTTTAAAAAGTTTGTTTAATGTAAAGACGCAGAAAAATGGCATAAAAACGAACAAACCTGTCACTGTGATGTTGATGCTGTCGCTGTACTCCCTCTGCTCAGACTCACACCAGTACACTCCTCTGTCAGTTGGGTAGGCATCCTCGATAGTGCAGGATGACTCACCTGGGATGGCCCAGCCAAACTCGCACACTTCAGATGTCGAATCGGAGGTGTTTCTTTTCACCATCCAGCCACTGGAGTTTACCTTCTCCTCACACCTCAGATAGATTTCTTCATACCGAAAGAACTGAGATCTGTTGGGACTGATGCTCAGTGCTGCTGCAAGGGGGTGAAACCTGAAACAATTGTGAATGGATTTAATTTATTTGTGGTTAGTTGTAGAGATGTTTTTATACCATTCTGATACCTGAACTATTACTTATACTGCTCAGTAATGTTATTAATAGCAATTATGATTAATCTCTGTAGTTCTTGTGTTCTCACTCTCACACCTAAACCACACAGTTTCACAGAATTTTGTAATTTCCATAAAACTTTTGTTTTTGTTCATACGATACAAAATGCACGTACAGATACTTGTGTCAAGTGAAAAGTACAGACTCTGCAGGTGTGCAGTGCATGTTAACCTCTTCCAGGTCTATCACGTCTACATACAAACATTTTATGGCTTCATGTTGTACAATAATCCATCTACACAGTTGTGTTTTGTCTATGCGCAGACATGAAACATTTTGTTTGTCATCGTGCACTGTCACTAATAGAGTCATGTTTAGTTAAGTTTTAATCTCTTATGGTGCTCTGACACTGATTTGGCCAAGTAGTCAAGTCTATTACTGGTCATTTTGGAGCTGCATGCTTTTTCTTCTTTAATTTGCCACTAACATTACTTCATGTTTCGTCTGATTCTGATGGGAAGGCCCGCTTTGATCATCTCGCACTGGGCCCTGGCACTGACTCGTTAGGCCGCTGATCGGAGAGTTCTTTTCATTACATTAATGTGTCTCCTTGCTTCCCTTAATCGCTTCCTTTCCTTGCGTCTAAGCTCCAGTGAGGAAGTGAGATAGAGAAGCGAGGAAGAGACGCAAGGACAGAGAAACTGAAACTGCCCAATGAGGAATCCTTGCTTCAACAGTCAGTCTTAAGCGATTGCAGTTACTAATGTTCACAGAACCCCACATTTAAGAACAATTTAAAGACATTGCAGCTTTCATTTAGATATTTTCATTGTGTATTCCTGATTTTAATCGTCATTTAATATTCCTTTTAAATCTAATCATTAATGTACGTAGTGTTATTTATTGTGATTACTGATGCTATTTGTTTACTTGTGAAAAACAAACTGCTGCTTTTTGTGATGCTACAATACACACAATGGTACATTACATTGCATCTGACCATGTAACTGTGTTTTGGTATATTATCTGCAGATCCCTACAACACTACAAAGTTGCATTTGGAAGCATCAGTTAATGAAAAGCAGCCAGAGTTAGGCGATTGCGGCTTTAAAAAGATTGCATCTTTAAAAATGATTCAGTTTTTGTGACTCCTCTTAACACATCACAGCTCCCCTCACTGAAATCCGTCTAACCAGGAAGGTGGCAAAGTTTACAATGATGGCTTTTGAATATTAATTTAGCATCTTAAATAACAAGGAAACTTGTGACAACTTTAGCTGTTCACACCTCTAGTTTGCTGAAACTGTAAGATTTATTATAATATCTAGGTGATCAGTGCACACCTTTTGGTTTTGTTTCATTAAATTAAAAAATATGTTGATGTTTGATTTATCTGGATATTATTAACTAGAAAAGTCAATAAACATTAAGTGTTCAAGTGGTTGGCAGAAAAACAGAGTTCAGTTGACAAATTATTCAAAAAAAGTTGAATTACTCACAGAGCATTAGGCAGAGAGATGCAATCTCCATTTTGTGTCGATGTCTGTAGACAGGTTTTAACTAGCTGCCACCCACCACATCCTGGCTTCAAATGGCAGGAAATAAAGCAGCCACCAGCATTTCTTTGAAAGCAAAAACACATCACACTATTGAAGTACTATTAAGATTTCATTTGTGCCACCAAAAAGTCTCACAGTTTGCCGATGACGTTTTACTAAGAGTCTCCAAATCAGTTTGTCGTGCTGTTGCTAAAAGCTTCAGAAACGTGACCGTGTGAATCAAACTCTACTTTGTCATAACAAAGTTCTCTCTCACCTCAAGCAAAAGACTGAAACCACAGGAGAGGAAATTTATTTTTGCTTCACATTTCAGATGAACAGGATGTGACACAGCCACATAATCACAAATACACTTGTTGGTTTTGTCCGGAGTGATTGAAAGTTTTTATGTAAAATATTGAAACACAGATCCTTCAGGTTCATCTTTACTGCACCAGAGAGGAAAGACACAAGAAACTGAATACTGAGAGAGTTAATGACAAATGACCCCTAAAGCCACAATCAATCATTGTCCAATCAGTGTCTCTGACTGTAACACAAGGAGAAGGCTAAGACCGCCATCTACTGGTATGTTGGAAGACCAGCAACCCCTATAGGAAGTCCATAAGAGAATACAACATTTGCAGTGCAGCAAAGGCACATTTTATTTGTATAGAACATTTCAACAAGTCAACTCAAAGTGCTTTACATAAAACATCAAAAACTATCAAGACAAAGTGTAAAAGCAACAGAAGGCGACATAGAAGACAATAAAAATGAGTTGAAAGTAAAAATAAAGTACCAATGTATCAGCATGTTGGAAGGAGGCTCAATAACTCTACAAAGTCAGGCTACATTTTGGCAAAGGGATCCTATGACCCCTGACCTCAAGATGTCTGCATGAAAATAGGTTCTAATTGTTATAACCCACAGAAGACTGTCCACAAATGTGTGCCGCTCCCGTCTGCCCTGCTTACCTCACCTCAACTCATTCCCTCATTAGCCACTCTCTGCTTATATTAGTCCTCTCCTTTGTCCCTGTATAAGTTCATCAAAGTTACTGTGTTGCTCATGTCCTGAATCATGTGCATGTACCTGCCTGTAAGCTATTATAATTAGCTATTGAAAACATTCACATACGTGAAAGGCTTGAATGAGTGAAAAGTCAAAAAGGCAGTGTCCCTTTATCCCTGCTTTAGACACAGTATGCATTTCTGTGCCAACAAACAAACACGATGATGTGTTTTATCATGTCCTCTGTATTTCGGTGAAGTCTCAACATCCTGCTGTTTACTTGGACATAAAGTGTTTATAACAACCTGTTGAACTATGGAATGCTTGTCCCAGCTAGTGTAGTTCTGATTACTGAGTGGACCCTAAACTTCGCTCCCATGACGGGCAATTGGTTGGATTACACTGTTTAGTCCATATTCTTAAACAAATTATATTCTGCCCCTGCATTGCGTCACTACAGAGCAGAGCCAGCGATGTGTGAAGAAACACTCACGCAAGTACAGACAAGTACAAAACGTTTGAATGCAGACCTTGTGATCTGTAAATGTTGATTCTGGCATATTCTTGACTAAAATGCAACTGTTGTTCAAAAGCTCTTAATGTGTTGATTTTATAGGGATAAAGATGTTGTCTCGGGTCCAGGTTGACTGGATTGAATCTGTCCAATTGAACCTTCTCAGTGTCTAATTCCAGCTCAACTATATTGACTAAGCATGTCAAGACTTAATTTTAGGGTGAATGAAGATCTGATGAATATCTGGATATGATGTGGAGTCTATACTTGTGATGAGCTTAACCTCATGACAGGATATGATGAACTGGAGGAGGGCTGCAATGTTTTGCACTGATGATTCCACCCTGGGTACCTGAAGGGGGCAGAAACCTGAAAAACATCCCAGGTTATGCTCACAGGTATCATAGGAGGGAGGGAGAGAGCAGATGGAGTGTGATTGACACAAAGTAATATTTTAAATTGCCTACAACTGGAGTTTCTGGACATTTCATACAATGGATCCATATCTTTTTGCTGAATTGGATTTAAACCGGCAGCTGCTGGATAAAACTTTATTTACTCTTTTTTGTTCTCAGCTCGGTGAGACTCTCAGTCCTTATCCAGGGGAATTTGACATGAAGTTTCTTCTGGTGTTGATGTGTCTCTGGCAGATGATGGTGAGTCCACTATTATATATTATGTCTATCATATGTCTATTTGATTGTAGACGTTGGCTGACACACACCAATAGCTCTGCTGCGCTCTGCACACACACCGGCTCCCAAAGTCGCCCAAAAAAGTTTTCATAAAAAGCAGGAGAGCCTTGTGTGGAAGAGGATTGTAATGAATGAATCAGTGCATCAAAAGTGAAACCCACATGGCACCCTGTCTGTACTTGTTAGTGATAGTCATCTCTCTGTTAAAATGCCAAGAAGCACTTTTAGGTTTTATATTGGTGATTAAAATATTACAAATAACCAGGCGCAAGCATCATTCTGTACTTTTTCAAAAAGTTAAAATGATGTTTAAAACAATAGAACTGATCTAATATAGCCAGTGATATTACAGTGTCCCTAGTATGAGCTCAGGTATATAGTCCTTCATCATCATTCATCCTTCTCCACACATCCATTAAATGATGTCCTTCCAGTAACTGCCTCAGCAGCACTCTGTGGTTCCAAATTATTTCTGTCTGTAACATCATTCCCAGCAAAACTTCTCCTAAAGGAAAATCCTCTACATTAACTTAAAACAGTGCTTAGAACTTGAAAAAAAAGGAACTCCACCTGTCTCTTTTTGTCCCTCCACACTGTCCTGACTGTCTTCCCTCATTGTTTCTGTTTGATTCTGGTCTCTCGCTCTCAGCTGTCTTTCCCTCTGCAGCTGTCTTTCCCTCTGCAGCTGTCTTTCCCTCTGCAGCTGTCTTTCCCTCTGCAGCTGTCTTTCCCTCTGCAGCTGCCTTGTTGGTAACATTTTGCTCTGCGCAGTGTGTTTATGTCTCTCTCCACCACAACTAAAACATTTCATATTATCTGATGATTTAAAGATTCTAATCAAAGTCCTTTTTCCTTTTCAGAATCAGAATTAATAATCCCGTGGGGAAATTACTTTTGGGGGGGAAGACAATAGGAGAGGGGCACATTAAAGTAGTTGAGTAAATGCTGGTGAAATGCTTGCTTTGCATCGTATCCCTGCCTTTATCAACCCCGTCAGAGCACATATTTCCCTCATTTGAATTCCAGAAGAGTTTGACTTGTGACACAAAGAAATAAACCACACAGAAAAATATAGATAGATGATTTTCTGTCATCACACTATATGTATATTGTCATATCGCACTGGCCTAATTACTATAGTAAGTCCTTTGTTTGAAAATGTAGCCCAATATAAATGAAATTATGTAATCTATATCAAGCCCTGGAATTACTGCAGGAAGTAAATGGACACTTCACCCATTTGCATTAAGCTTTGTATCATTAGAACTGCAGTCATATTTTTGAATGGTCATGCATCATTCCCTCACTTCCCCGGAGAGGGGAGAAATACAGATTTTAGTGTTGCACTTCCTGATTCCAATGATGTAAAAATCGTCATTTTGCGTCATTGGAAGCAGGAAGTCTCATATCTCTGTAGAGGGGGTGAGACTACAAACACTACTTCCTCATTTTTTTTTCATTCACTCTACAGACCTATTACAGATCAGTGGGTGGGACTTCACCTGCAGAAACTAAAAAATATAAACAAGGAGGGGTGGGGCTGTGGTCATTAAGTCATTTAAGTGCCTTGTGCTGCCCCAAACTGACCCACTCCTGGATAGATCATTATCAGATGATCAAATCTTTATCATGAGTTTGAACTGTTTGTTTCCATAAGTGTATCTGCCCCTGTTTCTGGCCACAGCTCTACTGCTTTAGTTCATTGTCTTCACTCTTATTGTCTATCAGCCGCAGCAGGCAGCAGAGAGAAAGCTTTAATAAACCCTCAGTCAAATCAGTTATTATATATTTTTTATAGCCATGAAGCACTTCACACCCCAAATGAATGTATATATGTATATCTACATACATACATTCAATGGGTTGGTTGTGTATTTTTCAGAATATTCTCAATGATAATACTGTGCAAACAAAGAAACAGTTGTAAGTACATTGTGACCAGCATAATACGTGGGTGTGGAAAATTAATGGTTGTTATCTTGCAGCCAACAGTGAAGAACAAATTGTGACATCTTTTCTCTTTTCTCTCAGCTGGTGACACTGATATTGGCACGAATGCTATAATTTACATTGCTGGAGTCATCATTGCTGGAACTATAATTGGCTGTGTTGCTATATTACGAAGTCTCATCGCAGATGACAGTAAGTCACACATTTCTTCTGTCTTCATTTTTTTAACCTTTTTTTCAATAAAAATTTCACGCAATCCTGTAATCCTGTACTTTAACTATATACTATATAACACCCTGTCTTATTCATCTGTTTCATTCAGCACTCAACTCTTCTGTATCCCTTAAACAATTTGTTCTGGTGTCAAAATGTCAAAAGTAAAAGTTCAGAGAATAATAAAAGTTCTAATTTGACTTCACGATGGCATTTTGGTCAGAAAGTGAATAGTAAGTATTATCAGCAAAATCAACTTAAAGTATGAAAAGTAAAAGTGCTTATTGTGCAGTAAAATGTTCTCAGTGTTTTATCTGATATTTGGGATTATTGTTACAGTGTCAGGTAGTTTAATCTACCGTAATGCATCATATTCTATAAGATCATCATATGTTAGTCCTGTGATAACCATTTATCTTTGTGACGATGCATTTTCCAGCAAATCCAAGAGGGGTTTTAATTAGTTTATTTAACTTAACAAGTGGGATCATTTTTCTCCTCTTTATTTCCAATAATGTGATAGAAAGTCAATTCAGGTGCAGGGAATCGTTCACAAGTTCTTTTTGATATTTGTGCCTTCAGTACTTAAGACCACGATTTTATAAACCTGTATTATTGTGTACTTTTATTTCTATTACATTGTATAAGCTGCAGTTGGTAACTTTTATAAAAAATAACCAATCAGCTATCTTTCTTTGCCCGGTGGATTCTTGCAAATACCATTAGGAGCACAAGGAGGAGCAAATTATCCGCTCATGTTCTACTGTCAGGATATAATGAAAGGTTCAGCAAAAATGACAAAAAGTTATTTTTCCAAAAGTTACAGGCTGCAGCTTTAACCTTTGTTACTCAGTGTGCTGCTGTTTTAAAGGTCCAGTGTGTAACCTTTAGGAGGATCTGTTGTCAGAAATTGAATATACTGTATTATTTAAGGGCTTTCGTGTATCTCCTGATAATAAGAATTGTTGTGTTTTTGTGACCTTAGAATAGGTTGTTTTTATCTACAGAGGGAGCAGTGGAGTTCGCCATGTTCCTACAGTAGCTTCACAGCCACTGTAGTTTCTCCTACACATGTCAAAGGTTGAGCTGTATTCAAATGGGTGCAATCTGTAACTTTATCACTAAATGCCACTAATACTGCACACTGGTCCTGTAATAATATGTTTGTATTGATTGCACTGTGCTTCATCTTGTTACTGCCCTGTGAAGCACTTTTGTATATAAAAATGTTTTTTTATTTTTATAATGTGCTCAAATATTCATTCACAACCACAAACACACATGGAGGTTGTAATTTTTATTAAACTGAAATATCCTGATGCTGTGATTGTTGTTTCTTTGTGAAAATATTTGTATGTATATGTATTTTTTAACTTGTTCATGGCCTTTTTTTACATTTTTAATTGATCAACATGTCCTCCCTCATTAAATGACTTCAGGTTCCACACCAGTGCCTGAATTGGGCTAAAAAAAAGGTGCAAATTCAGCACAATCCTAACAGCAGTTTTATGTCTACACAGAGATGTATTTAATTCAGTCCTCATAATGTAATCTTTTCTGTGCAATTTAAACACTGCTGTCTGTTGGTATTTATCAGATAGTTGTATTTCACCCTCACCACTGTCAGGAACAAAGTCACAGAACACATAATGCAGAATTAATGCAGAAAATGTAGCCCTTCAGAATAAAATGGAGCCTGTGCGCCGGCATTAAGAGCCTTCTACCTCCAGGGGGAAAGTGAAAGTAAACACAGTCGGAGGACGTGGAGTCTCTCCAGTCTTTATCCAGTGGCCGAGATGAAGTTGCTGCTGGTTCTGATGTCCTCTCTCTCTCTGGTGGACGCTCCAGGTCGGTTTTTATTTTTCTTTTCTTCATAAAATCACTTCTGAAGACTCTTCATTTAACTCTTTAATTAACCGGTAATATTCTGGCCATTTCTTTTCTTTATTAGATTCAGATGAACCTTTAAATCACATAAAGTAAAGTTTGCGTTCTCAGAGTAAGAGGACCCAGTTTTCATCAGATTTGTGTCTGTGCAGCAGATTTAATCTGATTGTAGTTGACATTGTGGTCATCGGGATGAGCAGTAAAATCATCAGTCAAAGTAGGTATTTTGCCGTAAAATGTCCCCTGACTGATAGAATAGGCCATTAGATTGTAACACTGATGCTTGAATGAGCTAAGTACTATAGTTAGTGCAGCGGTTCCCAACCTGGGGTTGGAGTCCCTCCAAAAGCTCACCGGATAAATCTGATGGGGTCATGAAAGTATTAGGAAAGTTCTGATGCACAAATCTGTTTGTATATTGGATCATTTGTAGAGTGGTCACATTAATGTTGCAGAGTAAAAGGTACAATATGGAAATACTTTTCTTTCTTTCTTTTTTACTACTGTTTTTTATTAAGTCACAAATCAGTTCAAGTATTAAAATAACTATGAAGTTGATGAAATAAATGTTAAGCATGTTCTCTGAGCTGTTCAAGCTGCCTAAACTGCCTGATTTGACTTCACAACAGCTTTTCTAAAAAATTGCGATGCTACAAAAGTTGATTGATAGTAGATTTTTGTTGTTGTTGTATCAGTCATCAAAAGGAAGCTTGTTAGAGTGAGAGTAAAATCACTGGTAGTTTGATGACTAAAATATGGAAAATTGTGGGGATTGGTTGAATTTGCGTTACTTCCCTGAGGGACTGATTGAGGAACAGTGTTTAATGATGCGGCAACAGGAAGTGTATATATGATGCTTGTTTCTTGTTTCTTGTTTCAGAGTCTGATGTGATTGGCTCACATAACCCAGTTACAGTAACACTCGGTGATAACGCCATCCTGCCATGTTACCTGGAGCCTCCATTCGATGTGAGGACTCTAACAGTGGAGTGGAAACGTGATGAACAATATGTCCACGTCAGCCGACATGGGAAGGACTATCTAGATGATCAGGATGAGAACTTCCGAGGTAGAACATCTGTCTTCCATGAAGAAATGATCTTTGGAAACATTTCACTAAAACTGACCAACGTAACTGAACTGGATGCTGGAAGTTACACCTGCTTTGTTCCTAAACTACAAAGTCAGGCCAGGAGAGGCTTCATTAACCTCACTGTTGGTAATAAATAACACATTCAAATTTAAAAATGATTACATATTTGTAATGTGTTAGAAGTATTTTAACACAATTCAACTCAATTGTCCTACAGAGCCAGTGGAGCAGAAAAATGACAAAGGAAGTCAGACCAATAATACCAGTGAGTAATAACGGAGTTTTTATTTATTTGTATCCCCATTAACTGTCGTCTGCTCTTCCTGTTTATCAGAATTTTGTCACATATTTAAATATTTTATTTCTTTTTTTCCACAGACACAGAGCCAGGGAATCATGGTGAGTACAATATACGTTAATAGTTAATGTGCATATCTGCTAGTTTCACCTCCATCAGTGTGGTTTGAGATGATAATTGAGTTCATTTTTTGTTATACTGGCATCAAATTAAGGCTGAATCCAGAACTCCTCTAGTAACTTTTTAGTTTTAGCTTTGTTGTGGCCGAGCTTTAGATTTGAGTTAACAATATTTAAAAGGTAATGATATTTCAGTGTGTTCAATCAAAAGAAATAGCCTCTAACAAACAGATTTAAGTACATTGTGACCAAGAGAAGAAGTTGCTGTGGAAAATGGATGGATGTTGTCTTGCAGTCAACAGTGAAGAACAAATCGTGACACTTTTGTTCTGTTCTCTCAGGTGTTCTTGGCGCTGTTGCTATAACTGGCATTTCTGTAGCAGTCTGTGCTCTCCTTGCTGTTGGTATTGCTGCTGTATTATGGATGAAATATGGAAATCTCAGTAAGTCACACTTTTTCTTCTGTATTTCCTGTATCAGTGTACGTTCTATCTGCCCCTGCTGTTTCAGAGCTTTCTCACTATCCTGCTGTCTGATTATGATGGTTGATCTGGGACAAGCTCCTTTACTTGTAGTTCCTCACTGTCAATAACAACAAGTGTCATCACTCCACTGCTGACTGACTCTGCTTGGGCTGATAAAATAATCGCCCTTTTCACATCCTATTCTCACTTTTCCTCTAAACTCAACCCAGAGCACTCAAACTACAGAAAACACTCAGTTTGGAAATCACTGACTGATAACTTGGTTTGTGTTGTTGATATGTGTTCAGGAGGACAAGAGAGAGAATATCTTCCAGCACAGAGGGACAATGCTGGACTCTGATGTCAAAATGTGTTTTTTCTAAAGGTTCATGCAGTCAGTACACAATACAATCATGACTGAAGGTATGTGTGAGGTTTTCATTTGTATTCACTGTAAACTGGATGATGATAGCAGGTAACTCCTGTCTGAACTCATGGTGGCGCTATGGTCATCAGCAAAATCTCAGTACTGAGTGTGCAGTAAATTTTGTCTCCTGTCAGTGTTTTACTTTTGACTTGATGTTACTGCTGTGTAAGGCTGAGCTTATTTTAACTACTCTATACACAGTTGGGTAGTTTAATCTACAGCAATGCATCATATTCTATCAGATCATAACATAGTTTAACATAGTTTTCCTGTAAGGTTCTCACCTGTAAAAAATCAGAAACAGCCTATTTTCAAATTTTACTTATACTTGAGTAAATGTACTTAGTTACATTCCACCACTAGACACATTACAGTAACAATAAACAGCTGTCTGACCTGTGATTACTGTCAGTATGAGCAGTTACATTAGGCTGTATGTGTAAGATATTACAGGATAAACATTAAATAGAGCTACACTGAGACGTATCAATGAATTTATTTATTTTTCACTGTGATCTGTAAATACTGTAAAAACTTGTAAATGTGTTTGTTGGTTGAATATATTCTGAAAGGTTTATGAACGATGTCGACCTGAGGTACGTGTGCAAATGATTCCACTGGATGTCAGTAAATCCTTCACACTGGACCTTTAATAGTGTGTTTGTAGTGCGCCTCATGTTATCTAGCTTCATTTTCCACTTCAACATCTATTTTAAAAAGCACTATACTGTATATATAAAATGGTTCTAGTTTTATACCAGCATGCTCAAAATCACACATGGAGGGTCATTTTTATAAACTGAAACATCTGGACACTAAGAGACTGAAATATCATCCTGAAACTGTGATTGTTGTTTGTTTATGAAAATAAATGTATTTTTTAACTTGTTCATGGCCTTTTTCTTACATTTTTAATTGATCAACATTTCCTCCCTCATTAAAGGACTTTTGGTTTAACACCAGTTCCTGAATTGGGCTAAAAAAGGTGCAAATTCAGCACAATCCTAACCACAATTTAGCTGTAACCGATACTTTTTGCTGTTTTCTCTGCATTAAACTAGCTATGTGTTTACAAAGAGACACAGTTACACAGGCAATAATTACCCCCTGTATTCTCCCCATATTCTGCCCCTCACATTTATTTTTTCTAACTGTAACCATTTCTATATGGCTCTGAACCTAACCAACCAAACCAATGAAGGCAATGAACACGAGCCAATCAGAGGAGTGTTCTTATGAGGGGGCTGAGGAGTGTATACCTAGACTCACCAGGAGGTGGCACCACACAGTCAGAAGTAAGGGTGCTCATGTGGACAGAAATCACAAGTCCTCAGTACCTGTGAGCACTGGCTCCATTTCAGGCAGTAAAACTCATTTACATTCTGCTCCCAGTCACCATTTTAGTTCAGATGTTACTAAGTTGTTGAGTTTTAACTGCTCCATGATGTCCAATATACACAGCACTGCACTCTAGTGACACAGGAGGATGTAACAGGAAAGTTAGACACTATATTCACAGAGAATTTAACCATACATCTATTGTGTAACAGAGAGCAACAGTTACAATCTACACATTTCCAGATAGCTGGAGCTGTATGCGAGCTTGATTTGAGACATCACAAACAGTCAATCCTGGTCCAGTCTGCAACTTATATAAATGAAGCCACCAGTGACACTGAGAATGGATCTACAGTGAAGTAGGAGACACACAATTTGCACATGATGTAGAAGTCTTTTTAATGATTTTCATGTGGAAATTATTTTCTTTTTATGGATAAAAACACATCAGAGACACTTTATTGTTCCAAGCAGACTATTTGTATATTAATGCACATCTGGAGGGGATCTTTACATAAACCATGGAAGCAACATGTAGCTAAGACATAATACAAATAAGCAAATACAACATGTATTAAATAATATATATGAAAATGAATACTGCCTTTTCCCCGTCATATTGGCCAAAATACTGTACAAACAGGTTGTTCAATGTCACAAATTGTAGCTCCTCCTCCTCCTCTTCTTCTTCTCCTTGTTATTCCAGTAGGACATGATCAGATTCCTGCAGCTCCCCTTTTAGCATTAGCTCGAGCTGCAGGAGAACAGAGCAAAGAAAGTATTTTAACTATGAGTTAAAGTCCCTGCTTTGCCACACCTGTCAGTCACCGGCCCTGAGACTCAGGCACAGTGAGTCTGTGTGAACAGAACGTTTAGCTTTGCTGTCACTTCCTGCTTTCTATTATTGTTACTGTGACAACCTCACCTCGTCAACCACAAACAGGCTGCAGCCTGTTTTTGGTTTCAACTATGTGGGTTTTCCGGTATCTTGAGCTGGCCCTGTTTTTACTGAGGTATGTCACCATGGAAACCTATGCTGCACAGCTAATCTGCCTGGGGGCAAACTTCAACAATAGGCAGACTGTTGACCAATCAAATCACTGGAACAACTGAATCATCCTTCCAACAGTTTCCTGACAGAGACTAAAGTGCCAACTTCACAATAAAGTGACGAGTAATAAAGAGATAAAGATACTTTCACAGGTCAGTTGGATCACCTGCTTCTCATGTTTCCAAACACTGAAAGATTCCTGACAATGTTTTTACCCTTGACTGCAGCTCAGAGTACCTGGTCCCTTCTGGTCTGAGTGGTTGCAGAGTATCTGGACAAATCCAGTAAGCTTGGCCCTGACCTCTGACCCCTTGTGGAGGTGGCCGGCAGATCAATACTTTCTGTTATTATTAGGGTTTTGAGAAGTGTTCTTACCTCGAGCCCACCTTCTGTACGTGTATACACAGAAGATGAGTATGGCATTGTAGAGGATGAACAGCAGGATGGTACACACCAGGTCGGGCAGAGACATCAGAGGAGGAGAAGGAGGAGGAGGAGGAGGAGGAGGAGAAGGAGAAAAACTTGTAGGCTGAGCTGTGAGAAAGAAAACGATCATCAGAGTTTCAAACATGAAACATAATCAGTTCTGTTCTCATCCAAATATCTGCATGTGAGTCCAGAATCTGGAGGCAAGGGACAAGATTTTGGTAAGGGAAGCGGCTGTGGTTTATGTTTGTTGTGTGAGTTGTATTGACCAATCATGTCAACAGTCTGTATGGAGATGGAGCAATCATCTTACAATGATGTAGCTCTTTATTAGCTTTTTAAAAATGGATGTATGATATCTGTTTATAGAGATCAGCCGAGATTAACAAATTGGCATTTGTAGTTATGTACTATACAACCCGCCTTGGAACAAATGCCATATGTGTTGATAAGGATGATAATAAAATAAAATCTAATGTTGTTGTTTAATTTATGTTTCTGTTTTTAGTGCCTTTTAACAAACACTATCTCCCCTAAGACTTAGAGCCCATGGGTCAAGGGGCCAAGTCCATGGGTAAGTCCAGCGGCCATAGTTGAGGTTTAGGCAGCAGAAGATAACTTGAAAATGACTAAAGAGTAGAGCTTAAATATCGTAGATATGGGCTGGGGACGCACCCATTGAGAAATTCTGGGCCGATAACTGATACATATATCTAAAATATCAGTTTGGCTTTTGAACAATGCCAATATCTGATGTTTTTTTGTTGTTGTGTATGTTCCCTTTTGTGCCAGGGCAACAAGGGAAAAAAATGCAATCTTGTAAAACTTAACAAAGATAAGGCAATACAAGGCAATACTAAAAAGCAGACGTCCCATCACACACGCACTGAATATTGGAAGCAAAACATTTTGTCACCTCTCACAGCCAGCCAGCTCCGCTTTGACTTTCCTTTTCCGGGGTGTTCACACTCGTAGAAACCTTCGTCAGATTTGGACACCGATTTAAGGATCATCTCTCCTCTCTCAGTACCGATGAAAACATTAGCTCTGTAGAATGTAGCAGAGAAATCTGAAGTAGACTTATCTTGGACTTTTTCCTTGTAGGAACAGCGAAGTGTCACTTTATCTCCCACTGCCACAGGAAGTGAAGGGCTCTCCAGTATCACAACACCATCTGGAATATACAACAACACCTGACTACTAGAGCTTAACGTTTCTTTAAAGTCTACTGACCACAGCAGCATAGCAGCAACAGTGAGCTGGTAGTCAGAGCTAATGAGCAGCTACTATCAGACTCTCCGTCTCCATGCTGGAAACACAGAGAGTCCGCTGGAGCTTTTATAGTCACTAGAAGCACATTCATGTTTGTTTTTAAAAAATATGTGTGTGACTTGTGTTGTAGTTAACCTAGCGGCTATGTTGCAGCTAAGCTAATGACTCAGAGAGGCTAACTCTCTGGTATGTGTGTGTCTGTGAAGGGTGTGTCCGTTTGTGGGATCATCATCAAGGGAAATAACCAGTCCAAACCACGGCACCAAAATAATACAAACATACTAATTAGAGGGTTAGCAAAAATCACAAATTCCTGTGAATGATTCGTCTCGATCACTATACATTTAAAAATCAGTGCAGCTGTTTCACAGACACAAAGCGGAGGCTGGGGGAGGTGGGCCACATAAATTAGTCCCAAAGAGCTGACTCTATGTCAGCATTGGCCTTGCAAGGTTCAGTTTGATTTAAAACAATAGGGGGCGCATTGAACAGCTCAAAAACATGTTGATGATCATTTAACAATCCAGAAGATTCAAAACACAACCGCACACACACAAACAAGCTCCATGCACATTGGTATTACCTGTCACTGTGATGTTGATGCTGTTGCTGTACTCCCTCTGCTCAGACTCACACCAGTACACTCCGGTGTCAGATGGCAAGGCATCATCAATGGTACAGGAGGACTCACCTGGTTTCCCCCAGACTGTGCATGCCACAAACGACTTCAGTGAGGTAGTTCTTTTCACTGTCCAACCGCTGGAGTTTTCCTGCACCGGACACCTCATAGAGATTCTGTCATACTGAAAGAACTGAGATCTGTTGGGAGTGATGGTCAGTGTGGCTGCAAGGGGGGTGAAACCTGCAATCATTTTGAATGCATTTCAATTATTTCTGTGCTGGCACTTCTGGGTTTAAATGTTGTTAAGGTGGTAACATTTAAAGCAGCATTCATTCAAGATTTTCTTTTGTTTTAATATTCAACTAAATGACTGTGTGTTGTGAAAGCAGTTGCTCAAAGTGAAGAACAATTAGTAGAATAATTAGCACGGACTCTGCAGCTTTACAGCACTCCTTAACCTCTTTAGGTCATTGTTTTGGTTTCACAGCACATTAATGAAGCTATAACATCGTTGTATTGTTTAGCAAATCTTGTTCCTAGCCTCAACAGGCAGCCACAGTAAACCCACTGTACAATACTTGTCCTGCATAAAACAGCAGGTAGACAAAGTTAGAGATTAGCTTGTGAAGAAAATAGAATATATTGTAGCTAAAGAGATAGACTTTGTCTTAAAAGTAGATATAAAGTAAACCAGAGAGTAAAAAAAAAAAAAGAAAATTGATCATATCGAGGTTCTCCTTACTATGACTGCAATTAGCATCTTCAAATACTACAACACAATGTTCACAATACCTAGGCCAGCAGGACACAACGTGGGTTGATTTATGAGCAAGCTCTGATTTAAAAAACAACAACAAATTGAATAAAAGTTCAGTGGTCGAGTGGTTGTCAGATGAGCGGAGAGAGAGAGAGCAGGAGGTAGATACATTTTTAAAAGTTACTTACAGAGCATTAGGCAGAGCGATGTGATCTCCATCGTGTGTCGATGCTGTGAGTCTTCCTCTATGTGTGTATAGAGAACCACATCCTGACCAAACACAGGAAGTCAAGACACTGGTGCAAGCACTGCTGGGTCTTAGTGGTGATCACAATACAGGTTAATTTATACAGGTGCAACGTGTCTTTAAAATGACTGAAGCTTTGTGACCAAAACAGGTGTTCAACAGGGTCAATGAACTTTGAAGCAGATGTCAGCATTTATTTAAAGTTATGATTTCATGCTGTCAGTAAGTGCTGAATGTCTCCATAGGATGTATTTCACTGTTTGCTGATGATGTTTTACTGGATGTATCCAGTAATCAATCCCACTTCTCATCTGTCTCATCTGCTTCAGAAACTTGAGTTTGAAGAATCAAACCCAACCTTGATGTAGTTCATTCTTTTATGTAAAACCATCCAATAAAAGACAAGAAAAGCTATCCGAGTCACATTTCAGTGAAACAGGATGTAAAGAAACCACATAAAGACATTGATAGACTCAAACAAAGTTAGACTGGAAACGATATTATGGGTACAAAATGTGCACAATAATACTAACCATCATTTTCGCCCACAGGCTGCCCCTCTCTGCCCCTGTTAAGTCATTTTTCATCAGCCAAGCCACTTGCCCCTTGTTCCTGAAACTAGGTTCTTTAGTTGGACTCAAATGTCCACAATCATTTTCAGTAAATATAACTTGGGCTGCAGAATCAGCCAATATTGTCACTCTTGTCTGACTGGAAAACCTTCACCAAACACAGTAGACTTTTATTAAAAAAGCAATCCTCTGGCCAACAATCAAACCACAACACCTCATCATACTTCACCATGAAACTAACAATGTGACGTGACAGCCCCAACCACATCTTTTCACTTCTTCTGTGATTTTTCTGAGTGGGAAATAAAAATCAGCTTGTAAGTTCACAATTGGCCTACATTAAAGTAAATTATTGCTAATTAAGTTGTGATTCATGAATTTCTTAAATAAAAGGGGGTGCACCACAGAGGTGAGTTACAACTTACCTCTACCTAGCTGCACAGTAACCATGACGATGGGACTCGTCTTTGACCAGCCACTTGACCACCATCTGCTGGTATGATGGAAGACCTGCAACCACTACAGGAAGTCCCTGAGAGAACATTTACAAGATAATATGAGTTTAACAGGAACATTATTCAAACCAAACAAACTGGAAATCATTTCTGTAAATAACACTGATGAATAAGTTTTTTCTGTCACAACATTTGACCTTCTGAAACTGTCAGTCTTCATTACTGAACAACAAAGACTCAGTATCCACTTTATTAGGTACTATAAGACAACTGTTCTGCCATAAAGTTGACTTTATAATATCCAGAGGTGTTAACTCAGTTAGGCTACATGCCTATTACTGAGGTTCATTATTAAAGATAGTTTGTACTGGACTATATTCTATTATATTGAAAGGGGGGCAGAATATTGTAACATGTCTGAATATGACTACTTTCAGTGACCTCAATACTAAAACATAGAATTGACTGAACAGATCTTTTACAGTGTGAACAAAAACTGAACATAAAATCAATTTTATATTATAATATATCGGACTGTATTAGACAGTTTCAACCCCAATTTGCTTCAGGTTCTCAGCCTTTTAAGGTCGTGACCAACAGAATAACCGGATCAGGGTTTTTTCCAGAGACTCTTCAGGCATTGCTGTAATGTAACACATGAAAGCAACAAAACTCAGGAACACAGAAGATAATTGCTTTAAGAGCAACTGGTTAAATGTTGGCTTTAATACATGCTTTTTATTTATTGAAATAACAACAGTCAACATGTCTGCTTTAGGCCTAAGAGCTCAATAAAAGATAGAAATAAATGCTCATGAGGAAACTGGCCCTGTTAACATGTATAAAAACAGAGTTTATAGCCTATAGTATTCTGTGTTTTTAAGTTCTTGTCCTCTGTGTTCAATGTCGCTGGATGTCACAATATCTTATTTTATTCTCTACAACTATACGGCGACCCCCTCTGGAAATTAACTAATGAACCTTTTGGGGGTCCCAACCCCCAGGTTCAGAGGCAGCAAAACTGTACATTTTCTATTAATGTTAATGCTTTGTATGTTATTGTTCATCCTGAGCTGCAGCAGGCCCTGATGTAAAAGTTTTTTTGCAATTGTGCTGAGGTTAGTGGTTATTTTCTCATTTATTGTCAGCTTCCCTGCCACACTGGCCCACATTTATTCAAATATTTAAAAAGCTACAGTCATCACAGTTTTAATTTTGTGTCTTTAGATAAATGAGTCATCTGCTGGCAGTTATTGCCTCACAGCACGGAGAAAGTGAAACTAAAGTTTGTTCGTGGTCGGAGAGAGTTCATCTGGATCGTATATTTCTTTCACTTAATCTTTGACATAATGTGACATGAGCTCGCTGAGATCCACTGTGCCTGTTCTTCATCCAGAGATCATGATGAAGTTCTTTATTGTGGCTTTGCTGTCTTCTCTCCCTGCAGTGGGGGGTTACAGGTGAGATTGTCCTGCTTTAGAGAACAGAAACAGTGCTGGATTCAGCTCTTCCTGCTTTTTGATGTGGGTAAACAATCTCAGACTGTTACAGTAAAATGCTATTCTGAAATGAATGCTGAGAATCAAATGCTGTTCTGTTTGATCTGTATTGGCTTCACAGTGAATTCCATTTTGGATTACACTTATTTATCAGCACATCGCCATTTTGAACGCATTCAGTCATAAACAATATAATCAGATGGTGTTATCAGAACTCGACGGACTTTATTTTATTGACTTCATCTGATACTCAGTTAATGTTTTCCTTATTTAAACACTCATCATTTTATCATAATAAAATGTCAGTATAACTATATAACTGCAATGTGTAAACACTGGGGACACTCATCTTCCCCTTAAACTAATATCTGACTCAGTGTGCAGACAGATCCTGTATTTACTGTTCAGAGGAACCAAGAACGACATTAGGAGGAAGTAACAATTTAGAATCTCTTATTACTGTTTTTGGCGATCAGCAGACATTTAGTAATACTAATAATAATACTAATAATAATCTACTAAAGTAATGTTTAACTATAGCAGGACTTGTTGAATGAGACAATGGGACTGCACACATGTGAACTGTACTGATATTGATAGTTAGACATAGACAGTTCTCAGTGCCAGAGCAGCAGCCTGTTACCTGTTGCACATGAACAACCTCCTGTATTATAGTGATGGGCAGATCGCACTGAGATCGATCTGATGGGCTGGTTATTCAAATTAGGAACACATTGTGAATAATAGCAGATTGATTGAGGGTGAATTAGTGTGTTTTTCCCCATTAGGAGAGACACTGTGCGCATTTATGCACGAGGCACAGCAGCATAACTTTATTGACATCTATACGTTTATTTAAATTTCGAAACATGCAGACAGGATGGTTAAAACCTTTCGCATCTCGACAGAAGAGACAACGATTTGTATTTATTGCTATTGTGACATGACAATAAATTATGTTAAGAGTATTTCTTGCTGACAGACAGACTCTCCACTCAAATGCAGTTTCCAGTCAATAACTGATACCCCATAAAAGCGCGCGTCGGTCAGTAAAGACTTCTCTTCTTCTTCTCCAGAGTATCTTCGCTCATAGCCCCTTGAGAGATCACACTGGGACAGCCTGTAAGATAGTGGACCAGAACATCTTCCGGTCAAAGCCAGGATCAAGGAGATGTAAAATAAGAGACTGGGTACTCATAGATAGACACTAAGACACAGAAAATAAACAGCATTCACAGCTGGAGATGTGACATCAGTACCTTAGTGGGACAAGAAAAGAGGAGAATAAAAGAAATGAATGGTGACTAAAGACCTAAAAGGCCTATGAGAAGCAGCTAAGCTGAATAAAAATCACATCATGTGTACACACACCAGTGACACTGGACCCAAACTACACCAGTATAAAGTATATTCATATAGAAAGAAAAACTCAAAAGCTTCAAAAGGAAACAATGTTAATGTTTGTGTTGAATTCACAACACTGAAATCAGGAACCTGTGCTCTGCATGAGAATATGAACAGAATTCAATTATTATCAATATTGACTAACCTTGCATGTTCTTTGTTGTAGAATACTGAATGAAAGCTCATCTGGTCTAAATGTAATATTTGTTTCATCAGCAGACTCTGCGATATTTTGCTCTCCCAAGCCAGCAACAGCAGTACATTGTGAGGATGTGACTCTGCAGTGCCACCTTGATCCCCCTCAAGATGCGACTAATATGATGGTGGAGTGGCGTCATGGACACAATAATGACATTGTGCACCTGTATCGAGACAGAAAAGACAATCCTGCTGAGCAGAAGGAGCCCTTTGAAGGGCGAACTTCTCTCTTTCGTGAGGGGGCTGACCAAAGGAAACCTGTCACTGAAACTCTCCACTGTAGCCCTCTCTGATGCTGGAAGATACAGATGTTCCATTCACACTGACAAACTGCAGAAGAGTTGTTATGTTAACCTCACTGTTGGTAGGTACACTGACACACACTATTTCCTGCACGTTAAAAGAGCGGAATTTTTGCATGTGGAGGAATTATTTTAACAGATTTAAAATTATTCAGCGCTTCAAACAGCAGCAACCTACCCCACATAAACAAATAAATAATACAAATAAATAAATATAGTGTGTAGAGATAAATCAATACATGTTGTTTAAACCTCAAAATGTTTCAAAACTTACCATCAACTCTATAAAAGATGGGATGTCAGACAATTGTCTACAACTTAATACTGACAAAACAGAAGTTCTTATATCCTCCCCAGATTGTGTTGTCCTGAAGGTTTATCCACTTTATTCATTAAACCTACTTTCTATAATGTAGGTGTTTCTTTGGGCCAGGCTTTGAATCTTGACCAGCATGTGAATTGTTTGGTTTGCTCCTGTTTCAACCAGCTGAGGAGCATCGTTAAACTTCGTTCAACAAATGAGTCCATAGCTGAGATGGAGAGGATTATACATGAATTCTTTTTCTGTTAAGGTTTCACTGGCCTATATTTTTAATAATGATCTTATTGTGTTCTCTTCTTCTGCAATGTTTTACTAGGGCCCGATTGGAGAATTAGCACAATGAAAAGTTTAAATTAATTGATCATGGTGAATTGGCAAAGGCAATCTACAGGACCAATGCAAAAACCTCTTGTTAAAAAAGGACCAAGGATCAATATAGTCAATAATGATAAATTAAAAAATGCCTTCATCTGCCCTGTAACAAATGTTTGTGATCGAATTGGGACATTGTTTGCTTCTGTGCTGGTATATTTAGATGGAAACTTGGCTACAGTTTGTTATAGGCCTGTGTACTGTGTACTAATGAAATATTTAGGTCCCAGTTAGGACTAGCTAGTCAGTGTTTAATGATGCTGCAACAGGAAGTGTAAATATGATGTTTGTTTCTGCAGGAGAGTCTAAAGTGATTGGCTCACATGACCCAGTTACAGTAAGAGTCGGTTATGACGTCATCCTGCCATGTCACCTGGAACCTCCATTCGACGTGAGGACTCTAACAGTGAAGTGGACACGAAATAAAACAGTTGTGCACGTCAGTCGACATGGGAAGGACTATCTAAATGATCAGGATGAGAACTTCAGAAATAGAACATCTCTCTTCCATGAAGAAATGACCAATGGAAACATTTCACTAAAGCTGACCAAAGTAACTGAACTGGATGCTGGAAGTTACACCTGCAATGTTCCCTGTCTGCAAAGTCAGGTCAGGAGAGGCTTCATTAACCTCACTATTGGTGAGTTCAACTAACCTAATACTTACTATTACTAAAATGAAATAAGACATTTATTTTGTATGTATTAAAGTATATCAATTCTTAAACACAATTCAACTCAATTTTCTACAGAGCCAGCGGACCAGACAGAAACCAAACAAAGTGAGTAAATATCTGAGTTCTGTTTATCTGTATTTATCTGTCACCAAATTAACAATCTTCCTGTTGGTCTGAATTTGACCACATATTTGAATATTTTTTACACAGAAAAAAAGTCAGGGGATGCTGGTGAGTACAGTGTACACACTTGTGTCATTCGTAACTGTTAAATCTTCAAAATGTTAAAGCACATCTGCTGGGGGTGGTGAATTTGTTCATCTTGAAGGCAGGGGGGATGAAGAGGAGTGAGAGGAAGGTCAGGCGTATCTTCATTCAAGAGCGTGGTAACAAAACTATTTACGAATGTAAGTGGAAAGTTGTGTAACTGTATCTCAATCCGTGGGTGCATAATCAGATTTGTAAAAGAAAATACACTTAATTAATTGTTAGACAGAAGTGGGCGTGTCTCCTCACACACACTAATCTCCACTGGCATTTGTAGAAAAGTGACAGGTACAAAGAGCCAATTGAGAGTCCTGCCTGAGTTGTAACCGATTAATTGTCTGTATTTCCAGCTATTAGAGCAAATACTTAGACTTTTCAGCCATTAATATGTATGTCTGCATTTACAGATTCGTCCACACATTTACAAATCTCAATACATTTGCAAATATGAACAGATTTGGATTTTATTTTACACATTTGCAAATCAGATTACACAGATTGAGATACAGTTACACAACTCTGCACTTTTTTGTATTTATAAATAGTTTTGCTGGGATAAAACCCATACAGGAGGACACTGCAATGTGATTAAAACCACCCAGAAGATCATTTGTACCCACATCAGTGATTTACACCCCACCTCGAGATACTAAAAGGATACTAGAAGAAAGACCATCACAGCCATGGCCTGTCCACACTGCTGCCATCCAGCAGCTTCTTCTCTCAGGCTGTAAGGCTGCTGAATTCATTGTCAGCAATTCATCATGTAAAATTGGATTTTCTATTTTTATTTTATTTTTTTACTGTAGCCCAGAATGGACAAACCAAACACTGGCTGTGGGGCTGTTTTGGGAGTTTTACAACATCTGTAGTTTCTCCTACGGGCTTGGAAGGCTGTGTTGTATTTAGTTATTTGCTATCTGTAACTTCACCACTAGATGGCACTGAATCCTCTACAGCGGTCCTTTAAATAACCCTGGATCCTCGTATTTCTGGAGAATATTCTCACTGATAATACTGTTTGTTTACTGTTGTGCAATGAAAGAGATTCTAACCAACAGACAGTTTTGGTGGGATGGACTCCAAGTACACATTGAGACCATGAACAGGAGAAGTGGCTGTGGAAATATTGTTGATGGATGTTATCTTGGAACAGTGAAGAACAAATCTCAACATCTTTCCTCTGTTCTTTCAGGTGGTGGCACTGATTTTAGCACTGGTGCTATAATTGGCATTGTTTTTTCTGTCATTACTGTCACTGCCATTGTTGCATTGGCTGTATTGATGAACTGTATAAAGAGCAGTAAGTCAATAATCTTCTCTCTCTCCATTTTCTCCATTTAAAAAGACAGTTTACAGTTTTTCAGTCAGTCTTCAAACAACAGTGAACAGTGAAACAGGTTTTTCTTGCTGTAATGGTTCCTCCTGTTATACTGGACATTAAAGATCTCTTCCTAAAGTACTTTCAATGGAAGTGATGAGGGGAACAATCTACAGTCCTCCTTACATGGAAACATGTTTTCAGAAGTGTATCTAAAGCTAATATCAGCTAATATGTGTTTATAACTCCATCATGTATTTAGAAATCATTTATTGGGGGGTCTGCACCCTGCCTCTCATGTACAGTGTGTCTGAGCTTTCTCACTATCCTGCTGTCTGATTATGATGGTTGATCTGGGACAAGCTCCTTTACTTGTAGTTCCTCACTGTCAATAACAACAAGTGTCATCACTCCACTGCTGACTGACTCTGCTTGGGCTGATAAAATAATCGCCCTTTTCACATCCTATTCTCACTTTTCCTGCTTTATTCTTTGCTGATGATGCTACTCTGCTGCAGGAGACTATGTTGAATGCTGCCATTTAATCATGACTTCCACAGAGCTTTAACCAAATTGAGCATAGCGTTAGTTCAGGCAGGGCACGAAGTCAGGCTTAGCTTTCAGTTACAGCTATATCATACGATCACAGCTAGTCATAAACATACATCAGCTGATTCCTCTAAGCTTCCCATTGGATACCATACACAGTCAGCTGACAGCTCACCTGATTTCCTCAAGCATCCAATTGGCAAACATCTACATGGCGCCTTATTTAAGCTGCTTTAGCATGCCTGCCTATCTCTGCTCCTTCTTCTACAAGCCCTTTGGACCCACCTCCACCACCAGCTCCTCCTTTTTATGTTGTTTCTAATTAATCAATGTAATTTTTGATTGCCATTGATGCTGCTCTGTTCTGTACCCTGGGGGTCTCTGCTGCCGCTCTCCTTGTCTTAAACTTTTCCATGTAGGCACATGGAAGGGCAGGGAGGTGTGCTCTCCCTGCCTTAAGGTTTTCCACGTAGGCACGCGGAAGGACAAGGAGGTCCCAGAACAGAGCCATACCACCAAATGTAAATTCTGCTTGGAATATAAGATATTTTGACGAAAGTGGTCCTGACTGAAGTGGTTTTAATGTCTAAACTTAAACATGTGTTGATCAGAGTGATCAAAGAACAGAAAATGCTCATGGGACATTTTGGAAGGCACTGACTAATAACTGGTTTTGTGTCTAACAGCGACGGACTGTGCAAGACCAAACACGACAGGACACAACGGGCAGAACAGGGAAGGTAGTCAGGAGGACAATGCAGAGGACAATGCAGAGGACAATGCAGAGGACAATGCTGAAGACAATGCAGAGGACAATGCTGAGGGTAACAATGATGAGGACAGTGATGAGGGTAATGGTGAGAATATAGGTATGCTCAACTTAAGAAATGTCAACTAGCATTTGATGATGACTCTTGATTCTTTGACTCAGATACTGAATGAAAGAAAGGCTTTTCTAAGCTGTAATTATTTCAGCAAAATCTACTTAAAGTATCAGATGTAGAGACCAACGTCTCATTGTGCAGTAAAATGGTCCCTGTCAGTGTTTTACTGTTATATCTGATGTTTGGCATTAATATTACTGCTGCATTAATGTGTCTGTTGCATTGTAACTCTTTATACACTGTCTCTGTCCCGTGAGAACCACGTATATGTAAAACGACCAAACACCAGCCTGGTTTCAGCGTTGTGACGACACATTTTACAGATAATCCAAGAGGGTTTTTTAATTATTTTTAATTTAATTTATTTTTTAATTATTCTCATCGAGGAACACTTCCTCTTCCAGTTCATCACAAACATTCAACATCAACACAGCTGGAGATATGCGGTTTTCATTGCACAGGAAGGTATTAAAAGCTGTATGAGATGTAGAAGATGAGAAGTTGTATAAAAATAAAAGTAAAATTGCACTGAAGTTCAGTATTTGAGTGCACACAGACAACAAGCAACTGACCTGTGATAACTGTCAGTATGTGTAAGATATTACAGGATAGACATTACATTTTATACTTTAATTGAGTTTTTATTTTTTTTTATTTTTACACAAATATCTGTATTTTCTACTCCTCCAGCTTTAATGCATTTGAAGGGAACTATTGATTATTATTATTATTTGCGTCATTGGATATCTTCCCAACATCAAGACAAAACAGAGGAGAGAGGGAAATCGTTTTACTCTCTTTACTATATCTTTACTTTTATACTGTGAGTCCATTTTCAGTACCAGAATTAGTACTTTTAGTGTTTTTTATCTGTACGAATAAAGAATTATGTACTTTTGCTGAATGAGGGTCACACAGAGCAGAGTTATGTGTAATGTTTGAAGAAACACTTGAGCAAATACAGACAAGTTCAACCATTTCATCCAGAACTTCTTTCCATGTGAATGTTGATTGTGTAATATTCTTGATTAAAATGCAGCTGCAGGGAATTGTTCAGAAGTTCTTCCTGATGTGTTGATTGTATAAACCACTGCAGGGACAGAGTTGGTGTCTCAGGACCTGGTTTTAACTAGAATGAGTCTTATCTGTCTAATTGAACCTTCTCATTGTCAGTTTCCAGCTCCCTCTAGTGACTTGTTACTGTATAGGATTGATTTACCAGAGAGAGAAATAAAAAGCTTTTTTACTTAATTTTGTGTTTTTGCTTATGTTATCTTGTTTTTACTGCCCTGTGAAGAACTAACATCTATTTTAATACACATTGTACTACTACTAGACTGCATTTTATATACAGTATATTGTTCTTATTCAACCTTTTGACCAAAATCACTTATAACAGCTGTCAGTTCTGTAAACTGTGAATCATCTGGACACTAGGAGGCTGAAACTGTGATTGTTGTTTGTTAATAAAAATGTTTTTAACTTGTACCTGACATTTTGTTCTTATTTGGTCTGATATTTTGGGGAAGTGCAGAATCTTTAAGTTTATTGCAGCTGACCAATTAATGTTCTACGACACTGAAATGAAAGAAGAAAATCAAAGTCGGTATGAGTCATATTTATACTATAATGGTGTATAACTTGCAGTCATTGATAGTAGAATATAATACAAAAAACTTCACAGAGGTTACAAAACAGAATAGATTTTGAGATGCAGCTTAATGATCATTTTAGATTAGATTCAACTTTATTGTCATTGCACAAAGTATAAGTACTGAGACAGTGAAATGCAGTTGAGGATCTAACCAGAAGTGCAAAAAGCAGTAATTTACATATATACAGGGCAAAAATATATATATATAACTATATATATATATATATATATATATATATATATATGTGTGTGTGTGAATATGCTAGCAAGATATGTACAGCATTGACAGAATGAACGGAGTGAAGTGAATACACTAAGATATACACAGCTTGTGTGGCACCAGCAACAGTCACAATTGCAAAGAGTATGAAAAAGTGTAATTATATACTGTGGGTTAATTAAGTTAAGATATGTACAGTTTGAACAGTATTAGCAGTATTTATATAGTGCGGATATTAATGCAAGTATTAAATTGGTTGACATTTGACCATCTCCACCCGGCTTCAGGTTTCCAATTGATGACCAAGGATCACTCTTTTGTTCACCCTGACATCAGAGACTGCACTGGTCAGAGACTTTGCGGACTTTGGACAAAGACGGGAGTTTCAACAGCAACCAACAGTACAGCAGGCAAGGAAGGACTGTATCGGCCGGTACACCTCTTCCCTCTCTCTCTACAATCTGGACATTCAACCACTCAGCTACAAACCTTTGATCAGGGGTTTGACATTTTAATCAATTTACTTAATATCAGGAACATAGTTAATCTTTATCAGTAGATGTGAATAATCAATTTATGCTGTATGCTTGCCCTTGCTAAATGCAATAAAAAAATAACCATAGGAGTTAAGTATAAACTGTGGACACTGGATTTATGATATCTCATCAGGCAGTAATTATTAGGTAGTGTGTTTAACAATTTAACGGTTCTAACAGGTTACTCTAGCCAAAGAAATTAAACAGACCCTTGAGGCTTACTGTACAAGCCACTAAAATAATACTAGCAACTAACAAGTGCACAGATCAGTAAGGGAGGAGGTCAGACAGTCTGTGACCTGGGTGGGAGGTGTCCCTTACAATGCTGTATGTCCTCCGCAGACACTGCTTGCTCTGGACAGCCTTCATGGTGGGAATAGGTGAACCGGTGATTCGCTGGGCAGGTTTTCCTAAGTTTGCACCCTCTCACTCTGGCTCTTGTCCCTTTACATCAAACTACAGCTCAGTTAACATTCAAAATATGCAGCCGACACAACTACATTCAGACTCATAACCTACGACAGCAAAGACCAATATGGTGAACAAGTAGCCCCTTGGTGCCTGGCGAACAACCTTCTGCTCAACACATCCAAAACACATGAAGTCATTATAGATATCAGGCACAGCCTCCTCCCCAAAACCACCATTATTTTCACAGGTGAACCCATAACCATCACAGACACATTCAAATTATTATATATCAGCATCACACTCAAATGGAATGTCAAAACAGAAAAACATACTCACCTCATTCAGAACAGTTTGGTACGTTCGCGCGGACAGCCACATACAAAAACTGCGGTAAATCATCTAAGACTATTGGCACCCACCACCCATCTGTTGAACCACTAACACACAGTAAAAAGAGCTGAACAGATCATCTCTGACCCCTTTTACCCTGCCCTCCAGGAGGCACTAAAGGTCCCTGCCAACCAAATAATGCCGTTTTTTCCACCACTGCAATAAGATCTCTCACTGATCCTGACAAATGAGCCTGCACTTAAAACCTAAAATCCTGTAAATATTGTCCTGTTGTAATCATGAATGTTGTCTGTTATGCCTCATTGTGTCTGTCTATATATATATCTGTCTATGTTTGATGTTACTTGACACTGTTGCATTGAGCCTACCTACCTGTGTGGTCATTGATAAATGAATGATTGATTTAAGCACAGTGCTCTGATTACCTTTCAAAGCAGTTTATTGTTCTTTCCTTTGAAAGTTAAGTTGAAAGTTAAATCCTCCTGTTTTTTTTTTTAAAATCTTAATCCTTTTCTTATTGGCTATAGTCTTTGTGTTACTCAAAAGTTAAAAGTCAAATTACAAACTGTTTCAATTGCCTGGGAAGCAAATAATAATGATATTCCAACTGTCCAGTTAAATCAAATCTGTTATCTGGCATTCCAGCAACCATTACATGCTTTTGTAATGACATAACACAGAATAGTATTAGTGATAATAGTAGCAGTAGTAGTCTTTATTATTATTATATACAGAATAAAATCAAAATTAATTTAAGGGAAGACAATTAGCCTACATTTTATTTGGGGTTGTAAAGGGACCTGGATAACAGATAGGAGGACGCTGCCCAAAAAAAAAGTGGAGAACCACTGTCTAAAAAGTCAACTTTTCATTAGCTCAGAAAAACAGATTGATTATTTATTGTGCTCTATAGAGGAAGTACAGCAGGATAGAATCAATAAAACTTTGGATGTGGGGAAATAAGGAGTAGTGAGCCTGTTGCAAGTGTCAAAGATGAGCTCCTTCATCCTGGTGTTGTTGAGGCATAGGTCATTACCTATGCACCACTGGGTGAAGAGTTGCCCACTGATTGTCATCATAATGCATCTTAATGGGTTGAGGCATCAGCCTCTGAAATGTAAAAAATGTCAGCTAATACAAACACTGTTACATGGGAATAAGAAAAATAACATATATAGCATCAAGCTTATTGACAATTTGACATTTGCCACTTTTTTGTCTGTTTAAACATAAAATTCATCAGATGCAAGAACCAGATTGTTTTAAAACGGTTTAGTGCGTGCATAATGGTCCTCCTCAACTCAAAATCTTTTTCTTTTTGGATATTTGATCTTTACTGTACAGATTGATAAGTGTGCATGTGTGCAGAGTTTGACACTAGAAGGATGTTTTCACATTCGTGAAAGTGGAAAGTTTCTCTGTGCTCATTGAAAATCAGATTTTAAGGGGCATTATGTATGACCGTACATCACAAATAGTTTGGAAGTCAAACCTGGTCCAGTCTGTAACTTAGACTAGTGAAGCCACCATTGCACATACACTGAGAATGGATCTACAGTGAAGTAGGAGACATCTTGTGTCCAACAGGAAAACGTTACAAATGAACAGAATTTGAAGGTAGAAGGAGTAGATGAATGGATTTTAATGTTTCTTGTTCAATGTCACAAATTGTAGCTCCTCCTCCTTCTCTTCTTCTTCTCCTTGTTATTCCAGTAGGACATGATCAGATTCCTGCAGCTCCCCTTTTAGCATTAGCTCGAGCTGTAGGAGAACAGAGCAAAGAAAGTATTTTAACTATGGCACAGTGAGTCTGTGTGAACAGAACGTTTAGCTTTGCTGTCACTTCCTGCTTTCTATTATTGTTACTGTGACAACCTCACCTCGTCAGCCACAACCTGGCTGCAGCCTGTTTGTGGTTTCAACTATGTGGGTTTTCCGGTATCTCAAACTGGCCCAGTTTTTACTGAGGTATGTCACCATGGAAACCTATGCTGCACAGCTAATCTGATGGGGGCAAACTTAAACAATAGGCAGACTGTTGACCAATCAAATCACTGGAACAACTGAATCATCCTTCCAACAGTTTCCTGACAGAGACTAAAGTGCCGACTTCACAATAAAGTGACGAGTAATAAAGAGATAAAGATACTTTCACAGGTCAGTTGGATCACCTGCTTCTCATGTTTCCAACCACTGAAAGATTCCTGACAATGTTTTTACCCTTGACTGCAGCTCAGAATACCTGGTCCCTTCTGGTCAGAGTGGTTGCAGAGTATCTGGACAAATCCAGTAAGCTTGGCCCTGACCTCTGACCCCTTGTGGAGGTGGCCGGCAGATCAATACTTTCTGTTATTATTAGGGTTTTGAGAAGTGTTCTTACCTCGAGCCCACCTTCTGTACGTGTATACACAGAAGATGAGTATGGCATTGTAGAGGATGAACAGCAGGATGGGACACACCAGGTTGGGCAGAGACATGACAGCAGGAGGAGGAGGAGGAGGAGGAGGAGGAGGACAAGAAGGAGGAGGAGGAGGAGGAGGAGGAGGAGGACAAGAAGGAGGAGGAGGAGGAGGAGGAGGAGGAGGACAAGAAGGAGGAGGACAAGAAGGAGGAGGAGGCGGAGGAGGAGCAAAACCTGTAGGCTGAGCTGTGAGAAAGAAAACAATCATCAGAGTTTCAAACATGAAACATAATCAGTTCTGTTCTCATCCAAATATCTGCATGTGAGTCCAGAATCTAGAGGCAAGGGACAAGATTTTGGTAAGGGAAGCGGCTGTGGTTTATGTTCGTTGAGTTGTATTGACCAATCATGTTTGAGAATGAGACTGCTATAATTCATTGTTCATAGAAGGAACAATGCATGATGCATTAATTGCACCAGAAATAGCTTAAAGCTAATTCCCATGTGTAGTCCCAGGCATTGACAGTTGTAGTTAAATAACTATACAACCAGCCTTGGAACAAATGCCATATGTGTAGATAAGGATGGGATATACAAAAAATATCTAAAATATCAGTTTGGCTTTTGAACAATGCCAATATCTGATGGTTTTTTATTGTTGTGTATGTTCCCTTTTGTGCCAGGGCAACAAGGGAAAAAAAGCAATCTTGTAAATCTTAACAAACATAAAGCAATGCTAAAAACTAGAGCAGATGTCCCATCACACATGCACTGAATATTAGAAGCAGAACATTGTGTCACCTCTCACAGCCAGCCAGCTCCGCTTTGACTTTCCTTTTCTGGGGTGTTCACACTCGTAGAAACCTTCGTCAGACTTGGACACCGATTGAAGGATAATCTCTCCTCTCTCAGTACCGATGAAAACATTAGCTCTGTAGAACGCAGCAGAGAAATCTGAAGTAGACTTATCTTGGTCTTCTTCCTTGTAGGAACAGCGAAGTGTCACTTTGTCTCCCTCTGCCACAGGAAGTGAAGGGCTCTCCAGGATCACAACACCATCTGAAATATAGAACAACACCTGACTACTAGAGTTTAACGTTTCTTTAACTACAATAAGTCTAACTACCCCCTTCAGTTCTGCTAGCTCCCTCCCTCTCAGCAAATTTATAAAATGCATCAGAGACCTGAAAAGGACGGACTCTCTCAAAGGCTGGGGGAGGTGGGCCACCCTCCTGTCATGATATGTCATGATGTAAATTAGTCTCAAAGGGCTGACTCTATGTCAGCAAATGCCTTGCAAGGTTCATTTGGATTTAATACAATAGGGGGCACGTTGAACAGCTCAAAAACATGTTGATGATCATTTAACAATCCAGAAGATTCGAAACACAACAGAACATAGGCAGAAAATAAACAGAAACAAGCTCCATGCACATTGGTATTACCTGTCACTGTGATGTTGATGCTGTTGCTGTACTCCCTCTGCTCAGACTCACACCAGTACACTCCGGTGTCAGATGGCAAGGCATCATCAATGGTACAGGAGGACTCACCTGGTTTCCCCCAGACTGTGCATGCCACAAACGACTTCAGTGAGGTAGTTCTTTGCACTGTCCAACCGCTGGAGTTTTCCTGCACCGGACACCTCACAGAGATTTTGTCATACTGAAAGAACTGAGATCTGTTGGGAGTGATGGTCAGTGTGGCTCCAAGGGGGGTGAAACCTGCAATCATTTTGAATGCATTTCAATTATTTCTGTGCTGGCACTGCTGGGTTTAAATGTTGTTAAGGTGGTAACATTTAAAGCAGCATTCATTCAAGATTTTCTTTTGTTTTAATATTCAACTAAATGACTGTGTGTTGTGAAAGCAGTTGCTCAAAGTGAAGAACAATTAGTAGAATAATTAGCACGGACTCTGCAGCTTTACAGCACTCCTTAACCTCTTTAGGTCATTGTTTTGGTTTCACAGCACATTAATGAAGCTATAACATCGTTGTATTGTTTAGCAAATCTTGTTCCTAGCCTCAACAGGCAGCCACAGTAAACCCACTGTACAATACTTGTCCTGCATAAAACAGCAGGTAGACAAAGTTAGAGATTAGCTTGTGAAGAAAATAGAATATATTGTAGCTAAAGAGATAGACATTGTCTTTAAAGTAGATATAAAGTAAACCAGAGATTAAAAAACAAATTGATGATAGAGTCAAAATGACTTCAGATAACATATCGATGTTCCCCTCACTATGACTGCAATCAGTCCAAACAGGCAGTTTTGCAGTTTAAACTGAGGGATATTTGATGTAATATGCATTTAGCATCTTCAAATACTGCAACACAATGTTCACAATACCTAGGCCAGCGGGACACAAAGTGGGTTGACTTATGGGCAAGCTCTGATTTTAAGAAAATAACAAATTAAATAAAAGTTCAGTGGTCGAGTGGTTGTCAGATGAGCGGAGAGAGAGAGAGCAGGAGGTAGATACATTTTTAAAAGTTACTTACAGAGCATTAGGCAGAGCGATGTGATCTCCATCATGTGTCGATGCTGTGAGTCTTCCTCTATGTGTGTATAGAGAACCACATCCTGACCAAACACAGGAAGTCAACACACTGGCGCAAGCACTGCTGGGTCTTAGTGGTGATCACAATACAGGTTAATTTATACAGGTGCAACGTGTCTTTAAAATGACTGAAGCTTTGTGACCAAAACAGGTATTCAACAGGGTCAATGAACTTTTAAGCAGATGTCAGCATTTATTTAAAGTTATGATTTCATGCTGTCAGTAAGTGCTGAATGTCTCCATTGGATGTGTTTCACTGTTTGCTGATGATGTTTTACTGGATGTATCCAGTAATCAATCCCACTTCTCATCTGTCTCATCTGCTTCAGAAACTTGAGTTCGAAGAATCAAACTCAACCTTGATGTAGTTCATTCTTTTATGTAAAACCACACAATAAAAGACAAGAAAAGCTATCCGAGTCACATTTCAGTGAAACAGGATGTAAAGAAACCATATAAAAACATTGATAGACTCAAACAAAGCCAGACTGGAGACGATTTTTTGGGTACAACATATGCACAATAATACAATAGTACAACATCTGCACAATAATACTAACCATCATTCTCACCCACAGGCTGCCTGCCTGACGTCTTCTGCTCTGCCCCTGTTAAGTCAGTCATTTTTCATCAACCAAGCCACTTGCCCCTTGTTCCTTAAACCAGGTTCTTTAGTTGGAATCAAATGTCCACAATCATTATCATTAAATATAACTTGGGCAGCAGAATCAGCCAATATTGTCACTCTTGTCTGACTGGAAAACAATGAGGTGACAGCCCCAACCACATCTTTTCACTTCTTCATTAGATTTTTCTGAGTGGGAAATAAAAATCAGCTTGTAAGTTCAAAATTGGCCTAAATTAAAGTAAATTGTTGCTAATTAAATGGTGATTAATGAGTTTCTTCAATAAAAGGGGAGTGCACTACAGAGGTGAGTTACAACTTAACTCTATATATCTGCACAGTAACCATGACGATGGGACTCGTCTTTGACCAGCCACTTGACCACCATCTGCTGGTATGATGGAAGACCTGCAACCATGACTCCTTTCAGTGACCTCAATACTGAAACATAGAATTGACTGAACAGCTCTTTCACAGTGTGAACAAAAACTGAACATAAAATCTATATTATATTATAATATATCGGACTGTATTAGACAGTTTCAACCCCAATTTGCTTCAGGTTCTCAGCCTTTTAAGGTCGTGACCAACAGAATAACCAGATCAGGGTTTCTTCCAGAGACTCTTCAGGCATTGCTGTAATGTAACACATGAAAGCAACAAAACTCAGGAACACAGAAGATAATTGCTTTAAGAGCAACTGGTTAAATGTTGGCTTTAATACATGCTTTTTATTTATTGAAATAACAACAGTCAACATGTCTGCTTTAGACCTAAGAGCTCAATAAAAGATAGAAATAAATGCTCATGAGGAAACTGGCCCTGTTAACAGGTATAAAAACAGAGTCTATAGCCTATACAGTGTTTTTAAGTTCTGGTCCCCTGTGTTCAGTGTTGCTGGATGTCACAATATCTTATTTTATTGTCTACAACTATACGGCGACCCCCTGGAAATTAACTAATGAATCTCTTTGGGGTCCCAACCCACAGGTTCAGAGGCAGCAAAACTGTACATTTTCTATTAATGTTAATGCTTTGTATGTTATGTTCATCCTGAGCTGCAGCAGGCCCTGATGTAAAAGCTTTTTTGCAATTGTGCTGAGGTTAGTGCACTTTATGTATAAACCTCCTGTTTTATTATTTTTATGGTTACTATTTATAACAATGAAATAAAGATGATGTATATTTGTATCATGTGGTTATTTTCCCATTCATTATCAGCTTCCCTGCCACACTGGCCCACATTTGTTCCAATATTTAAAAAGCTACAGTCATCACAGTTTTAATTTTGTGTCTTCAGATAAACAGTCAAACTGAATGCGTGCAGAAAAACCCGGAGCCCTTAAATGTGTTTGAATACAAGTGAGTCATCTGCTGGCAGTTATTGCCTCACAGCACGGAGAAAGTGAAACTAAAGTTCATTCGTGATCGGAGAGAGTTCAGCTGGAGCGTATATTTCTTTCATCTTAATCTTTCACACAGTGTGACATGAGCTCGCTGAGATCCACTGTGTCTGTTCTTCATCCAGAGATCATGATGGAGTTCTTTATTGTGGTTTTGCTGTCTTCTCTCCCTGCGGTGGGGGTTACAGGTGAGATTGTCCTGCTTTAGTGAACAGGTAACAGACAGTGCTGGATTCAGCTCTTCCTGCTTTGTGATGTGGTTAAACAATCTCAGACTGTTACAGTAAAATGTTTTTCTAAAACCAGCTTGTTAATGCAGAAAAAGTAATGCTGAGAATCAAACGCTGTTCTGTTTGATCTGTTTTAGCTTCACAGTGATTTCCATTTTGAATAACATTTACAGATTGTATCAGCACGTCACCATTTTGAACGCATTCAGTCATAAACAATATAATCAGATGGTGTTATCAGAACTCAGCAGACTTTATTTGATGGACTTTATACATTCAATAATGAACATAAGTTAAAGTGAGTGTACATAAAGTGTTATGACTGTTTCAGGCGATCAGCTGACACAGATAACTTGTGATTAGTTCACACTGAATAGATCATCAGTTAAAGAAAGTTAATAGACAGTTACTGTACACAGTAACTGATATGTGACCAATCGGATTGATATTGCTCAACATATTCATATTTCTGTGAGCCTGTGTAGAGACTTTGTTTTATCTGTCTGTACTTGTAAAATAGGACTGTAACTTCCTTTATTGGCATGACCTTTTAAACATCAAACATTTTGCTAAAGCAAAAAGTCTATAATATAAATATTTCTTATACAATACAATAATTAAATACTAATAACACAATGAAATGAAAGAAAAGAAAAAAATCTAAAAATTAATCTATCTCTCTCTCACACAAACACAAAAGTTTTATATAAAAGAAAAAAGTATTAAATATTACAATGTACCTTTAATTTTTTCAATATATATTTAAAATGTAATAAGATTTCTATGTGCTCATGTTAAATAAACTATTTATTCACTGAAAATGTGATATATATTGTTATCAGTCCTATATAGAATGACATATAGACAATATACGGTTATTTTTTAGGGAATAATAATAATAAATAATCCTGCAGTCCAGCTGGTTGAATGCAAAATGCTTTCACATATAGTTTAATGAGGAAATCCACAACTTTTATTTTAAAGGCACCACAGCCAGAACTCAGTGGACTATGTACACTCAGTCAATGTTTTCCTTATTTAAAAACGTAATATATAATAATAATTCAGTGTAACTTTCCGCAATGTGTAAAAACACATCGATAAAGAGTTTGTCCAAATACTGAGACATTAATGAAATCGTATGCAGTTCTCTGCTTCTCTGTGCTTCATCTGTTGAGTCTGTGACCCAGAATAGACTGTAAAAAACCTCACTTTACACTGGAGACACTCAGATCTCAGATCAGGTAAAGAAAGAACTCTGAGAGCAGCAACAAATAGAAATATATCCTCTTCCCTTTAAATTCAGATATGACGCAGTGTGCACACAGATCCTGTATCTCCTGTTCAGAGGATACAAAACAACCTTTCCATGAGTAACTGGTTGAACTGCTTTAACTTCTGATGTGTCTGCTGATGCATTTAGAGGAAGTGATATTCTTTGTATCTATTGTATCTTTTAAGTCTTTATGATTGTAATCAAAAATACATGATACAGATTTGTATAAAATGTTCCATAAAGAGGAAATAATCTGCTCAAAATTCATCCCTTCTCATTGTACACAAACTTCTTGCAGTAACTGAGTTCACTGTTTGGGTTCATTGTACAGTTTTGATATAACATGAAATATTCCTAAAATATGTCACTGAGTCATTTGTCATTTGCACGTTCCTTTTCTGATTTCATAGAAATTCTGTTCATATTTGTGTCATGTTCGGTTGGAGACTTGGCTACAGTATTTTACAGGCCTCAGGAGCGCTGCCAGGAATTTTGGGCCCCATGACAAAAAAATCTAATTTGGGTGCCCTCTGCGCAGCTGTTGTTACCTCATCTCTCGGACCTAACTGTCCCATCAAAAAAGGCTTGCAACTGTCTTGCTTCCTGTAGTTCAATACTAGTACTAGCACAATATTTACTGCTGGTGATTTGTACATGCATGCAAATCTGCATACAGTATGCAGTTCACTATTTGATGCAAGATTAAAAGCAACCATAATAAATGTGCTAAAGGCCATCTTTTACAGTCTCAATGTATTTTTATTGTAAAATTTCAAAATGGAAAATTCTCTCAACAAAATTAATTATTAATTATTATTATTAATTATTATTGTCCAGCATCCAGTACAGACAGTAGGTTGTTGTTTTTTTGTTTTTTTTATTTCATAATGATCATTGAACACAACATTGATCAGCTTCTTCACTGAGACAGGGAGGGGTACAGTGATGGGGGGACTGGGGTGCTGCTGACTCATCTGTTGTTAAGTCTGCTAAAAGGGGCAGGGACAATGATTTAATATGAATATGTTGCTAAACGTTTCCCTGAACTGATTAAATGGTGATTAAATGTAGACTGACACTAGTCTGTAGCTGGCTATCTTATTTCTTCTTCTTTCTTATTTTAACTTTTACTGCCAAAAACAAGTAAAAACAAAGAGATCATTCATTTTATTATATATTCGAAATATATATACTGAATGATGATGGTTTAATCATTTTATATTAGATTTTACCTATTTTTGTAGGCCCCTGTCAGTCATGGGCCCTTGGAATTGTCCTAACTTTCCCCCCCTATACGGTGCCCCTGATAGGCCTGTATGCTGTGTACTAATACAATATTTTAACAATAACTCTGCAGTTAAGACCAGCTGCTCAGTGTATAAGACGGCCTCAGCTTCAGTGATGTGACAGGAAGTGTATATATGATGCTTGTTTCTACAGGAGAGTCTAATGTGATTGGTTCACATGACCCAGTTAATGCAACAGTTGGTGATGACGCCATCCTGCCATGTCACCTGAAGCCTCCATTCGATGTGAGGACTCTAACAGTGGAGTGGACACGTGATGGACAATCTGTGCACATCTGGCGACATGAGAAGGAATATCTAAATGATCAGGACAAGAACTTCAGAGGTAGAACATCTCTCTTCCATGAAGAAATGATCAGAGGAAACATTTCACTAAAACTGACCAACGTAACTGAACTGGATGCTGGAAGTTACTCCTGCAATGTTCCCAAACTGGAAAGTCAGGTCAGGAAAGGCTTCATTAACCTCACTGTTGGTGAGTACAGCTAACATATTACACATTAATATTAAAAAAAGTTAGTTGTTATAAGTATTTTAGCTCTTAAACGCAATTTAACTCAATTGTCCTACAGAGCCAGTGGGGCAGAAAAATGACAAAGGAAGCCAGACCAATAAAAACAGTGAGTAAATAACTGAGTTTTTATTTATTTGTATCCCCATTAACTGTCGTCTGCTCGTCCTGTTGATCTGAATTTGTTCAAATATTTAAATATTTTATGGATGTGTAAATGCTGAAAGCAACAAGTTTGTTATATCAACTTTAAATGTGATGATCTATCAATGCTGTGTTCAGAACTCGGTTACTACAGGTTTGAATGTTTGCTCAAATAAATGTTTGTCTTTTTTATAAACGCAAACCAAATCAAAAAATATCTGATGACTTCAATGAATTAGTTCAGTATATTTCTATAAGAGCTGATTGTTCTTATATTATGTTGCTGGCTTTAATCAAACAGATCTCAGAGCTGTTTGCCTAGATTTCCCCAGCATGTCCTAGAGATGCAAAAATATTTTTTTTTCTCTCGTGGTTGTTATGAACGTTCTGTCATCTACGACATCATCATCCTATCTGCTTAGAACACTGCAGCTATATGTATGTACGCTAGTGCAATACAAAATGAACAAAAAGGATGAAGACTATACTCAGGGTAACAGCAAAATATTACTAACATTATTAGGCATGCAATAATAACTGTAACCTTTTTTTAACAAGTAAGTACAACAATCCTGTATAATTGCACTGGGACTTTAAATAATGACATTAATAATGACACAAAAAAGTTACTAACATTTTTCTTTAGGTGTTGTATAAAGGAAACTATGCATTGTAAATTGACAATTAAAGATTCACTGTGTAATATATAATAGTCATAGGTATGTTTCAAAACAATGTTGAACTACCATGTTGCTACAGTAGCTCAGAACGGACAAACCAAACACTGGCTGTAAATAGGGCTTTTTGCATTTTTGGGAGTTTTACAGCCATTGCTTCTCCTACGGGCTTGGAAGTTGTATTCACTTGTTTGCAATCTGTAACTTCACCATTAGATGGCACTGAATCCTCCAAACCGGTCCTTTAAATAACCCTGGATCCTCGTATTTCTGGAGAATATTCTCACGGATAATACTGATAATAGTTTGTTTACTGTTGTGTAATGAACAGTGATAACGGCGTTATAAATAACGGATGCACGAGACAAGCGCATAAATGCTGACGATTGGCTGAGGTTGAGTAAAATTTCATGGTAAGCCAATCAGAGGTAGAGTTGGGCGGGTGTTCGAAAGCACCCATAGTCAGACACACAACGAACAACACAAGCGCTTGTCTCTCAATCAACGAGAGACAGGTATGGCGAGCCCAAATAATCCAAAAGCAGTCTTCTTTAAATGGAAGTATTTGTTATTTATTTTTGTTGTAGTAGTAGTAGTTTGTTGTATAGTGCTTAACAAGCATAATTAAATTTTGCCCAGTTGTGGCCTGTTGAGGGGCAATAAATATCAAAAGTTCCAAAACATCTATTGTGTTATTTGTATGGATCCACTATATAAACATGATATCTACATACATGGCATTTGATTGGAGGCTAGTCTCACTTTGTCCCACAGCAACATTAAAATAGTTTAGATTTGTGTACATTGTTTCTGTTAATAATGTATTAAGTGTCCATTTCATTATAATATTCAGATTTATCATAAATAATTGAACATGTATTTTAAGTTCCGTTAAAGAGGGGTGGAGGTGGGGTCACATTTGAGCATTTAAAAATGTACTTGAAAGTAACGCAATAGTTACTTTCTGAAGTAACTAGTTACTTTTATAATTTGTAACTGAGTAAGTAATTTGGTTACTTTTTGGAAGAAGTAACTAGTAATTGTAACTAATTACTTTTTAAAAGTAACTTGACCAACAGTGGCAATGAAAGAGATTCTAACCAACAGACAGTTTTGGTGGGATGGACTCCAAGTACACATTGAGACCATGAACAGGAGAAGTGGCTGTGGAAATATTGTTGATGGATGTTATCTTGGAACAGTGAAGAACAAATCTCAACATCTTTCCTCTGTTCTTTCAGGTGGTGGCACTGGTTTTAGCACTGGTGATATAATTGGCATTGCTCTGGGTGTCATTACTGTCATTGCCATTGTTGTTGTATTGGCTGTATTGAAGAAACTCGGAAAGATCAGTAAGTTAATAATCTTCTCTCTCTCCATTTCCTCCATTTAAAAAGACAGTTTACAGTTTTTCAGTCAGTCTTCAAACAACAGTGAACAGTGAAACAGGTTTTTCTTGCTGTAATGGTTCCTCCTGTTATACTGGACATTAAAGATCTCTTCCTAAAGTACTTTCAATGGAAGTGATGAGGGGAACAATCTACAGTCCTCCTTACATGGAAACATGTTTTCAGAAGTGTATCTAAAGCTAATATCAGCTAATATGTGTTTATAACTCCATCATTTATTTAGAAATCATTTATTGGGGGGTCTGCACCCTGCCTCTCATGTGCAGTGTGTCTGAGCTTTCTCACTATCCTGCTGTCTGATTATGATGGTTGATCTGGGACAAGCTCCTTTACTTGTAGTTCCTCACTGTCAATAACAACAAGTGTCATCACTCCACTGCTGACTGACTCTGCTTGGGCTGATAAAATAATCGCCCTTTTCACTGACTGATAACTTGTTTTGTGTTGTTGATATGTGTTCAGCAGGACAAGAGAGAGAATATCCTCCAGCACAGAGGGACAATGATGCGGTCACTATACCTATGCTCAACATAAATACCAGTAAGTCCTGAATTTCTTCTATCAGCATGTTTTTCAAATAATTCTTTCCTGTCTCTGATTCCTGTATCAGTGTACGTTCTATCTGCCCCTGCTGTTTCAGTGAGTAAGCACACAAACATTCACATGCATTCATCTATCTGACCTTTCTGCTGAACCAGTTAGAAGCCTCTCATGTACAGTGTGTCTGAGCTTTCTCACTATCCTGTTGCCTGATTGAAAGGAGACTGTGTTGAATGCTGCCATTTAATCATATTTTCCACAAACCAATTGGTTTTAATGTCTAAACTTAAACATGTGTTGATCAGAGTGATCAAAGAACAGAAAATGCTCATGGGACATTTTGGAAGGCACTGACTAATAACTGGTTTTGTGTCTAACAGCGACGGACTGTTCAAGACCAAACACTACAGGACACAACGGGCAGAACAGGGAAGGTAGTCAGGAGGACAATGCTGAAGACAATAATGAGGACAGTGCTGAAGACAATGCTGAAGACAATAATGAGGACAGTGCTGAAGAAAATGCTGAGGACAATAATGAGGACAGTGCAGAGCATTAGACTCAAACTCATTAGATAAACATTACGTATCACGTGTCTGTAAAAAGTAAAAAAATTGAGTTTTTTAATTATTTTATAATAACTTTGTAACTTATAATTACATCTGTACTTTCTTCTCCTTTAGTTTTAATGGATTTAAAAGGAACTATTGATTATTATTATTTGCATCATTGGATATCTTCCCAACATCAAGACCAAACAAAGGAGAGAGGGAGACTTTGCACTGAAACAATCAGTAGAAATCCTTCAGAGTACTTTTATACTGTGAGTCCATTTTAGAGCCTGTACTTATTAGTTGAGTGAACTAATGAATTAGTACTTTTTGTGTTTTTTATCTGTATGAATAAAGAATTGTTTACTTTTGCTGAATGAGGGTCACTACAGAGCAGAGTTATGTGTAATGTTTGAAGAAACATTTGAGCAAATACAGACAAGTTCCACCATTTTATCCAGAACTTCTTTCTATGTGAATGTTGATTGTGTAATATTCTTGATTGAAATGCAGCTGCAGGGAATTGTTCAGAAGTTCTTCCTGATGTGTTGATTGTATAAACCACTGCAGGGACAGAGTTGATGTCTCAGGACCTTGTTTTAACTAGAATGAGTCTTATCTGTCTAATTGAACCTTCTCAGTGTCAGTTTCCAGCTCCCTCTAGTGACTTGTTACTGTATAGGATTCATTGACTAGAGGGGGAAATAAAAAGCACTTAATGACTGTTATTATTTTAAGGTGACTATATATATATTTCTATATTTGGGTTTTATATATATATATATATGCATATATATGTATTTTTTATGACTGTGCTGCTTTTTTCTGTGTTTTGCTTTATGTTATCTTGTAATACTGCACCGGGGAAAGAATCACATTGTACTACTACTAGAATTAATGTTGTATAAAGTATATTGTTCTTGTTGTTCACATTGGACACTAGGAGGCTGAAACTGTAATTGTTAATAAAAAGATGTTTAACTTGTACCTGACATTTTGTTCTTATTTGGTCTGATATTTTGGGGAAGTGCAGAATCTTTAAGTTTATTGCAACTAACCAATTAATGTTCTACAACACTGAAATGAAAGAAAAAAATCAAAGTCAGTCTGAGTTTGTTAGAACTTCATTGTGTATAACTCTCAGTAATTAATAGTAGAATATTTAAAGGATATTAATGTTCATTTCTCAATGCACAAACAGAATGATGCTACCTGAACAACATGAAGCTGCAATAGTTCAATGTATTACTGTATGTGAGAGTGTACCACTGTAGCTCCAACCTTTTCATTTGTCTACAACAATAATAATAAAATAACTTTTTAGTAAAGATTGTTTATGGAAAATGTCAGAAATGTATCTTATGTAGTTGAATAAACTATGGATTTGATTGGCTTATTTATTTTGTCCCATTACTGAGAGTCTTTTTAACACAGAACATCATTTTTCTAAGTCAATAAAGCTCGACGAAGCGGCTCAAAACCCAGACAACACAAAGGAGAGCACACAGATAATGAAGGTTTAAAGCTAAATGCATTGAACCAATATTAAACAGTGTTATTGGCTGCAGGCGGTGTGTGGATGTGCTCAATGTGCTGATATGGTTGCACTGTAAGAGAAAACTGACACAGAAAATAAGTTCAGGAGAAATAAAAGTAAAAATTAAGACAATCTGAGAGCTGCAAACAGAATTGGACACACTCAGCTTTAACTGTCACATGTGGCTCAACCAAATTTGCTTTTATTTTATATCTTTATGTATTTCTTTTTAGTACATTTACTTCCACTTTCTTTAACTAACCCTGTTTTCCAGTACTTTTAAATTATATTGTACTGCAATGCTTTACTTCATTCGTTCTCGCTGTTAAATATTAGCAGATAATAGAAAATGATGTTATTTTTATTTCACTTTTCTTTCCATAATAGTTTGTGCACTGATAACAGGAAGCGGATGGATGCTCCGGTGAAGAGCCCGTTAGCCGGGTGAAGGAAGGAGGTTGTCGGTGTGTGTGACTGACAGCAACGTCCTCACAAACACAGCTCATTATTCTGTAGATTTTATTGTTTTATGTGATTTCTGTTTCAACATCAGCACTTTGTGTGTTTAATGGTTCGAAAATGAGTTTTTGTATTTTCTTAGTTTTTCTATTTTCTTAGTTTTTCTATTTTTACATTGTAATGGTCTGTAAGAGCCAAAGCCCCCCTCTGTGCTCAGCCAGACGTTCATTTAATTTAAAACATTTTGAAACTGATCAAACTACTGCCTTTTTTAGTAACACATACATTTCTCTCATTAAAAACATTTGTACTTGTTCAGTGCTGGTTCAGGAGACAGACCACTGCAGTGAAAATCTGTCTCTGGAAAACAACATGAACTAACTGTTGAGCATTTTAATTGAATGTAGGACTCTGACCAGCAGGGGGGCACATTATCACTAATAAAGAAGCCTAAACAGACCTCCTGTGATCACAGACATACTTCCTGACAGCAGATGTACAATACTGTGCCAAAGTCATAGGTCACCCTGAAAATGGAATTCTTATGAAGCTTGAGACCTGAGAATTAAGTGTATAGTCAACATATAATCACATGTATCGATCACATTACGCTCCGAAATGCTGTTCAATGGAAACGGTCCATCACTTCCATCAACGCTTCCTCTCCGGCTCAATGTAATGTTCTCCAGTATTATTCACAGGCAAAGGAGGGTAAACAGGGGGAGAGAGGGGCTGTTTGTGGAGGAAGGAGAGAGGACTGGTGTATCCTTTGTGGAGGTTTCAGCGTTATTAGTCTGTGTGTAACTCTGCATATATTTAATATTATATATTTAAATATTATATTTAATCCAGCAGCCAGCACTTATTCCAGTGAGAAAGAATCAGTATTAAAACGGTCTGCCTCTCATTCCCACAGCTGTCTCACACTCACACCGGACACTGCAGAGTGGAGGAGACAACATGGTGAAAGAGTTGATCTTTATGGATTATACTGAGGCCCAACTGACATTTTATCTTCTGGGTTGTTAAATGTAATCAATGATTAAAATGTCATAGTTCTTAAAGGGAACACAGTGAAATAAAGAGCAGCTTCACTGCTCCGAACTGAAATCAAACATGAAGACATCTGTACATTCTTGTTACATTATGACACACTGAACTCAAAGTGAATATATAATAACTGTATAATGAACACTGTTAGGCTCATCTGACAGAGAAGATCAAATACAGCAGTACAATGGACACAGGATGCAGTTTGTGTCTCTCTTCCTCCTCCTCTATCCTCAGTGTCTCCTCAACTCCTGGGGAGGGGAGGAGAGGGGGTGATGATGTAGGCTACACACTGTGAAATGATGAAGACCTCTCTTCCACGCCCCCTTCAGAGTGACACACTTTTCAGTCACTTTTCTCGCACTCTGGTTGTCTCCCATCACTGTCGTGTTGTAGAAATACAGTCCTCAGTCATCCACTCCTGTAGGTGGCAGTGTTACCAACAACCAGGATCCCACTGAAAGCGAAACTGACTCGGACATCCGTCTGATTGGTTGGCTGAATACCAGGAAAGGGCGTCAGAATAAAGACGCCAGTGATACCTGAGACTATGATAACAGGGATTAAGATAATTATGCCTTAGTGGAATGAAAAGTGTAGCCTGGCTGTTAAAGAAGGAAATTATGCTCTTAGAAACTTAATACAATATAAAAGAAAGAGAGCCATTGCACGTAAAAAAATAGAAAAAGCAAAAAGGGATGCAGTTTTATTCTTTTATTGGAGAAGAGAGAGAGAGAGAGAGAGAGAGAGAGAGAGAGAGAGAGAGAGAGAGAGATTATTATTATTATTATTATTATTATTATTATTATTATTATTATTATTATACAGGGCTTTGATAAGAGCCACTATGGATTATGGTTGTATGGTATATGAGGCAGCATCCGTTACAGTTAAGGAGAACTAAATTAAACAATGATATTAATATACATGATTTTATTAAACCTACAGCAGCTTTTTGTTGGATACCAGCGGGTGTGTGAACTGAGGGAAACGAGGTTGCTGACTATCTAAAAGTTCATCAAACAGAAGTGATAGGGGTATTTTAGAAATGTGTTTTGGAAGGTCAGAGGTTAAATCAATAATTCAGCAGGGAGTAGTGGAAAAGGAAGAGCAGAAAAGAAGATATAATTCTATTATGATAAAGATAGAACTGTAAAGAGTCAAACATGTGCTGATGGATTGTAGAAGGTTTAATATGGAAAGACTGCAGGACAGGGTGATGGATGTGGGAAGGGACTGGAGTATAGGGGGTCTGTTGGGGGTCTGTTGGGGATGGGGGACCAACACATACAGGTTCAAAGGGCTTTATGAAATAAATGAAACAGGTCTAATATACAGACTATAACTCAAATACAGTCAGGGTTTTACACTTTGAGTACAGCAGGTGGCGGCAGACAGTTGACAGCTCTCAGGGTGGAGTAACAATGTGGAAGACGTCGCTTCATACCTCTCTACTGTGTATTCTACCGTGTCCCTGTCTTTATTGGGGGGAGGAGGAGGGTCAACATGAACTTTCTTCTGCTTTTCACGTGTCTCTGTGTGACACATGGTGAGTCACTGAGCAATTTCACGTTTATTGTATGTCCGTGTGTCCGTCTGTCGTTGGTTTCGATTTTAAACTTCCTCCTTTTCAACTTTTTTTAAGTTATTTTTATCTTTGATAGAGACAGCCGAAGATAGACAGAAAATGGACAAACAGAGGGAGGGGGTAACACGCAGCAAAGACTGTCAGTTTCGAGCCTGTGGCGTTACAGTGCCTCGGTATGTAGGTGACCAGCTCTACCTACTGAGCCAACCAGAGACCCGAGGTTGATGTGTAAATTCGGCAATACAAACAACGAAAACAAAAAGAAAGTACAGCCGAAAACCTAGGATTTATTAGTGTACTTCGGATAAATGACAATGCACATTAAGCGGGGATATCGAACATGGTCACACTATCTGGCCCTGGGCTCTTATTAATCTTATTCTTTCCCCCTCACTGTATACTCGGGAACAACAACGGGTAGCGATCAGCAGCTGTTAATGTCTCCATGATAGAGGATAATAGTCCCGCAGTGAGGAGCAGACACTAACATTATTGTTCCAGTAAACAGTTTCTATCGCAGTGTTTTAAAAGTCACCAACAGAGGAATGTCATAGAAGCACTCAGAATATTTATGTCCTGGTGCGACAATAAGGGCTCCTGAACGCCACGCCTACAGTATACGCAATTAAACAATAACAATAACAGAAAATAAATAGAAAATGTGCGACATTCACTTTTTATTTATGAACATAGATAAACGCAATAGTATCACTACCACGACTACTACTAATAATGATAATTATAATAATAATGACCCAAACTACAACTATGTAAGATTTATACTGATTTTACTGTACTGTTTTTTTTAGATAATTAAAGGGGAAGTCTGCTCAATTTTAACAGTTTGATCTGAGTTTGGTGCGTTGAGCACTGAGAATGAGCTGTCAATCACAAGGTAGCCCCGCCCTAAAGCATACCCTGCTTTATGGTCTGTTTTACTCTAAATGGGACCATCAGTTACTAAATGAACATCACGCTGTATGGAAGAAGACTGAAACTAGATGCACTGTGTGTTCTGACCCCTATTCTAGCCTTCACCCCCCACTGAATGAATATGAATATAATATAATAGAAATAAAATATGTAAATATGATGTTTGTCTCTGCAGCACAGCCTGATGTGATTGGCTCAGACAAACCAGTTACAGTTACAGTCGGTGATGACGTCATCCTGCCATGTCACCTGGGGCCTCCATTCAATGTGAGGACTCTAACAGTGGAGTGGACACGTGATGGACAATATGTCCACGTCTGGCGACATGGGAAGGACTATCTAACTGATCAGGATGAGAACTTCAGAGGTAGAACATCTCTCTTCCATGAAGAAATGATCAGAGGAAACATTTCACTAAAACTGACCAGCGTAACTGAACTGGATGCTGGAAGTTACACCTGCATTGTTCCCAAACTGCAAAGTCAGGTCAAGAAAAACTTCATTATCCTCACTGTTGGTGAGTACAGCTAACCTGCAATTAAATTAAAAAAGTGAAAACCTATTTGTTATTTTGTTAAAAGTATCTTAGCTGTTCTTAGCAAAGAAATGTATTATTTATTATTTATGAATCTATGAGCTTTCACCGGCACATTTACTCTCTCCATGGGTCAGAATTTTATCACATATTTTAATATTATTTTTCTGTGTTTTTTCCACACAGAACCAGGAAAAGTAAAGGATCCTGGTAAGTTTACTGTTTACCTTCATTTCTATAAGAAAGTGTTGAACCTTTAAGGTGTGCACAAGGTGCTTAAAGCACATCAGCTGGTTCAGTCAGGACCACTTTTGTCAAAATAACTTTTATTCCAAAGCAGAATATTACATTTGGCGGTATGGCTCTGTTCTGGGACCTCCCTGCCCTTCCATGTGCATACATCAGGGCTGTCAAACTCATTTTGGTTCAGGGGCCACACACAACCCAATTTGACCTTAAGTGGGCCGGACCAGTAAAATTAAGGCATAATTACCTATAAATAGCAACAACCCCTAATTGTTCTCTTCATTTTATTGCAAAGAAAAAGAAATACATTCTGAAAATGATCAAATTTGATAAACTTTCTTTTCACAAAACATTATGAACAACCTGAATTTTCTTAAGGAAAATAAGTGCAATTTCAACAATATATTAATTGAATTTACACATGTGCTTTACAATTTAAAGATCAGTGGATCTACAAAGCCACAGAACATTAAGTAACATGTACCTGGAACTGAACAACAATATCTGGGTAAATTTCTCTTACAGTTAATAATAATTAAAACAACTTTTACAATCCAGAAATTATTTTAAATTTACATACATTTCCACATCTGTGAAAACCCATACTTAAGTGTCTGAAGCAGCATTTTACATGAAGTAGGTTTACTCACTGTTTGGTTTCTTAAGTTTAGTCTGACAAAGTCATTTTGACTAATGAATGTTATAAGAGGAATAGAGCAACGTAACGTGTGTGTGGTAGAGAGAGAGAGAGCGAGAGAGAGAGAGAGCGAGAGAGAGAGAGCGAGAGAGAGTGAGAGCGAGAGAGAGAGAGCGAGAGAGAGTGAGAGAGAGAGAGAGTGAGAGAAAGAAATGAAACAAAATGAAAAGAGACATATTCGGAGAAATCCAGGGCAGAACATAAAGAATTATAGAAGGAATTAGAGACAAAAATGAACTGATGACTAATAAAATATATTTTAAAATAATTTCTCAATTAGGTTCAGTGATTCTGTAACAGGAAGTGTAAATATGATGTTTGTCTCTGCAGGAGAGTCTGATGTGATTGGCTCAGACAAACCAGTTACAGTAACAGTCGGTGATAACGTCATCCTGCCATTTCACCTGGAGCCTCCATTCGATGTGAGGAGTCTAACAGTGGTGTGGACATGTGATGGACAATATGTGCATGTCTATAGAAGTAGGATGGATGATCCAGGTTCTCAGGATAAAAACTTCAGAGGTAGAACATCTGTCTTCCATGAAGAAATGATCAGAGGAAACATTTCACTAAAACTGACCAGAGTAACTGAACTGGATGCTGGAAGTTACACCTGCTCTGTTCCCAAACTGCAAAGTCAGGTCAGGAGAGGCTTCATTAACCTCATTGTTGGTGAGTACAGCTAACATATTACACATTCAAATGAAATAAGAGGAAATGTTCTCTTTGTCACATGATAAATGTTTTGTATTAATTGTCCAACAGAGCCAGAGGAGAACAGGAACAAAGGAGGTCAGACTGATGATACCAGTAAGTAAATATCTTATTTGTCTCCTCATCAGCTGTCATCTCCTGTTGGTCTGAATGTTATCACATATTTTAATATTTTATTTCATTGTTTCCACAGACACAGAGCCAGGTAAGTGCTGTCTTTACTGCAGTCCACAATGTACACAGATATCACTCCTGTTTCTCTCCTCCTTACAATATGAACCTGAGAATGAGCATAATATGACCTCTTTAACCTCAAAAGTAATCAGAGCAATTCTGAATGTAATGCTTCATTTGACAGGATGCCATTCTAGCAAATAATGGACTCATTCATCATCTCAGAGCACACTGATAGAGGACTACTGAAAGGTCCAGTGTGTAACATTCAGGAGGATCTATTGTCAGAAATGGAATATAATATTCATAGGGATGTTTTCATTAGTGTATAATCACCTGAATATGAGAATCATTGTGTGTTTGTTACCCAATGAACTGTCAATTCAATTTCAATTCAAATGGATTTATTGGCATGACGTAACACTGTACATATTGCCAAAGCAAAATAATAATAACAATAAAGGAAAACAATATTTTCCAATAAATTAATTATAATATATACTGTTGGTAATACTGTAACTATGATTGACTCAATCACAATCACAGTCACAATCAATCAATCTCAGTCAATAAGTAATTAATTACAATTACTCAATTAATCAATCAGTTTGTGTCAACTAAAAATGTCATCAAAACAGTAGTAAAGTAACAGCTACAGTTAAAACAAGTAGTCTGTTGTCAATATAACAGTAATAACAACTTATTAAATATAATATATAATATATATAATATTAAAATATATTTAAATTAAAATAAAATAGATAGATAAAACTGTAAACATTGTGTGTGTGTGTGTGTGTGTGTGTGTGTGTGTGTGTGTGTGTGTGTGTAAATATATATATAAAAAAAGTTTTGAGTTTGAGTCGAGTTTTTGAGTTCTGTCTTTATCTACAGAGGGAGTGTGTTAATGTTTGCAACTTTGATGAGAGTGTGAACGGATTATCCGTCAAAAAAAGAGAGAATTGTGGGAAAATCAGGTAAATGTAAATGTCGGTAAACAACAGTAAGTTATGTTGATGTGTTGATCTTCCAGAACTCTTCTGGGACCTTTTGTCTGACCAAAGTGATAGTGAAATGTATTTATTTATTACGTCTGATGAACACCAACAGACAGTGCTTATAATCAGCTATGGGGAAAAGATAACCGCGTTGTGTGCTGCATTCATACACTAAATGAAACATAACGTAAAGTATAAGTAGTATTTTATATTTAAGTGTGTCAAAGGAAATGTGGGGGATCCGGTTTAAAGGAGCTGATGCAGATATTGTGAGACTTAAAGCTGCAGTCAGTCTGTAGACTGATGTTTACACTGTATAGACAAAGCTAATGTTATTATACTGTGAGGACTGGACTAATTACCAGGCAGCAGAGACAGTTTATAGTTTGTATTAAATCTACAATGTTAATGTTAATATTCACTTAATATTCTATATAAAATATTCTGTTTAATAAATATTGTTTGTTTATACCTCAATATGTTCTGTATAGATCTACTTATTGACCGACAGATGGAGCAGACTGTTTTAAAGAAGGAAGAAGTATAGTGGGAGCACTGTGTGGCAAATAGTTTACAGGGTCAGACAGGAGGGCCCCTAGCATGAGGTCAGGACCGGCTCTGCACTAGATATCACTGAATCCTCCACAGCGGACCTTTAAATAACCCTGGATCCTCGTATTTCTGGAGAATATTCTCACTGATAATACTGTTTGTTTACTGTTGTGCAATGAAAGAGATTCTAACCAACAGACAGTTTTGGTGGGATGGACTCCAAGTACACATTGAGACCATGAACAGGAGAAGTGGCTGTGGAAATATTGTTGATGGATGTTATCTTGGAACAGTGAAGAACAAATCTCAACATCTTTCCTCTGTTCTTTCAGGTGGTGCCGGCAGCCGTGGTAGTATTGGTATTGTTGTTGGTGTCATTGCTCTCATTGCCATTGTTGCAGTTGCTGTATGGAAGAATCGGAGAAAGACCAGTAAGTCAATAATCTTCTCTCTCTCCATTTTCTCCATTTAAAAAGACAGTTTACAGTTTTTCAGTCAGTCTTCAAACAACAGTGAACAGTGAAACAGGTTTTTCTTGCTGTAATGGTTCCTCCTGTTATACTGGACATTAAAGATCTCTTCCTAAAGTACTTTCAATGGAAGTGATGAGGGGAACAATCTACAGTCCTCCATACATGGAAACATGTTTTCAGAAGTGTATCTAAAGCTAATATCAGCTAATATGTGTTTATAACTCCATCATTTATTTAGAAATCATTTATTGGGGGGTCTGCACCCTGCCTCTCATGTACAGTGTGTCTGAGCTTTCTCACTATCCTGCTGTCTGATTATGATGGTTGATCTGGGACAAGCTCCTTTACTTGTAGTTCCTCACTGTCAATAACAACAAGTGTCATCACTCCACTGCTGACTGACTCTGCTTGGGCTGATAAAATAATCGCCCTTTTCACTGACTGATAACTTGTTTTGTGTTGTTGATATGTGTTCAGCAGGACAAGAGAGAGAATATCCTCCAGCACAGAGGGACAATGATGCGGTCACTATACCTATGCTCAACATAAATACCAGTAAGTCCTGAATTTCTTCTATCAGCATGTTTTTCAAATAAATGTTTCCTGTCTCTGATTCCTGTATCAGTGTATGTTCTATCTGCCCCTGCTGTTTCAGTGAGTAAGCACACAAACATTCACATTCATCTATCTGACCTTTCTGCTGAACCAGTTAGAAGCCTCTCATGTACAGTGTGTCTGAGCTTTCTCACTATCCTGCTGTCTGATTGAAAGGAGACTGTGTTGAATGCTGCCATTTAATCATATTTTATATAAGTGGTTTTAATGTCTAAACTTAAACATGTGTTGATCAGAGTGATCAAAGAACAGAAAATGCTCATGGGACATTTTGGAAGGCACTGACTAATAACTGGTTTTGTGTCTCACAGCGACGGACTGTGCAAGACCAAACACGACAGGACGCAACAGGCAGAACAGGGAAGGTAGTCAGGAGGACAATGATGAGGTCAATGATGAGGACAATGATGAGGGTAATGTGCTCAACTTAAGAAATGCCAGCTAGTAAGAAAGAAAAGCTTTTGTTCCATCCACATTTTATCAGGTGTTTTATGAGCTGAAATACTACTACTACTACTACTACTACTACTACTACTACTACTACACTACTACTACTACACTACTACTACTACTACACTACTACTACTACTACACTACTACTACTACTACTACTACTACTACACTACTACTACTACTACTACTAATAATAATAATAATAATAATAATAATAATTATGATAATGGTGATAATAATAGTAATAAATAGTATTATTGTTGTTATTGTTTTATGCTGCTTGGTTTTTATGTTTTTGTTTCATGTTATCTCGTTTTTTTGCCCTGTGAAAAACTCTGCAACATCTGTTAGCTGTATATAAAATATAAAATATTCTTGATTCTTGATTGAAATGCAGCTGCAGGGAATTGTTCAGAAGTTCTTCCTGATGTGTTGATTGTATAAATCACTGCAGGGACAGAGTTGGTGTCTCAGGACCTGGTTTTAACTAGAATGGGTCTTATCTGTCTAATTGAACCTTCTCAGTGTCAGTTTCCAGCTCCCTCTAGTGACTTGTTACTGTATAGGATTCATTGACCAGAGGGGGAAATAAAAAGCACTTAATGACTGTTATTATTTTAAGGTAACAATATATATATATATATATATATATATATATATATATATATATATATATATATTTCATATTTGGGTTTTATATATTTATATTTGGGTTTTACGTATATTTATATGTATATATTTTATGACTGTGCTGCGTTTTTGTGTGTTTTGCTTCATGTTATCTTGTGTTACTGTCCTGTAGAGAATCACATTGTACTACTACTAGAATTAATGTTATATAAAGTTTATTATTCTTATTCAACCTTTTGATTTGCTCAAATATTCACAACCAAAATCACACATTGGACACTAGGAGGATGAAACTATGATTGTTGTTTGTTAATAAAAAGATGTTTAACTCGTACCTGACATTTTGTTCTTATTTGGTCTGACATTTTGGGGAAGTGCAGAATCTTTAAGTTTATTTCAACTGACCAATTAATGTTCTACGACACTGAACTGAAAGAAGTAAATAAAAGTCAGTGTGAGTTTGTTAGAACTTCATTGTGTATAACTCTCAGTAATTAATAGTAGAATATTTAAAGGATATTAATGTTCATTTCTCAATGCACAAACAGAATGGTGCTACCTTAACAACATGAACCTGCAATAGTTAAATGTATTACTGTATGTGAGAGTGTACCACTGTAGCTCCAACCTTTTCATTTGTCTACAACAATAATCCATCACCACTGTCTTCCTCTCAGTGGCTGCTCTCAGATCAGCTTTGGTGAGCAGTTCTGTTTTCAGTGTTTGTCTGTGAAACAACGTTCAGTTAGAAAGCACAAGGACACTGTTAGACTCATCTGACAGAGAAGATCAGATACAGCAGTAGTCTAGAAGAAAACAATGGACAGTGTCTCTCCTCCTCCTCTTCCTCCTCACTCAGTGTCTCTCCTCCTCTTCCTCCTCACTCCTCACTCAGTGTCTCTCCTCCTCCTCCTCCTCATCTTCCTCCTCACTCAGTGTCTCTCCTCCGGGAGGAACCAAGATGGCAGTAGAGAGGGCGATGATGTACAAACTGTAAACAAATGAGAACCTCTTTTCCACGCCCCCCTTCAGGGTGACACAAGCGCTGTATTGGAGAGTATTTTTAGGGAAGTTGGACAGAGGAAGTCTCGACCACAGAACTAAACGGTTTTGCTCCGAGGCTGCCACGATGTGACTGCAGACGCCCACAATAAAACCTGAAACTATGAAAATGAAAGTTTTTATTAAAAAGGTTTTTTTTTATAAAAAAACCAATTAAACAATTAACGACACACTGGCCATCGATGCAGTGATGAAGAGGAGCGCTGGACCGATGCTGATCATTCTTTCTCTGCTAATGGACGCAGCCTTAGGTAGGCTTTATAGACTGTTACTAACTGTATTATATATAAACCTACAATAATATATCCTATATATTCTTTACTGTATCCGTTAGTTTATTAACGAGCTGCAGTGACAGTCAGTAAACAGCAAACAAACAAACAGTAAACATTGAGGAAGGGCGCTGGTCAACACTGTCATTTATCATCATCACAATCATTATCAGCTAAAGAGACACTAACTCTTCTTTTTATATGTTTACTTTACCAACATACTGCACTACTTAGGCATGGTCGAAGCGGTCAGCCGCCCAGGGCAGCAGGATTTTTTCATGACACAAGGGGGCAGCACGAGCACTTAAAACAAAATCTCCTCTGCACCGCGAAGCAGTTTTCTATGATCTATCTGTTCTATCATATCACTGTGTGGGGAATTGGCGACCCCTACAACTGCAAGCTGAGAAGGTGCCGTGCACTGAAGCTGTGTTAGAAAGGGAAGGAGGGAGGGGGACAGTTCACCTCTGGGTCTCCCTAATGGAACGGACAAGGGAGGGAATAACACCTCGACTTTCTTCCAAATAATGCACATTTCATTCCTAATATCATAAATACAATCCTATAATACATATAATATATATATAATATAATAAATACAGGCCTATAATACATAATATATATATATATAATAAATACAGGCCTATAATACATATAATATATATATGATATAATAAATACAGGCCTATCTTAAGTTGAGACTGTGGACGGAAGATATAGGTGATGAAATATTGCTACAAGACTGGAAAGGTATGAAAAGCTCAGAAACAAACAGTCAACAGCAACCTGAAACGTATTCAGTATAAGTGGCTGATGCGTAGGCTACATACATAACCCCATTCAAATTGCACAAGTTTAATGATAACATCCCTGATAGGCCTACATGTATTAAGTGCAATGAAGCAAGAGGAACGCTGTACCACTGTGTATGGGAATGTGTGAAAGTGAAATCCTTCTGGCAAGATATTATTAATTTGATTGATCAGATATTAGCTAAGAAGATACCACTGGACCCCAAGCTTTTTCTTCTGGGTATATATCCAACTATCCCACAATTACAAAGTAAAGAATCTAGATTTGTAGATATGTGTATATTACAAGCTAAACGTATCATTTCCCTTAATTGGAAAAATGTTGATGGACCAAGAATTGGAAGGTGGATTAAAGAGATGACAATGGAAAAGATAACATACATTATTAGACGGAAGCAACGTGTTTTTGATGGCATCTGGAGACCTTTTATATGTTTTTTAAGATGTGACGCCAATGTTGGTAAGGTGCTACAGCAGGAGGAGGCTCTGAGAGAGTAGGATGTCCATGTGGTGATATAATGTCCTGAGAAACGCCCTCGAAATGCATCAATGTTATAATTGTTTTCAATATTTGTTTATTTAATCAAAGTGAGTGTGTGTATATATATGTTGGTATATGTATGTGTATCTGTGTCCATGTGGGCATGTGCATACTGTATACCATATCCAGGGTTATATTGTTATCAACATTATTTTTAATTTATTTTTATTTTTTCTATTTTTATTTTATTTTTATTGTTTTAACACCTTTTTCTTATAATTATTTGGTGAGGGGAGGAGGGAAGGGAGGGAGAACAGGGAGAAAAGTTTGCTTTGTTGCATGTTATAGTGACATGCTGTTTGATCTGCTGTAATTTGCAAACAAAAAAAATACAGGCCTATAATACATATAATATAAATATAATAAATACAGGCCTATAATAAATACAATATATATATAATTTAATAAATACAGGCCTATAATACATAGAATATATATATAATATAATAAATACAGGCCTATTGTTTTTCTGGAGTGTGTGAAATGGCAAAAAACTAAACAAAAATAGGTAATACAAAACGATTATGTGGTCACCTGCTCTTGTTACTTTTTTATATATCTTATTGTATATATTTTGACACTTTTATGTATATTTATGGATGTCCTTGTAGTTCTCTAAGTTCTGATAACTTATACTGTCATATTTTGTGCAGAACTGTGTTCATTGTCTTTTGGCGATGTTGGAGGTGGAGACCTTAAAAAGTGTGTTTCCTGTTCCAAGTGCAATAGTTCAATCCAATTGTTCTGATGAAGGATTTGTGCAATCGATGAATATAATTCTCTGCTTCACTCATGTTGTTATTATAAAACATAACAGTTTGTGCAGAATTTTGTGTTTTATTTTTTATTGCGCGGGGTTTTGAAGGGGGTTTCGCCCAGGGTGTCATTCAAGATAGAACCGCCACTGTGTGTGTAGACGTTGTGCCCTTAAAAGGGGGAATAGTAACAGCAGAAGGATGAGGAAAACACACATGGCTCTTCACTTGTCTGTATTGAATGAGGAAGAGGAGCGTGATTCCCCTTACTGGAGCACTGAGTACCAACAGATCCATTAAACCACACAGATCTGTATTAGCTATCTGCATTCCTCTTCTTGGTATTACTCACTAGTTGCATATTCTCCACATACATTCACAACTTCTATAATAATGTCAAAATACATTGTATTTATGAATAAATTGTTATATACAACTTGTCACATAGACAATTAGTTTACATTATTCAAGGTTGAATGTAAAAACACAGATGGTTCCTTTATGTGCACACACACATTAAACACTGGTGGACACACACTGTCCTTTGAGGAGGAAAGTGTCTCCTCCCTCGTCTCCAGAGGTGCAGCTGGACATTTGATGATATGTATTTGAACCTAACTGCTGTTTCTTGTTTGTTCTTTTGTTTTCCTCACAGCAAACTCACAATTGATTTGTTCACATCAACCAATCACAGCCCTGGCTGGTGATGATGTCATTCTACCATGTCACCTTGAACCTCCCATCAGTGTTTCTGATGAGACAGTGGAGTGGACCCGACCTGATTTAGACCCAAAGTACGTCCATGTTCACACAGACGGACGATTTATATATAAAACTCAAAATCCATCCTATAAATTCCGGACAAGACTGTTTATGGATGGACTGATGACAGGAAACGTCTCCATGAAAATCTCCAAAGTGAAAGTTTCTGATACAGGAAGATACCAATGTGCCCTTCCCTCATTACAGAAGGAAGCTTCCATCCAGCTCATTGTTGGTAAGTCAGACTGGGTTTTATAAAAGCAGAACATTGACTGAGCTCAGTATTTGAATTAAAGGCTCAGGAGGCCTGGAGGTTCAGCTCCTCAGCCTTTAGAGATGAACCTGTACTGATCATCTGTAGGTGAAATTCAATTATTCTATTCCATCCTGTACCCCCATATGTACTTTGAGATGGTCGAATTTAACACATTTAACTTTAAAATGAACATGATAAAAAAGAAAATTAATTTAATGACCTGTTATGGCCACGTAAGTGATGGATAAAAAGACATGTCTGGAAATAAAATAGATTGATATCTAATTCCACCTTTAATGCTTTTCTAACACAATAGTGTTTTAAGTTTTTTAAGCAAACATTGATATGTGTTTACTGGTTCAGACTGAATGGATCAAGCAGTCAATTTATGTAGACAACAGAGCGAGTCGACAGTCGGTGTATAAAATCACATCAGATAATATAATTATTATAATTATCTTTTATAAAGTTAATGTGTTTCTCCTAAATGACAGAGAAACTGATCTAAAACCTTTACTGGCCAGTGTTATATACATTATATACACCCATACATATATACATGTTAGTGTAATATACACCATGTTATAATGTATAGAACAATGCAGTTAAATGACTGTACTCTGAAACCTACAATATAACCCAATGTATTTCACTATTACTGGCTCAGATAAGCATGTTTATTAGATTGTAATGTGCATGGAATAATGGAATTATACTATACATTAAATATCTAGCATCAGTCTCCCTACTTTCTAAATATCTACATTGACCATTAAAAAAACCTTATCAGTAAACCTCTAATACTGCAATGTAAAGATTCTCACTTAGGATCAGTGTTTAATGATTCTGTAACAGGAAGTGTAAATATGATGTTTGTCTCTGCAGGACAGTCTGATATGATTGGCTCAGACAAACCAGTTACAGTAACAGTCGGTGATAACGTCATCCTGCCATGTCACCTGGAGCCGCCATTGGACATGACGACTGAAACGGTGGAGTGGAAACGTGATGAAGAATTTGTGCACGTCAGTCAACATGAGAAGGACTATCTAGATCTTCAAGATGAGAACTTCAGAGGTAGAACATCTCTCTTCTATGAAGAAATGATCAGAGGAAACATTTCACTAAAACTGACCAACGTAACTGAACTGGATGCTGGGAGTTACACCTGCAATGTTCCCAAACTGCAAAGTCAGGTCAGGAGAGGCTTCATTAACCTCACTGTTGGTGAGTACAGCTAACATATTACACATTCAAAGGAAATGAGAGAAAATGTTCTATTTGTCACGTGTTAAAAGTTTTGTATTAATTGTCCAACAGAGCCAGAGGGAGGCCACAGTGGGAATATCAGTAAGTAAATATCTTATTTGTCTCCTCATCAGCTGTCATCTCCTGTTGGTCTGAATGTTATCACATATTTTAATATTTTATTTCATTGTTTCCACAGACACAGAGCCAGATAAGTGCTGTCTTTACTGCAGTCCACAATGTACACAGATATCACTCCTGTTTCTCTCCTCCTTACAATATGAACCTGAGAATGAGCATAATATGACCTCTTTAACCTCAAAAGTAATCAGAGTAATTCTGTATTTAATGCTTCATTTGACAGGATGCCATTCTAACAAATAATGAACTCATTCATCATCTCAGAGCACACTGATAGAGGACTACTGAAAGGTCCAGTGTGTAACATTCAGGAGGATCTATTGTCACCGCCATGTTTCTACAGTAGTCCAGAACACATTTGGAAGTTTTATTCACTTGTTTGCAATCTGTAACTTCACCACTAGATGGCACTGAATCCTCCACAGCGGTCCTTTAAATAACCCTGGATCCTCTATTTCTGGAGAATATTCTCACTGATAATACTGTTTGTTTACTGTTGTGCAATGAAAGAGATTCTAACCAACAGACAGTTTTGGTGGGATGGACTCCAAGTACACATTGAGACCATGAACAGGAGAAGTGGTTGTGGAAATATTGTTGATGGATGTTATCTTGGAACAGTGAAGAACAAATCTCAACATCTTTCCTCTGTTCTTTCAGGTGGTGGCACTGGTTTGAGCCCTGGTGCTATAACTGGCATTGCTATTGGTGTCATTGCTGTCCTTGCCATAGTTGTATTTCTTGTGAGGAAGAATCGTAGAAAGATCAGTAAGTCAATAATCTTCTCTCTCTCCATTTTCTCCATTTAAAAAGACAGTTTACAGTTTTTCAGTCAGTCTTCAAACAACAGTGAACAGTGAAACAGGTTGTTCTTGCTGTAATGATTCCTCCTGTTATACTGGACATTAAAGATCTCTTCCTAAAGTACTTTCAATGGAAGTGATGAGGGGAACAATCTACAGTCCTCCTTACATGGAAACATGTTTTCAGAAGTGTATCTAAAGCTAATATCAGCTAATATGTGTTTATAACTCCATCATTTATTTAGAAATCATTTATTGGGGGGTCTGCACCCTGCCTCTCATGTACAGTGTGTCTGAGCTTTCTCACTATCCTGCTGTCTGATTATGATGGTTGATCTGGGACAAGCTCCTTTACTTGTAGTTCCTCACTGTCAATAACAACAAGTGTCATCACTCCACTGCTGACTGACTCTGCTTGGGCTGATAAAATAATCGCCCTTTTCACTGACTTGTTTTGTGTTGTTGATACGTGTTCAGGAGGACAAGGGGCCAAGGGTGGAGCCAATGCTGGAGCCAATTTTGGGGCCAGTGCTGGAACCAATGCCACGGCCAATTTTGGGGCCAATGATGGGAATTATTGTTATTATTAAAATTGTTTTATGCTGCTTGGTTTTCATGTTTTTGTTTCATGTTATCTTGTTTGTCTGCCCTGTGAAGAACTCTGCAACATCTATTTACTGTATATAAAATGTTTTATTTATTTTATTATAGAACCTTCTGATTTGCTCAAATATTCACAACCAACATCACACATTTCTTAAATTAGAAATTTTTCATCAGTACGAATAAAGAATTCTTTTTTTTTTTTTACTTTTGCTGAATGCGGGTCAGTACAGAGCAGAGTTATGTGTAATGTTTGAAGAAACATTCAAGCAAATACAGACAAGTTCAACCATTTAATCCAGAACTTCTTTCTATGTGAATGTTGATTGTGTAATATTCTTGATTGAAATGCAGCTGTAGGGAATTGTTCAGAAGTTCTTCCTGATGTGTTGATTGTATAAACCACTGCAGGGACAGAGTTGGTGTCTCAGGACCTGGTTTTAACTAGAATGAGTCTTATCTGTCTAATTGAACCTTCTCAGTGTCAGTTTCCAGCTCCCTCTAGTGACTTGTTATTGTATAGGATTCATTGACTAGAGGGGGGAAATAAAAAGCACTTAATGACTGTTATTATTTTAAGGTGACTCTATATATATATATATATATATATATATATATATATATATATATATGCATATATATGTATTTTTTATGACTGTGCTGCTTTTTTGTGTGTTTTGCTTTATGTTATCTTGTAATACTGCACCGGGGGAAGAATCACATTGTACTACTACTAGAATTAATGTTGTATAAAGTATATTGTTCTTGTTGTTCACATTGGACACTAGGAGGCTGAAACTGTAATTGTTAATAAAAAGATGTTTAACTTGTACCTGACATTTTGTTCTTATTTGGTCTGATATTTTGGGGAAGTGCAGAATCTTTAAGTTTATTGCAACTGACCAATTAATGTTCTACGACACTGAAATGAAAGAAAAAAATCAAAGTCAGTGTGAGTTTGTTAGAACTTCATTGTGTATAACTCTCAGTAATTAATAGTAGAATATTTAAAGGATATTAATGTTCATTTCTCAATGCACAAACAGAATGATGCTACCTGAACAACATGAACCTGCAATAGTTAAATGTATTACTGTATGTGAGAGTGTACCACTGTAGCTCCAACCTTTTCATTTGTCTACAACAATAATCCATCACCACTGTCTTCCTCTCAGTGGCTGCTCTCAGATCAGCTTTGGGGAGCAGTTCTGTTTTCAGTGTTTGTCTGTGAAACAACGTTCAGTTAGAAAGCACAAGGAAGAGTTTTACAGTTTTCATCAACATTGTAGTTGCTCAAAAGGGAAAAAAGACAACAACAACAAACAATATCCCAGAGGTTACAAACATTAATACATTTTGAGATGCAACTGTCAATCAATTATTCAAATCAATACATTAAATAATCAAAAATAGAATAGAAAACCGGGTTCAAATCAACCAGTCGAACACTAAAAAGTAGTTGTCTCTGTATCTCTGGCCCAAGCACAATCCGAACTGTACACAAGCCTGAGGGCTGGCAAAAGCTTGGATTCATGTTTGTAATTAATTAAAACAATCCTGTGTATTTTCTCTCTACTTTTACATTATTATATTATACTTTCTGATTAATTCAGTGGTTTCTTTCTCATTGTTCCATCAGCTCGTCGGTTGTTTCCTAAAGCAGGACGAATACAGCTTGAGTTTGGATGTTAAATAATAATCTAAACCTTAAAAACAACAACGTTATTTAGTTGTATTCACAGAAACGAAGAGGCTGGGATAAAGGCCTAATGTGTGTATGTGTTCAGTGGAGCTTTGGCAACCCCGTGTTCAGGTCCCGGCTGCCAGGTTGGGAACCACTGTCCTACAGCGCCATGTGCCACAAGAGACACACCTTCACCCTGGAAGCAGCAGGTAAGGTCTTTTTAGTAAAGATTGTTTATGGAAAATTTATCTTATGTAGTTGAATAAACTATGGATTTGATTGGCTTATTTATTTTGTCCCATTACTGAGAGTCTTTTTAACACAGAACATCATTTTTCTAAGTCAATAAAGCTCGACGAAGCGGCTCAAAATCCAGACAACACAAAGGAGAGCACACAGATAATGAAGGTTTAAAGCTAAATGCATTGAACCAATATTAAACAGTGTTATTGGCTGCAGGCGGTGTGTGGATGTGCTCAATGTGCTGATATGGTTGCACTGTAAGAGAAAACTGACACAGAAAATAAGTTCAGGAGAAATAAAAGTAAAAATGAAGACAATCTGAGAGCTGCAAACAGAATTGGACACACTCAGCTTTAACTGTCACATGTGGCTCAACCAAATTTGCTTTTATTTTATATCTTTGTTTTTTTTTTTAGTACATTTACTTCCACTTTCTTTAACTAACCCTGTTTTCCAGTACTTTTAAATTATATTGTACTGCAATGCTTTACTTAATTCGTTCCCGCTGTTAAATATTAGCAGATAAAAATAGAAAATGATGTTATTTTTATTTCACTTTTCTTTCCATAATAGTTTGTGCACTGATGACAGGGAAACGGATGGATGCTCCGGTGAAGAGCCCGTTAGCCGGGTGAAGGAAGGAGGTTGTCGGTGTGTGTGACTGACAGCAATGTCCTCACAAACACAGCTCATTATTCTGTAGATTTTATTGTTTTATGTGATTTCTGTTTCAACATCAGCACTTTGTGTGTTTAATGGTTCGAAAATGAGTTTTTGTATTTTCTTAGTTTTTCTATTTTCTTAGTTTTTCTATTTTTACATTGTAATGGTCTGTAAGAGCCAAAGCCCCCTCTGTGCTCAGCCAGACGTTCATTTAATTTAAAACATTTTGAAACTGATCAAACTACTGCCTTTTTTAGTAACACATACATTTCTCTCATTAAAAACATTTGTACTCGTTCAGTGCTGGTTCAGGAGACAGACCACTGCAGTGAAAATCTGTCTCTGGAAAACAACATGAACTAACTTTTGAGCATTTTAATTGAATGTAGGACTCTGACCAGCAGGGGGCACATTATCACTAATAAAGAATCCTAAACAGACCTCCTGTGTTCAGAGATCACAGACATACTTCCTGACAGCAGATGTACACTAATGTGCCAAAGTCATAGGTCACCCTGAAAATGGAATTCTTATTAAGCTTGAGACCTGAGAATTAAGTGTATAGTCAACATATAATCACATGTATCGATCACATTACGCTCCGAAATGCTGTTCAATGGAAACGGTCCATCACTTCCATCAACGCTTCCTCTCCGGCTCAATGTAATGTTCTCCAGTATTGTTCACAGGCAAAGGAGGGTAAACAGGGGGAGAGAGGGGCTGTTTGTGGAGGAAGGAGAGAGGACTGGTGTATCCTTTGTGGAGGTTTCAGCGTTATTAGTCTGTGTGTAACTCTGCATATATTTAATATTATATATTTAAATATTATATTTAATCCAGCAGCCAGCACTTATTCCAGTGAGAAAGAATCAGTATTAAAACGGTCTGCCTCTCATTCCCACAGCTGTCTCACACTCACACTGGACACTGCAGAGTGGAGGAGACAACATGGTGAAAGAGTTGATCTTTATGGATTATACTGAGGCCCAACTGACATTTTATCTTCTGGGTTGTTAAATGTAATCAATGATTAAAATGTCATAGTTCTTAAAGGGAACACAGTGAAATAAAGAGCAGCTTCACTGCTCAGAACTGAAATCAAACATGAAGACATCTGTACATTCTTGTTACATTATGACACAATGAACTCAAAGTGAATATATAATAACTGTATAATGAACACTGTTAGGCTCATCTGACAGAGAAGATCAAATACAGCAGTACAATGGACACAGGATGCAGTTTGTGTCTCTCTTCCTCCTCCTCTATCCTCAGTGTCTCCTCAACTCCTGGGGAGGGGAGGAGAGGGGGTGATGATGTAGGCTACACACTGTGAAATGATGAAGACCCCTCTTCCACGCCCCCTTCAGAGTGACACACTTTTCAGTCACTTTTCTCGCACTCTGGTTGTCTCCCATCACTGTCCTTCAAGCATGTGTTGTAGAAATACAGTCCTCAGTCATCCACTCCTGTAGGTGGCAGTGTTACCAACAACCAGGATCCCACTGAAAGCGAAACTGACTCGGACCTCCGTCTGATTGGTTGGCTGAATACCAGGAAAGGGCGTCAGAATAAAGACGCCAGTGATACCTGAGACTATGATAACAGGGATTAAGATAATTATGCCTTAGTGGAATGAAGAGTGTAGCCTGGCTGTTAAAGAAGGAAATTATGCTCTTAGAAACTTAATACAATATAAAAGAAATAGAAAAAGCAAAAAGGGATACACATTATTCTTTTATTGAGAGAGAGAGAGAGAGAGAGAGAGAGAGAGAGAGAGAGAGAGAGAGAGATGGTGGTCACATATGGAATATGATTAAAAAGATAAATGGGAGCAGATCTAACATCTCATCTGTGTAAATGGATGGAAAAAATATTGTTTATAGCTTATTATTTTGTGAGATTTTGTGGTGTGTGGTTGGATTTGAATGGGGAGCAGATAAAGAAGCATTATTATTATTATGATTATTATTATGATTATTATTATTATTATTATTATTATTATTATTACTATTATTATTATTATTATTATTATTATTATACAGGGCTTTGATAAGAGCCACTATGGATTATGGTTGTATGGTATATGAGGCAGCATCCGTTACAGTTAAGGAGAACTAAATTAAACAATGATATTAATATACATGATTTTATTAAACCTACAGCAGCTTTTTGTTGGATACCAGCGGGTGTGTGAACAGAGGGAAACGAGGTTGCTGACTATCTAAAAGTTCATCAAACAGAAGTGATAGGGGTGTTTTAGAAATGTGTTTTGGAAGGTCAGAGGTTAAATCAATAATTCAGCAGGGAGTAGTGGAAAAGGAAGAGCAGAAAAGAAGATATAATTCTATTATGATAAAGATAGAACGGTAAAGAGTCAAACGTGTGCTGATGGATTGTAGAAGGTTTAATATGGAAAGACTGCAGGACAGGGTGATGGATGTGGGAAGGGACTGGAGTATAGGGGGTCTGTTGGGGGTCTGTTGGGGATGGGGGACCAACACATACAGGTTCAAAGGGCTTTAATGAATAAATGAAACAGGTCTAATATACAGACTATAACTCAAATACAGTCAGGGTTTTACACTTTGAGTACAGCAGGTGGCGGCAGACAGCTCTCAGGGTGGAGTAACAATGTGGAAGACGTCGCTTCATACCTCTCTACTGTGTATTCTACCGTGTCACAGTCTTTATTGGGGGAGGAGGGGGATCAACATGAGCTTTCTTCTGCTTTTCACGTGTCTCTGTGTGACACATGGTGAGTCACTGAGCAATTTCACGTTTATTGTATGTCCGTGTGTCCGTCTGACGTTGTTTCGATTATTATCCAGCAGTTAGTTTCGATTTTAAACTTCCTCCTTTTCAACTTTTTTTAAGTTATTTTTATTTTTGATAGAGACAGCCGAAGATAGACAGAAAATGGACAAACAGAGGGAGGGGGGTGACACGCAGCAAAGACTGTCAGTTTCGAACCCGTGGCGTTATAGCGCCTCGGTATGTGGGTGTCCAGCTGTACCTACTGAGCCAACCAGAGACCCGAGGTTGATGTGTAAATTCGGCAATACAAACAACGAAAACAAAAAAAAAGTACAGCCGAAAACCTAGGATTTATTAGTGTACTTCGGATAAATGACAATGCACATTAAGCGGGGATATCGAACATGGTCACACTATCTGGCCCTGGGCTCTTATTAATCTTATTCTCTCCCCCTCACTGTATACTCGGGAACAACAACGGGTAGCGATCAGCAGCTGTTAATGTCTCCATGATAGAGGATAATAGTCCCGCAGTGAGGAGCAGACACTAACATTATTGTTCCAGTAAACAGTTTCTATCGCAGTGTTTTAAAAGTCACCAACAGAGGAATGTCATAGAAGCACTCAGAATATTTAAAAAAAGTCCTAAAAAGCCACGCCTACAGTATACGCAATTAAACAATAACAATAACAGAAAATAAATAGAAAATGTGCGACATTCACTTTTTATTTATGAACATAGATAAACGCAATAGTATCACTACCACGACTACTACTAATAATGATAATTATAATAATAATGACCCAAACTACAACTATGTAAGATTTATACTGATTTTACTGTAGTGTTTTTTTTAGATAATTAAAGGGGAAGTCTGCTCAATTTTGACAGTTTGATCTGAGTTTGGTGCGTTGAGCACTGAGAATGAGCTGTCAATCACAAGGTAGCCCCGCCCTAAAGCATACCCTGCTTTATGGTCTGTTTTACTCTAAATGGGACCATCAGTTACTAAATGAACATCACGCTGTATGGAAGAAGACTGAAACTAGATGCACTGTGTGTTCTGACCCCTATTCTAGCCTTCACCCCCCACTGAATGAATATGAATATAATATAATAGAAATAAAATATGTAAATATGATGTTTGTCTCTGCAGCACAGCCTGATGTGATTGGCTCAGACAAACCAGTTACAGTTACAGTCGGTGAGGACGTCATCCTGCCATGTCACCTGGGGCCTCCATTCAATGTGAGGACTCTAACAGTGGAGTGGACACGTGATGGACAATATGTCCACGTCTGGCGACATGGGAAGGACTATCTAACTGATCAGGATGAGAACTTCAGAGGTAGAACATCTCTCTTCCATGAAGAAATGATCAGAGGAAACATTTCACTAAAACTGACCAGCATAACTGAACTGGATGCTGGAAGTTACACCTGCTCTGTTCCCAAACTGCAAAGTCAGGCCAGGAGAGGCTTCATTAACCTCATTGTTGGTGAGTACAGCTAACATATTACACATTCAAATGAAATAAGAGGAAATGTTCTCTTTGTCACATGATAAAAGTTTTGTATTAATTTTCCAACAGAGCCAATGGGAGGTCAGACTGATGATACCAGTAAGTAAATATTTTATTTGTCTCCTCATCAGCTGTCATCTCCTGTTGGTCTGAATGTTATCACATATTTTAATATTTTATTTCATTGTTTCCACAGACACAGAGCCAGGTAAGTGCTGTCTTTACTGCAGTCCACAATGTACACAGATATCACTCCTGTTTCTCTCCTCCTTACAATATGAACCTGAGAATGAGCATAATATGACCTCTTTAACCTCAAAAGTAATCAGAGTAATTCTGAATGTAATGCTTCATTTGACAGGATGCCATTATAACAAATAATGAACTCATTCATCATCTCAGAGCACACTGATAGAGGACTACTGAAAGGTCCATTGTGTATAACATTCAGGAGGATCTATTGTCACCACCATGTTTCTACAGTAGCCCAGAACACATTTGGAAGTTTTATCTACTTGTTTGCAATCTGTAACTTCACCACTAGATGGCACTGAATCCTCCACAGCGGTCCTTTAAATAACCCTGGATCCTCGTATTTCTGGAGAATATTCTCACTGATAATACTGTTTGTTTACTGTTGTGCAATGAAAGAGATTCTAACCAACAGACAGTTTTGGTGGGATGGACTCCAAGTACACATTGAGACCATGAACAGGAGAAGTGGCTGTGGAAATATTGTTGATGGATGTTATCTTGGAACAGTGAAGAACAAATCTTTCCTCTGTTCTTTCAGGTCGTGGCACTGGTAATAACACTGGTGTTATAATTGGCATTTTTGTTGTTGTCATTGCTGTCGTTGTTGCAGTTGCTGTATTGTGGATGAAACGCAGAAAGATCAGTAAGTCAATAATCTTCTCTCTCTCCATTTTCTCCATTTAAAAAGACAGTTTACAGTTTTTCAGTCAGTCTTCAAACAACAGTGAACAGTGAAACAGGTTTTTCTTGCTGTAATGGTTCCTCCTGTTATACTGGACATTAAAGATCTCTTCCTAAAGTACTTTCAATGGAAGTGATGAGGGGAACAATCTACAGTCCTCCTTACATGGCAACATGTTTTCAGAAGTGTATCTAAAGCTAATATCAGCTAATATGTGTTTATAAATCATCATTTATTTAGAAATCATTTATTGGGGGGTCTGCACCCTGCCTCTCATGTACAGTGTGTCTGAGCTTTCTCACTATCCTGCTGTCTGATTATGATGGTTGATCTGGGACAAGCTCCTTTACTTGTAGTTCCTCACTGTCAATAACAACAAGTGTCATCACTCCACTGCTGACTGACTCTGCTTGGGCTGATAAAATAATCGCCCTTTCACATCCTATTCTCACTTTTCCTCTAAACTAGTGTTGTCAAACGATTAAAATATTTAATCGCATTAATGTCATAGTTAACTCACAATTATTCACACATTTTTATCTATTCTAAATGTCCCTTGATTTCTTTTTGTCTCATTATTTTTTCTCAATTTAATGCTCTTATCAACATGGAAAAGTGGATCGGCTTGCTTTGTGCAAAGTTTTTATTGAAAAATCATCCATTGTCGACTGGCTTTGACGAGGGGGCGGAGAATTCGCATCAGCTGTGTGCGTGGCCATCAGGTGGTATTTCAGACTGGACGTGCTGCGATGATAGCTCAGTTCACAACGACAAAACACACAGATCACTTTGGTCTTGTCAATGGAACCATTTGGCAACTTTTTAAAAGTAAACTTTCCATTCAGAATATTATTGGCATCCATTTCGGCGTCTCGCGCTCGCCATCCACTCAAAACGTAACGTCTACTACTCTTAAACAAGTGGGTGTAGCGGGCCTGTTGTTTTGTTTCCGGTCTAGCTAGATCCGGTGTGGTGTTGTAGTTTTTCTAACGTTACTAGTTGTTGCAACAGCATGTGAAAAAAACTACAAAGTGTGCTACGCCAAAAAGAACGTTAATCTCGCAATAAAATTGATGCTGTTAAAATGGGTTTGCGTTAACGCCTTTAATAACGTGTTTAACTGACAGAACTACTCTAAACTCAACCCAGAGCACTCAAACTACAGAAAACACTCAGTTTGGAAATCACTGACTGATAACTTGTTTTGTGTTGTTAATATGTGTTCAACAGGACAAGAGAAAGAGAATATCTTCCAGCACAGAAGGACAGCTGAAGCAATCCCGTTGGAATAACGACAGAAAAATCAGGTACCTCCAGTAAAACATCCTGGTTATGTCACGATTCTGAGGCTGAACCCAAAAGTGTAGTGAACATAAAGTCTTTAATTATGGTCTGGAGACTGGCTGAAGTCTGGGGTTTGAGTCCTGTGATGAAGGTGGTAGAGGCAAACTGGTGCAGAGAGCTGGCAGACAGGCGAATCTGGTAGCAGAGGAAACCGTTATAAGAATTTGGTAAGCTGGCTAACAAGTTCAAAGGAGGTGAAGCGAGGCACACAACATACTGGGTGTGGTACAACGATCCAACAGGGACTGGATGTCAGCCAGGCTTCTTATAGTGGTGAGGTGCAGTCTTGATCGAAGGCAGGTGTGCTTGATTGTGGGTGAGCAGCAGGTGAGTGGAGACAGACAGAGAGGGCAAGGAGGGAAGGGAACAAGCAGACAGACAAACCCAATAATCGCCCTTTTACATCCTATTCTCACTTTTCCTGCTTTATTCTTTGCTGATGATGCTACTCTGCTGCAGGAGACTGTGTTGAATGCTGCCATTTAATCATGACTTCCACAGAGCTTTAACCAAGTGGTTTTAATGTCTAAACTTAAACATGTGTTGATCAGAGCGGTCAAAGAACAGAAAATGGTCATGGGACATTTTGGAAGACACTGACTAATAACTGTTTTTGTGTCTAACAGCGACGGACTGTGCAAGACTAAACACTACAGGACGCAACAGGCAGAACAGGGAAGGTAGTCAGGAGGACAATGATGAGGTCAATGATGAGGGTAATGTGCTCAACTTGCCAGAAATGCCAGCTAGTAAGAAAGAAAAGCTTTTGTTCCATCCACATTTTATCAGGTGTTTTATGAGCTGAAATACTACTATTACTACTACTACTACTACTACTACTACACTACTACTAATAATAATAATAATTATGATAATGGTGATAATAATAGTAATAAATAGTATTATTGTTGTTATTGTTTTATGCTGCTTGGTTTTTATGTTTTTGCTTCATGTTATCTTGTTTTTCTGCCCTCTGAAGATCTGTTGGCTGTATATAAAATATTCTTGATTCTTGATTGAAATGCAGCTGCAGGGAATTGTTCAGAAGTTCTTCCTGATGTGTTGATTGTATAAATCACTGCAGGGACAGAGTTGGTGTCTCAGGACCTGGTTTTAACTAGAATGGGTCTTATCTGTCTAATTGAACCTTCTCAGTGTCAGTTTCCAGCTCCCTCTAGTGACTTGTTACTGTATAGGATTCATTGACTAGAGGGGGAAATAAAAAGCACTTAATGACTGTTATTATTTTAAGGTAACAATATATATATATATATATATTGTTGTTGTATATATATATATATATATATATATATATAGGGTTAGGGTTATATATAGTAACCCTATATATATTTCATATTTGGGTTTTATATATTTATATTTGGGTTTTACGTATATTTATATGTATATATTTTATGACTGTGCTGCTTTTTTGTGTGTTTTGCTTCATGTTATCTTGTGTTACTGTCCTGTAGAGAATCACATTGTACTACTACTAGAATTAATGTTATATAAAGTTTATTGTTCTTATTCAACCTTTTGATTTGCTCAAATATTCACAACCAAAATCACACATAGGACACTAGGAGGATGAAACTGTGATTGTTGTTTGTTAATAAAAAGATGTTTAACTTGTACCTGACATTTTGTTCTTATTTGGTCTGACATTTTGGGGAAGTGCAGAATCTTTAAGTTTATTTCAACTGACCAATTAATGTTCTACGACACTGAACTGAAAGAAGTAAATCAAAGTCAGTGTGAGTTTGTTAGAACTTCATTGTGTATAACTCTCAGTAATTAATAGTAGAATATTTAAAGGATATTAATGTTCATTTCTCAATGCACAAACAGAATGATGCTACCTGAACAACATGAAGCTGCAATAGTTAAATGTATTACTGTATGTGAGAGTGTACCACTGTAGCTCCAACCTTTTCATTTGTCTACAACAATAATCCATCACCACTGTCTTCCTCTCAGTGGCTGCTCTCAGATCAGCTTTGGTGAGCAGTTCTGTTTTCAGTGTTTGTCTGTGAAACAACGTTCAGTTAGAAAGAACAAGGAAGAGTTTTACAGTTTTCATCAACATTGTAGTTGCTCAAAAGGGAAAAAAGACAACAACAACAACAAACAAACAGAGGTTACAAACATTAATACAGTGTCATATTTCTTAAAGGGAACACAGTGAAATAAAGAGCAGCTTCACTGCTCAGAACTGAAATCAAACATGAAGACATCTGTACATTCTTGTTACATTATGACACACTGAACTCAAAGTGAATATATAATAACTGTATAATGAACACTGTTAGACTCATCTGACAGAGAAGATCAAATACAGCAGTAGTCTAGAAGAAAACAATGGACAGTGTCTCTCCTCCTCCTCCTCCTCCTCTCTCCTCACTCAGTGTCTCTCTTCCTCCTCCTCTTCCTCCTCACTCAGTGTCTCTCCTCTTCCTCCTCTCTCCTCACTCAGTGTCTCTCCTCCTCCTCCTCTCTCCTCACTCAGTGTCTCTCCTCTTCCTCCTCATTCCTCACTCAGTGTCTCTCCTCCTCCTCCTCCTCTCTCCTCACTCAGTGTCTCTCCTCCTCCTCCTCTCTCCTCACTCTGTGTCTCTCCTCCTCCTCCTCCCTCTCTCCTCACTCAGTGTCTCTCCTCCTCCTCCTCTCTCCTCACTCAGTGTCTCTCCTACTCCTCCTCTCTCTTCAGTCAGTGTCTCTCCTCTTCCTCCTCATTCCTCACTCAGTGTCTCTCCTCCTCCTCCTTCTCTCTCCTCACTCAGTGTCTCTCCTCCTCCTCCTCTCTCCTCACTCAGTGTCTCTCCTCCTCCTCCTCTCTCTTCAGTCAGTGTCTCTCCTCCTCCTCCTCTCTCCTCACTCAGTGTCTCTCCTCCTCCTCCTCTCTCCTCACTCAGTGTCTCTCCTCCTCCTCCTCTCTCTTCAGTCAGTGTCTCTCCTCCTCCTCCTCTCTCCTCACTCAGTGTCTCTCCTCCGGGAAGAACCAAGACGGCAGTAGAGGGGGCGATAATAAATTGTAAACTAATGAGACCTCTTTTCCACGCCCCCATTCAGGGTGACACAAGCGCTGTATTGGAGAGTATTTTGGGGAAGTTGGACAGAGGAAGTCTCAACCACAGAACTAAACGGTTCCAGGTTCCGCGTTTTGCCCCGAGGCTGCCACGATGTCTCCAGTGACTGCAGATGCTCACAATAAAACCTGAAACTATGAAAATTAAAGTTTTTATTAAAAAGGTTTTTTATAAAACTTAAACAATTAAGGACACACTGACACATCGCTGCAGTGATGAAGAGGAGCACTGGACCGATTCTGATCATTATTTCTCTGCTAATGGACGCAGCCTCAGGTAGGCTTTATAGACTGTTACTAACTGTATTATATATAAACCTACAATAATATATTCTTTATATTCTTTACTATATCCGTTAGTTTGCAGTGAATTGAAAAACTAGCTGAAACATTGTGTATAAAACTAAAATCAAGTAAAAAGGATGAGGCGTTGGTGCTTATGTAGAATGAGACTGCCTGAATGAGTCCATTGCAACTGTGTGACTGTGACTCTGAACTTCTTAAATCTAATAATAATAAGAGGAAACCAATACTGGGACAAAGCAAAAGTTCACATCAACGTACACAAAATGTATTGCAACAGCAGCAACGTCTCTGTGCAACAGTCCAGATCATATATGGATGTACTGACTCTCCTCACAGACACACATCATTTAAAACAAGATTATAATGATCTGCTCTCTCAGTCAAGGTTCAGCTGCAGCTCTGTGATCTCTCAGTAAATAATAATTAGTATTCAGTTAAGCCGTAGTATAAATAGTATTTGATATTTAAGTGTGTCAAAGGAAATGTGGGGGATCCGGTTTAAAGGAGCTGATGCAGATATTGTGAGACTTAAAGCTGCAGTCAGTCTGTAGACTGATGTTTACACTGTATAGACAAAGCTAATGTTATTATACTGTGAGGACTGGACTAATTACCAGGCAGCAGAGACAAAGCTCAGGTTTTAGTTTTATTTTTTATTTTCTACAACGTTAATGTTAGTATACACTTAATATTAATCTCTACCGCTCTCTCCTCTGAGCTCGGGCAACCTCAGCTCGCGGGGGCTGCAGGATTATACAGTGTACACACCAGAAACTTGTGCAGACTTGATGTTAAATTATGAAAGCTTTACCTGAATCCCCCCCACCCCCCACCTTCGCGCTCTCTCTCTCTCTCTCTCTCTCTCTCTCTCTCTCTCTCTCACACACACACACACACACACACACACACACACACACTTTTCTGTTCAAATGTGCATGGGGAGTTTATGAGGAAGCAAAATAGCAAAACTGAAATTTGCTGTAAAATAACTGCCCCTTCAGTTAACCTACTCAGAGGCAATCAGTAAGAAAGAAGTGCACAGTGGGCCCACACTAAAAACAACAATGCTCACAAATTCCTGAAATTTAACCCCACTGATGCAGGTCTCATCATGGATGGTGCTCCATTGGGCCACAAATAAGATGACATTCAAGGTTAGGAGCCAGGAATCAACAGAAAGGACATTTGATGATATGTATTCGAACCTAACTGCTGGTTCTTGTTTGTTCTTTTGTTTTCCTCACAGCAAACTTACAGTTGATTTGTTCACATCAACCAATCACAGCCCTGGCTGGTGATGATGTCATTCTACCATGTTACCTTGAACCTCCCATCAGTGTTTCTGATGAGACAGTGGAGTGGACCCGACCTGATTTAGACCCAGAGTACATTCATGTTCACAGAGACAGACGATTTATGTTTGACTATCAAAATCCATCTTATAATTTCCGCACAAGGGTGTTTGTGGATGAACTGATGACAGGAAACGTCTCCATGAAAATCTTCAAAGTGAAAGTTTCTGATACAGGAAGATACCAATGTGCCCTTCCCTCATTACAGAAGGAAGCTTCCATCCAGCTCATTGTTGGTAAGTCAGACTGGGTTTTATAAAGGCAGAACATTGACTGAGCTCAGTATTTTAATTAAAGGAACCAGTGGGGGCATTAACAGTGCACCTGTTAATGGGTGCCCCCTTAGATCTCAATGCGTCCAACTCCAACAATAATGGATGGAAAGACAGGATTTTGCATCTTCTTTTCCACATTTTCTGGAAATTCTGTTGAACTTTGCACTACATTTGAATGGAAACCAGCCAGTTTGAATTATAATTGAGAAACAAAATGTCCAATGATGCAACAGGAAGTCTAAAAACAATGTTTGCTTCCGTGCACGATCTGATGTGTGAACTGGGGTGGCCAGACATTGGGGTAATTTATAAATGATAATTTATTAACTGTAAAGTGGATTGTGAATCACCAGTGGAGCCAAATAATAATCCTAATTGACAATTGAGAGGTGCTCCATGTTTTTTGGAATATGTTTACTGGATTTGGAGGTTTAACAGAATCCCTCTGTTGAAAGCAAAGCCTCCTCCAAATAAAGTTAAATAAGTAGCTGATTAACTGAAGGTCTAAGAGCAAAATCTCTACATTTCTGTCCTCAGTAAAAGAGATAAGGAGTAAGTCAACATAGCTCACAATACACACAAACTCAGCAGCAGCAAAGGAGGCCTGGGGGTGCAGCTCCTCAGCCTTTAGAGATGAATCTGTACTGATCACCTGTAGGTGAAATTCAATTATTCTATTCCATCCTGTACCCCCTAGCTGTACTGAGAGACAGTCGAATTTCACACATTTCATTTTAAAATGAACATGATAAAAGAAAATTAATTTAATGACCTGTTATGGCCACGTAAGTGATGAAAAACAACACGTCTGGAAATAAAACAGACGGATATCTAATTCCACCTTTAAAGCTTTTCTAATACAATAGTGTTTTTAAGTTCAGATATCTTCATTTGGGGGCTTTTCCAAGCAAACACTGATATATGTGTTTACTGGTTCAGACTGAATGGATCAAGCAGTCAGTTTATGTAGACAATAGAGCAAGTCGACAGTTCGTAAAATCACATCAGATAATATAATTATGAAAGAAATCAATGCAGAAAAACAGGCTTTTATTTATTCACCTTCATAGTGCATCAGCAAGGTCAGAGAAAGAGTGAAATTATACCCTCCGTCCAAAACTCCACAAACCAGACATTATCTCTGTGAGATCTACAGTCTGTCTGTTGTGTAAATATAGGGGTACTTTTTGCTGTACTTGTGTGAACATGTCTAATCTTTAAAAGACTGCAGACACTCCAAAGTCTTTACTCAGTCTTCTGTTAAGTATTTAGCACATTACCAAACCAGATCCCATGCATATTCAGAAAATTCAGACTTGGCTCTGTAGCAACATGTCTCAGGCTATGAGATTTACATGTAGCCAAGACTGCATGCAAATCCTTTTATTTCCTGCTCCTCTGATAATCTGCTCCATGATCCACAACTCAACCGTCATTTTCTACTGAATTTCTGCATGCTAGAAAATGTGTCAGGGGGCACACAGACTCCACTGCTCTATGTTTAAAAATAGTAAAAGTAGTGATGAGAGTAGTAATAGTAATAAAAACTAGAAACATACTTAAAGCTGAGGTGGAAAAGTTACATCCCCTTTTTATATATTAATTATTATAACAAAACTGAGCCTAATCTAACTACTGATACTAAACAAAATACAAACGATTCAGCTAACTTAACTACGAAACAACTCCAAATCATACAATGGTGGCACCAACCAACTCTCAGGCAGGCTTCTTATTCTGAGGTCTCGCTTGAGGATTAACCAGCTTCATTCCTGGTTTACCAATCAGCAGCAAGGCCAGACTACCACAGAAACCAATTTCCTTCATTAGGACCTGGAGAGAACAACACAGGCCATGCTTGGCATGTTAGATTAAATAAAAACAAAATGGAATATTTCTGAATTTTAACCTCTGCGCACAGTGCAGCTGTTATTAACTCTCTCCGCTGTGTGCGTGTGTGCAGGAGCTCAGCTCTGTCCACAGTGAACCACTGGACTGAGCTCCTGGTCAGAGGTGAGGCAGAGAGCGGTGGAGAGCCGCATATTCAGCCTGCGAGTGCAAGTGCGACAAAAGCCCCGCAAACAAAAAACAAGTTAGAGTAATTTATGAATGTAAACTGTGCAAAAGATGTACAGCAGAGGAAAATGAACATCCAGTAAAATACAGTTCATTCAGCTAACTCAAAGGCTGCACTGAAGCAACAGACATTGCGCACACTTTCAAAGGGAGAGAGAAACTTCCTCCAGACAGCGACAAGATCAAAAGATTATATGTATTATATATTATATATTATAGTTTTCATAATTAGTACGGTATAATAAAACATTAATTTTACATATAAAACATTGTTAATGCAATGCAGAGACATTCACCTGTATTATAAAGCATAACATATTGAGTTAGGACTATTAATTTGATAATACTGAGGATCAGCAGATACTGATGTTAATGTTTGCATACTGGCCAGTGTTATATATATATATATATATATATATATATATATATATATGTGTGTGTGTTAGTGTAATATACATTATGTTATAATAAATACTGAGTACATAATGTATAGAACAATGCAGTTAAATGAAAAACCCAATGTATTTTACTGTTACTGGCTCAGATAAGCATGTTTATTAGATTGTAATGTGCATGGAATAACACATTGGAACATTGACCAATAAAAAACCCCTATCAGTCGAACTCTAATACTGTAATGTAAAGTTTCTCAATTAGGTTCAGTGTTCAGTGATTCTGTAACAGGAAGTGTAAATATGATGTTTGTCTCTGCAGGAGAGTCTGATGTGATTGGCTCAGACAAACCAGTTACAGTAACAGTCGGTGATAACGCCATCCTGCCATGTCACCTGGAGCCTCGATTCAATGTGAGGACTCTAACAGTGGAGTGGAAACGTGATGGAAGATTTGTGCACGTCAGTCGACATGGGAAGGACTATCTAACTGATCAGGATGAGAACTTCAGAGGTAGAACATCTGTCTTCCATGAAGAAATGATCCGAGGAAACATTTCACTAAAACTGACCAACGTAACTGAACTGGATGCTGGAAGTTACACCTGCTTTGTTCCCGGACTGCAAAGTCAGGTCAGGAGAGGCTTCATTAACCTCACTGTTGGTGAGTACAGCTAATATATTACACAATCAAATGAAATGAGAGAAAATGTTCTATTTGTCACATGTTAAAGGTTTTGTATTAACTTTCCAACAGAGCCAGTGGAGAACAGGAACAAAGGAGGTCAGACTGATGATATCAGTAAGTAAATATCTTATTTGTCTCCTCATCAGCTGTCATCTCCTGTTGGTCTGAATGTTATCACATATTTTAATATTTTATTTCATTGTTTCCACAGACACAGAGCCAGGTAAGTGCTGTCTTTACTGCAGTCCACAATGTACACAGATATCACTCCTGTTTCTCTCCTCCTTACAATATGAACCTGAGAATGAGCATAATATGACCTCTTTAACCTCAAAAGTAATCAGAGCAATTCTGAATGTAATGCTTCATTTGACAGGATGCCATTCTAACAAATAATGAACTCATTCATCATCTCAGACCACACTGATAGAGGACTACTGAAAGGTCCAGTGTGTAACATTCAGGAGGATCTATTGTCATCACCATGTTTCTACAGTAGCCCAGAACACATTTGGAAGTTTTATTCACTTGTTTGCAATCTGTAACTTCACCACTAGATGGCACTGAATCCTCCACAGCGGTCCTTTAAATAACCCTGGATCCTCTTATTTCTGGAGAATATTCTCACTGATAATACTGTTTGTTTACTGTTGTGCAATGAAAGAGATTCTAACCAACAGACAGTTTTGTTGGGATGGACTCCAAGTACACATTGAGACCATGAACAGGAGAAGTGGCTGTGGAAATATTGTTGATGGATGTTATCTTGGAACAGTGAAGAACAAATCTCAACATCTTTCCTCTGTTCTTTCAGGTTGTAGCACTGGTGCTATAACTGGCATTGCTCTTGGTGTCATTACTGTCATTGCCATTGTAGCAGTTGCTGTATTGATGAAACGTAGAAAGATCAGTAAGTCAATAATCTTCTCTCTCTCCATTTTCTCCATTTAAAAAGACAGTTTTCAGTTTTTCAGTCAGTCTTCAAACAACAGTGAACAGTGAAACAGGTTTTTCTTGCTGTAATGGTTCCTCCTGTTATACTGGACATTAAAGATCTCTTCCTAAAGTACTTTCAATGGAAGTGATGAGGGGAACAATCTACAGTCCTCCTTACATGGAAACATGTTTTCAGCAGTGTATCTAAAGCTAATATCAGCTAATATGTGTTTATAACTCCATCATTTATTTAGAAATCATTTATTGGGGGGTCTGCACCTATGGAATTGAATCGTGACCAAAATTTAAATAAAAAAGCATTTGCAGAAATGCTTTTTCATTTTAAGAATATGGCTGCATTATCTGACTCATTAATAGAATAAATAATCAATCATCCTTTTTGCATTTGCATTCTCTTCTGAACTGCACATTTTACGCCATAATCAAGATCAAAGAAAACAAAGAGGAGATTGCTATTATTTTTCGTGTTCTGCCCCGCAAAATAGTGCCCACAATTCGAAAAAGCATTTGGCAATCTGAGCGGCGCAGGAGAGTGACGTCAGTAGCCGCTCTTCTTCAGCTCCGTGCTGACCGTGCTACCACTAGGGGCGCTAAAGACACTGGTCGCTACCAGTGTTACAGCGGCCCTGACCAGCTTCTTACTGGCACAAAGGGCACTACAATGACTGGTCCTGACCACCTCCTCTTTGATCTGTTCTGTTGTTTGGACCAGTTGAGTGATCTGTGGAGTGTTTGCTTGTATTTATTTTTAATACAACTTTCCCCACTGTGTTAGCAGAATAGCCTAAATGTGAGAAGCCATAATCGTTTGTCTATCCAATGTTATTGATCACTATTATAAATAGAAATCATAATAACAATGATAAAATTATTATTATTAGTAGTAGTTGTATGAGTAGTACTATCGATTATGCAGGTCAGTGTGTTCGTGATCTCCTGACCAGCTCCCCACGACCAGCTCCTACCTGGCAGGGACCAGTGGTCACTACCACTAGGGGCGCTAAAGACACTGGTCTGTCTTGTGCTTTGAAATTTTACATTTCAAATTGAATTTTTCTATTTGCTGGGGCATATTTTGAAAATTAAATGTCAAATGTCTTTTTCTTTTTCATTTTCATTTTAATTAAGTAAAAGAATGAGCAGTCTTGAAGAAGAAAATTAAAATGCAAATAGGATGATTGTTTATTAATTTTATTTATGAGTCAAATAATGCAGCCACATTCTTAAAATAAAAAAATATTTCTGCCAATGCATTTTAATTTTAATTTTGGTCACGATTCAGTTTCATATGCATAGTTCCTCACTGTCAATAACAACAAGTGTCATCACTCCACTGCTGACTGACTCTGCTTGGGCTGATAAAATAATCGCCCTTTTCACATCCTATTCTCACTTTTCCTCTAAACTAGTGTTGTCAAACGATTAAAATATTTAATCGCGATTAATCGCATTAATGTCATAGTTAACTCACAATTAATCGCACATTTTTATCTATTCTAATTGTCCCTTGATTTCTTTGTCTCATTATTTTTTCTCATTTTAATGCTCTTATCAACATGGAAAAGTGGATTGGCTTGCTTTGTGCAAATGTTGTTTTTATTGAAAAATCATCCATTGTCGACTGGCTTTGACGAGGGGGCGGAGAATTCGCATCAGCTGTGTGCGTGGCCATCAGGTGGTATTTCAGACTGGACGTGCTGCGATGATAGCTCAGTTCACAACGACAAAACACACAGATCACTTTGGTCTTGTCAATGGAACCATTTGGCAACTTTTTAAAAGTAAACTTTCCATTCAGAATATTATTGGCATCCATTTCGGCGTCTCGCGCTCGCCATCCACTCAAAACGTAACGTCTACTACTCTTAAACAAGTGTGTGCGGCGTGCCTGTTGTTTTGTTTCCGGTCTAGCTAGATCCGGTGTGGTGTTGTAGTTTTTCTAACATTACTAGTTGTTGCAACAGCATGTGAAAAAAACTACAAAGTGTGCTAGCCCAAAAAGAACGTTAATCTCGCAATAAAATTGATGCTGTTAAAATGGGTTTGCGTTAACGCCTTTAATAACGCGTTTAACTGACAGAACTACTCTAAACTCAACCCAGAGTGCTCAAACTACAGAAAACACTCAGTTTGGAAATCACTGACTGATAACTTGTTTTGTGTTGTTGATATGTGTTCAGGAGGACAAGAGAGAGAGAGAATATCTTCCAGCACAGAAGGACAGCTGAAGCAATCCCGTTGAAATAACGACAGAAAAAGCAGGTACCTCCAGTAAAACATCCTGGTTATGTTACAATTCTGAGGCTGAACCCAAAAGTGTAGTGAACATAAAGTCTTTAATTATGGTCTGGAGACTGGTTGAAGTCTGGGGTTTGAGTCCTGTGATGAAGGTGGTAGAGGCAGATGATGAGGGTAATGTGCTCAACTTAAGAAATGCCAGCTAGTAAGAAAGAAAAGCTTTTGTTCCATCCACATTTTATCAGGTGTTTTATGAGCTGAAATACTACTACTACTACTACTACTAATAATAATAATAATAATAATAATAATATTAATAATGATAATAATAATAATAATAATAATAATGATAATGGTGATAATAATAGTAATAAATAGTATTATTGTTGTTATTGTTTTATGCTGCTTGGTTTTTATGTTTTTGCTTCATGTTATCTCGTTTTTCTGCCCTCTGAAGAACTCTGCAACATCTGTTAGCTGTATATAAAATGTAAAATATTCTTGATTCTTGATTGAAATGCAGCTGCAGGGAATTGTTCAGAAGTTCTTCCTGATGTGTTGATTGTATAAATCACTGCAGGGACAGAGTTGGTGTCTCAGGACCTGGTTTTAACTAGAATGGGTCTTATCTGTCTAATTGAACCTTCTCAGTGTCAGTTTCCAGCTCCTTCTAGTGACTTGTTACTGTATAGGATTCATTGACTAGAGGGGGAAATAAAAAGCACTTAATGACTGTTATTATTTTAAGTTAACAATATATATTTCATATTTGGGTTTTATATATTTATATTTGGGTTTTACGTATATTTATATGTATATATTTTATGACTGTGCTGCGTTTTTTGTGTGTTTTGCTTCATGTTATCTTGTGTTACTGTCCTGTAGAGAATCACATTGTACCACTACTAGAATTAATGTTATATAAAGTTTATTGTTCTTATTCAACCTTTTGATTTGCTCAAATATTCACAACCAAAATCACACATAGGACACTAGGAGGATGAAACTGTGATTGTTGTTTTTTAATAAAAATGTTTTTAACTTGTACCTGACATTTTGTTCTTATTTGGTCTGACATTTTGGGGAAGTGCAGAATCTTTAAGTTTATTTCAACTGACCAATTAATGTTCTACGACACTGAACTGAAAGAAGTAAATCAAAGTCAGTGTGAGTTTGTTAGAACTTCATTGTGTATAACTCTCAGTAATTAATAGTAGAATATTTAAAGGATATTAATGTTCATTTCTCAATGCACAAACAGAATGATGCTACCTGAACAACATGAACCTGCAATAGTTCAATGTATTACTGTATGTGAGAGTGTACCACTGTAGCTCCAACCTTTTCATTTGTCTACAACAATAATCCATCACCACTGTCTTCCTCTCAGTGGCTGCTCTCAGATCAGCTTTGGTGAGCAGTTCTGTTTTCAGTGTTTGGCTGTGAAACAACGTTCAGTTAGAAAGCACAAGGAAGAGTTTTACAGTTTTCATCAACATTGTAGTTGCTCAAAAGGGAAAAAAGACAACAACAACAAACAATATCCCAGAGGTTAGAAACATTAATACAGTGTCATATTTCTTAAAGGGAACACAGTGAAATAAAGAGCAGCTTCACTGCTCAGAACTGAAATCAAACATGAAGACATCTGTACATTCTTGTTACATTATGACACACTGAACTCAAAGTGAATATATAATAACTGTATAATGAACACTGTTA